ACGCCTATGTGCACTTAGATATTATTCTACTCACCAGTAATATTATACAGACGACTGGTTAATAATCCAATAATACGGTTCTATCACAAACGAATAAACAATTCGAAACGCACTATGTTGTATAACACTGAAGGTAGTATACTAATTATTTATGACAAACAATCAAAACGAACACGTTACACGCCGGGGGACGGTTGGTTTTGGGATTGGGTGTTGTGATGAAGACCACGAGGAGACTGAAAAAAGACTTAACGCGCACGACGACGGCTCTACTGCCAGCGGCGAGTTAAATTTTTATAAATATAGCATTTGGCACTGGCCCTTCGGCGGGCGACCGATCTTTTTTCGTACGTATATACAGTATACACACATGCATAATATATACACACAACCGTATAAATTCAATTTCTACTAAATCCCAACGCATAATAATTATTTTCATACGTACACACGATATACATGCGCGCGTATAAAAGTGATGTGACAAAAGGACGAGACGTCATTTTATCCTGTTAGTTAAATTCCATGCTTACACTGCAGATCGCGGTTTTTTTTCAAGTGTTTTTTGAGTTTTCAACATATTTAATATTATCGACCAATTTCTGATGAAGCTACTCATTATATAATAAATATTATCATTTTCGTTTCTTTTGCCGATTTAAATGATAATGATGTCATATATGTATTTTTGGTTCCAGCTAGGGGTAGGAACGGCTTCAAATCAATTTCCGGAATTGTTTTTTTATTATTTTGTCTTATTGAATTCCCCCCTTCATTTTTCGGTCTAAATGGCATAAGTTATATATATATATATTCAAAATTGACTTAAGCTCCTTTTTTCCTGGGACCAGAGATATATTAATGCGAATTTATACGATTTACAGGTAGAGCTAATCGGTAAAAGTATACACTAGAGTATTAACTACATACTATATAATAATATGTTACTCGGTCGAAAAGCTGTTAAATATAATATAAATAATTCGATACATTTTTTAATACTTATAATAATTTTAAAAAGTTTGGATCATCTCCATTGGGTTAAATTATTAATAAGTAGTTTCATCGGTATAGTAATGAGAATTATGGGTTAATGGTTAACGACAATATTTTGTTCCACATTAATTATCATGTATAATATTTTGTGTACACGATAACATGCAACACGTAGTCTATAATAAATTCACATTTTTGATATGAAAGAGAAATATCACAAACTGTCTCTTTTTCCAAACTGACTGTTATAAATTAGTTAAATAAATAGATTTTGTGGTACGAATGATTAAAATGTTTAGGTATTTTATGAAAATTATTTCGATTTAATCGTAGTAAAATTTAAAAATTAATAATATTTATGTATCGCATCCTCTTTTTCAGTCCTCTCCTACTACTATCTGTTTCCTCCTACGTTTATTTTCATTACAATTCTCACTACTTCAGATTTCTCTTTCTCCGTGACATGTTCAAATCATCTCAGTTTATTTTTTATCATTTTGTCTACTACCGAAGCCACGACTAAGCTATGTCGTTACTCCACTCATTCAGGTAAGCATTCTCATCTCTTCTACACTAATTCTCGGCTCAATTTTTCTGTCTAGGGCTCAAAACTCCGAAAGTTATTCAATATTTTACGATAATATTAAAATTAAAAACTATGTTTACTGCTTAGGTATTTAATTATCCGTTTATAGATACATAATTTGTAGCATTGCAGTTTACCTTTCCTCATCCAACAGTTCCAAAAACCACTGGAGTTCGTTTGAATTTATACAATAATTGTATTATAGTACGTCGAATATAAATACGAAAACCGATTGTACAAAACAAAATATTCTAATATTTCACGCTTATGCTTGAAGATTGTTTATAGTAGGAATAAGTACGTCTAATCACTGCGGTATCACAGGTTTGCGTAGTGTTTAATTAGGAATAAGTCGTATAATATACCTATACCTATACTTATGAAATCACAATATTAGTAGGTATATAGCTTATACATACGGTGATAAAATATTGTCAATAATAATATTTTCACGATGGGCAAAGTAGTTTTTTCGATTTTATAATTTTGATGATATAAAAAATTATATGGCGCGCGTTGTTTGCATTCGATGTGACAATATTCATAATATTCAAATGAAGATATTGGCTATGAACAGAGAATAATGGAGATCCAGATTTACGACAAAGCGCGGCCTTTAGTGAAAATAAAAAGACCAAGATAGAAAACAATATAATATAGTAATGCCATAGTATAACATTTAATGTGTTCTATTCGAAATTTTCTGTGCCTAAATTAAATATCTATAAATGTATCTCTGCCGCGCATGTGTGGTTTTAATTATAATATGAGAACGGGTCCATATGGTGTTTACTTGTGATGTAAATAAGTTTTTTTTATGACATATTTTTAAAGTATCATCTGAAATCGCCACCAATCGCGAAAACACAAATGTAATATTTATAATAAGATTAAGGACACTGTACGATTAATTTAAGTTTTATAATGTAAAATTAAATATTATACTATTATAGCATTATATTATGTATTATTATTTATATATATATATATATATATATATTATGCGCTTTATGATATTATTACTTTGTATATTATGTTAATAGCTTTTATTTGTTTTAACCCATAAGTAGGATATTACTTACATTCGAAGTAAGTATGAATAAAGGTATAATGTAAGAAGACATAATATATTATAATATACCTAACAACATGCGATTAGATAATCATAAGTATTCTAAATTATAACAATAAATTCGGATCGACGGTTATCGTATTGCTAGTAGCTATGTGCCCGTTGGCACACAAAAATAAGACATGAATAACGGCTAGGTCTAGGTATTTTTCTACGCGTACTTCACTTAAAACACCTTTGACAATCGTCAACATAACGTTCGTGTGCCTATAATTTACAAAAACATATTTTGTTAGAGAGATCTTATAGCGATGACGAGATAGTATGTGCATTCAATTATTGAATAAAGTGTGTCCTCTTCTTTCTTAAAAAAAAAAAAAAAAAACCAACCTACTATAACGAATTGTGTAATTATAACATTGTTAGTTACTCTCGTTTTTAAACGTTCGGTATGAACAGATGTATAATGTAAAATACTTAGCTCGAAAATAATACACATTATGTCTCTGCAATTTGACACACGAGTTATACTAGCACAACTGCACAACGTGGCAAAATCGTGTTTACGTTTCGAACTCTGTAGATTGTATTAGAACATAAATATAACATAAATCATAACTCGTGTATTCTTAGAATTATTTTTTATTAAAAATGATATGCTATTTCAATATTTTATTATTTAAAACTTGCAACTTAAGATAAGGGAGCGTTGATCGCGCTCTTCTAACATTTTTGGTATCTACGGTTCAAAGGTCCGTTATACATAATATTCAGGTAAATGTATATTCAAAAACATTAATATCGATATATTTAACAATAAAATTACCTATTTAGGTACCTACCCACTTTTAATGTGGATTATTATTTATGACCCCGTTTGCCAGATTATCGAAGTTAACGAACATAATTGAAATACGGCTATAACACATAGATAAGTATAGTTCACTAAGGGTGTCCTAGGATGTTTAATATAATAATGTGTTCACATGGTTTCAACATTTCGTAAATTATAATAATAGATACTTATTTTAGTTCTTATCTTTAAATTTGTTATATCTTTTTCGATAGGTGATATTTGTAATATTATTACAGCACATAATTTCTCTGGTTGCCCAATCATTTCTGATAAATTTTAATTAGTTAATTTGTAAAAGTATTTTAATATCAGACGTCAGTGATCATACTATTATTTAGATAGAAATAATCACGAAAAATAAAATATTATGACTTAATACAATAATAAACTTTTAATGTGAATGTTCATGCATAAATCGCTTAAAAAAAAATAGCTTTCCAAATCTTTATTTATAAAAAAAATCCCAAAAATTAGACGTTGCTTAAGTTTGCCGTTAGTATAAAATTAAAATAATGTAATGATTACTTATTAGCTTATTAGGGCTTCAGGCAGGACGCTAAAAATTATTGAAATGTGCATTTAAAATATGTAACTATAATAATTTATTCTATATGCATTGGACCATGTTTTACTATATAAAAAAGTAATGATGCATTTTCAAAAAATAGAACATTTTCACACAAGAATCACATTTCACATAAAAAAGTAAAAAGCACAATTTAGTACTGAAATACACTTGTTCTTATATTTTATGCTGTCAGTAATTAAAAATGTCGTTTGTATAATATTTCTGTATGTAGGTACCTATTTCAGCTTTGTTTTGAAATCAAACATTCATAATATTATACGGTATCTATATATAAAATCATATTAAATATAGTACATTTTTTGGTAACGGGATGGTACTCGCTCCCCTTCCCGGATCTGCAATTGTAATTGGCAAGATTTCTGGTCAAAAAATACTCCCAATCTGATAAGGTATAAACCAGAGTTGGGCATTAGTTGAATAAAAAATTATTCTTTATTTATTTATTTTTAATTTGATTATTCTAGATTATTTTTATTCATTATTTTAATTTTTACAATTATTTGTTATTCTCATAGTCGTGCTTATCTCAAATGATTCGTAGATAATTTAAAATTCCAACTTTATTAAAAATAACTGGTGCGTTTCTTTTTATTGTTATATGCTATCGTAAATATCAAAACCAAAAATCATAAATAATATTGTTATCTTATCTATGACGGCCTAATGTAACTGGTTTAGCACTCGATATCGACATGTTATTTACCTATACATAGGGTTTTTCTGCTTTAATAACATTTTTGTAATTAGTTCAAAATAAATTCTGATATAACTTGATGTAGCCATATTATGGGTGCTGAAATTTTATTTAGTATAGTATCGACATTTAATATCAATGGTTCAGTAAATCGGGTTCACTATAGTTATTTTCATTTTTCTATAAGTATATAAAATTAATACAATTATGGATGATTTGAGTATTATGAGTGGCAGTGACTCTAATATACTTTATAATGATAAAACTGGGTCAAGTTCATCTCAAAGTTTGCAATTATTGGAGGATCAGAGTCAAACTATTTCCCAAGAACAGCAGTCATCAAAGTCTATCAAAATGGCCAGTAATGCTACTATACTTGATGGAACTTTTTTAAATTAATTTCTTCCAATTCTAAAAATGTGATAGCTCGTTGTTAAATATCAGCCAAAAAACATAAATATTAGAGGATCTAAATTTGTATCGTCAAAGTTTAAATTACATTTAAAAAGGGATCACAGTACTGTTTTAGATTAATATAAAAATTATATTAATGACTTACGAAAAAAATAAAAAATTGAACATCCCAATAATACGAACTGTAAAAATAAAACAAAATAATCTCAAAATCAATTTAACGAAGATGTAACTAATTATATTGTTCATTCAATGGCACCTCTAAGTACAGTTGAAAATCTATTTTTTAAAGAAATGTTTATTGCATCTGGAGTTCTTAAAAATAATAGTTTAACTTTAAAATTAATAGTTATTAACAGTGAACAATTGATGTATTGTAAATTAATTCGAAAAAGTCTTTTAGATAGCAAAGAAAAAAGATTTTCTAATATTTTAAGTTTTAATACAGTTGAAGCTGATAATGCAGCCATTGCTGCTATTTATCACCCCAAGTTCAAAAATAGATGGTAAAATTGTATTCATACCTCATCTTCTCATAATAAACTTTTATCAATATTTAAAAAAAGCAGTAACAGCGGTATCTATAACAACTAGTGAAGAAAATGTTGAAATTGAAGATCACTTTGAATTTTTTGACTTTGGTCCGGTAACACAAAATGACAGAACAGATACATCCATGTCTGCTAAGATTGAAGTATGTATATGAAATTAAATATTTTAATTTAAAAATTAATATAACTATGGTTTTAAATGAATGTTCAAGGTATTAAAGTATTTTGAGGATCCATTTTAACGTCTTGAATGTTTAAACTCATATCCTACTGTGAAAAAATTTTTTCTTTGGTACAATATTCCTGTGGCAGCTTAAGCTCTGGTAGAAACTTTTCTCTTTTTTGACCATAACAAATTTACTAAAGTCAAATAGGTTGTCAGATGATTTATTTGAGCATAAAGTTGTATAAAAATCAAATTTAAATTATCAATTGCAGTGTAGAAACTAAAAATTAAAATGAATTTACTATTATTATTTTTGTCATGATTATTGTTATTGTTATTATAATTATTTGCTTTGTTATGAATATTATATTTTTATCATAATTTTGTTACAAGAAATAGGATATTATTCACAATTTTTTAAATTTATTTATTCACAAGAATTTTTGTTTTTTATTCACAACTAAAACTATTTAAAATAAAATATTATTCTGTATTCACAAAACAATTAGTTATTCATACTTTTAATTTGTTTTTGCCCAACTCTGGTATAAACCAGGTAAACCATTATCAACGTGGCAATATGTATAATTATAAAAGAAACGGCACTAGTATACTATTGTATTTTAAATTCAATTTTAGATTCTGAGTGGGGCGAGGAGTGTATTGGTTTTACAATTTTGTTTATTATTTTTATTTTATTTCTGTGAACAACCTTTTACAAGCCATTTTGCTCTGATTTTTAATGCTAGCACTTTTTCCGAAAGGAAATCGGACTGGAGAAGTACTTTAGGGAGGTCATTTGTTGATTTTTTTCAGGGGTTTTCTCAACAAATCAGGAACAAACGAAAAAATAAGTAAATACAATAATAGAAAAATATTATTAAAGAAATTATATAATGCATATGTAATTATTTTACCATAATATGACGTTTATATTGTTGACAAAGCAACATTATCAATCGAGTTCCGCTCAGAATCGTTTTTTCATTAGCAATGTGGTTTAAATGTATTAAATTACGCATAACAGTGGCTGCACCTGTTCCCATTATCCTAGGACAATCAGTTATAATTGTGACGGAACTATAAGTACTATTAAATTAGGTATATTATTATACCATTAGTAATGTTAATATGTACGACGTTAATGACCTGTGCAATTTTGTTCTGTCGCATTAGAAAAATCAATACAATTTCGAAAATTCACACAAGACATACCGCGGAATAGCAATAAAAAAAAAATCGAAAAAGCCGTCCGGGACACAAAGGTGGAAAATACGATAAAACTGTTCAAACAATATGCCGTTTTCTTCCTTTTACAGAAGAAACAACATCGTTAAAATAAACGTAAATGCAGATATACTTACGTTTATTTTGGTGTGGTTTTACGCCGCAGACAAAACAATTACTTTTGCGCGTTGTTTTAGCCTAGTTTAACGAATAACGGCGCGCCAGAGACAATCCGATATACTTAAATTAATATTTTAATTTTAATAATAGAATACCTGTTTGTTTTTGATTCAATATTCTATGCACCGTGTTTTTGGTTAACCGAAATCTTTAAAAAATTAATCTTCATCCAATAAATTATAATAATTAGGTACCATATTCAAAAAAAAAAAAAAAAAATTAATAGATCTTCTTGGCTGAGCAATGAACATAATAATTTCTTCATTATCATTAGAATCTAATGACAATTGACATAATATTATTCATGTTTAGTTATAGATGTAAAACTGTTAAATTTTAATTATCCATTATCATTGATTTTATCATAATAACTAAGGACCGGATTTAATTGTATTTAAAACACATGCAAATTGCATATAAAAATTAAATGATAAAAAAATCAAAAAATAGGTAAAAATTTTACAATCAAAATGCAAAAGTTAAACAAAAAAAACTAGATAAATGTTAATTTTTTTTGTTAAAATTGATAATTAGATACATTTCTAAATTATTTTCATTAAAATTAAATCTTCTATTATTTAACATATGTTTGTAAAAAGAAAAACTATGCTTTACGTCTACACTAGTTATTGGTGCATATTTAAAACAATTTAATAAAGTAGGCATTATTTCTAAATTCATTTTTGTTTTACCTGACATGACTTCATAGTAAGACTTTAAAGTTTTATAACCTTTATTTTCTCTAGAACTCTATTAACTGCATGCGCTATACATCTAATATGAATAAATTCTGGGAAAAATATTTGTATTGTTTTTTTGCTGCGTTGATCATGTAAGTACCAGCATCACTAATAAAAAGTAATAGTTTTTGTTCAATATCAGGAAATATTTTTAACGAGGAATTAATAAACTGACATATAGTTTCATAATTGGTGGATTCTAGTTCATTACATGCAACTAAATATGATTTACTAGGCGTCCCATTTAATTTATCAATTAATACATTTACAATAGCCAAACCTAAACAAAAATAGTATATTTTATTATATGAGAAATTAAAAAAATTATTTATACAAACTTCTTGGGTAGGTTGTTTCGTCAACAATTATGTAAACGTAATTATTTCCAACATCACTAATTATTTGGTCCAGAATTGATTTATCAGTATGTTTTTCCAAAAATGATTTTAACACATAATTGCCCAGCTTATGCTAAGTAATATTTGCAGCAACAAATGCAAATGCATTTGCATTACATAAATCTTCAAAAAATACATTTTTACTATTTGAATTTTGAGAATTAATCAAAATCTGGTTTTTTCTTCTTTATTCCTTTGTAATGCATTTATGTGTTGAACTAAAAAAAATATACATGTATTTTTGAAATAATAAGTAGTATAGTACAAGCATAAAATACAAAACTTACTTGTTTTTGAATGATGATCTAATAGATATTTATTTTCAGTAGGCACAGATTTGTTATATACGAGACAATATATAATCTTTCCATCTGATGAAAATATTTCTTTATTTTCATCTTAAAGAGCAATCCAATTCGAAATTTTACTTTTTAAAGTTGATTTTATTTTAGGCATTATGTCGAATACAATCACTGTGCGGTCAAACTGATCAAAGAAATAGGTACTAAGGTACCAATAGATAAACGCACACGAATCGTTGTACTACTAAGTTGAATTTAATTATCACCATATATATAGACACTTATCGTTCACTGGGTTCTTCAAATTTCTAGAAAATTCCAGGCAAACGATAAACACCTACAATTTAAAAACGTGGGAAAATTGAAAAAAAATGCATGATAAAATTAAATAGGCAGAATATTTTTAGTATATATCGGCTATATATTTAATCAGATCTGATTTATCTTTATGGCAAAATAAAGTTGCAATAACAATTAAATACGGTCTTTAATAATAACTAGTAAAAAGAATATCACCGATCCATCCATAGAATTGTAAAACAAAATAATTCTATACTCTTGACCCAACTTATTTTACTCATGGAACCGATTCAGGAACTTGCAATATTTTGTGGAACCTCCATTTTTTTTCATAACCACATAATGCAGACATATTTTTTTGATATTCGAATGACGGGCAATCCAAGACTTCTGGCAAAAGGGTGAGTGTCGTTTATAAAAAAATAATAACAAGGGCGATTTTAAAGTTTTACTTTAATACCTATCTATTATAATATTTTTAATGTAAGTACTTACATTACATCAGAACTGAGAAAGTAATATTAATTTCTCAGTATCTCAGTGATAGATTTAATGAGAAGATTAGAATTTGTCGGCGTGCACTTGCAATCCCTTGAATTTTTGTGGGGGTGTAATACAATGCAGACGTTGCATTTCCTATAATCCAAATGTATAAATAATGCTAAACTTTTAAATATTTATAAAGTAATGATAACGACGATAACAGATTATTATTTGGTAATTATCACGTCCTCGTGATACTCATCGATTTACAGTTCTTTTATTTTAGGTATGTGAATTATCAAACCGTTATTTTTAAAATCTATGTTTTTACCACGAATTAAGATATACAGGACACACAACGGAACCCTGTTATCAGCAAACTATTGATTCCGACGGTTCTTATTCATTGAATAGATATAGAGCGCTAATAGTTAATGGCGGCAACAAGAGGTATTACCGTATTTATAAATAAGAGAAAAACATTTTAAAATTAAAAGGTTATTTAGACATTATCATAGAAAATGACCGATGACATGTTGATGACCACGCACGACATACTAGTATTATATCTAGTGATTATACAGTGGATGTACTTTTCAAATATCCGTTTTTTTGGTATTTTTGGATATGCTATTTCAATATCTATTGGTTATTTATGACTTTATGCGATGTCTTATATTATTGGAAATTTACAATAATTAATATTTGAAAAAAAAAAACGTCCTAGGATAATGGGGACGAGTGCAGCCACTGTTATAGGTATTTTAATGTATACTATTGTAAGCAACGATAAACCATTATTTACGAAAAAACGATTCTGAGCGAAGTTCAGTTGATAGTGATGCTTTGTCAACAATATATGTGCCATATTATAGTAAAATAATTTAAAAGGCTCCATATTTTTTTCTTTTACACATATTTGTTTAATGTTGTACCGATTTTCTCGGTTTTTCTACGTTTTTACCATACTTTTTCACATTCATTGAGAAAACTTCTCAGAAATTTGAAAAATTATCTCTCTAAAGTACCTCCCTAGTGAAATTTCTTTTTAGAAACATTGATATCATTAAAAGTTTTGCAATTAAAATTGAAGGTAGAAAAGTTGTGTATAGAAAAAAAGAAGGCCGTAATATTTTTAACAAATTTCTACATTTCTTATATTTTACCGTTTTTTTTTTGGTTTTTTCAAATTTTATGAGAAAATCGAAAAATTACCTCTTTAAAGTACCTCCCTACACCGATTTCATTTCAGAAAATATGTTACACTTGGAAATCTGAGCAAGTCTTCTGGTAGAAAAATGTTTAACAGATAAATAATAAAAATAAACATCTTCGCTCCACTCAGAATCTAAAAGTATTAAATTTATATAAATAAATTACACAACTATTAATTTTTTTCTTTTTTGAGGGGGGGGGGGTTTGAACTTCAATCCCTCCCTCTGTATCCGTGTTCGTACTGTACTTATGTTATAGTATTACTGTCAAAATTAAATTATATTTATAATTTCGTGGCATTCACATAGTGAACACGGATAATGTGAAGTTATGGTATTTTTGACGGTCGATGTTTTATATTACCTAAATTTCTTTACTATCTGAGCATAGTAAGAAATCTGTTTTTATTTTTAGCGTCTATGTAAAACTTTTCTACTAGATATCTTATTTCAATTTTCAATTGTTGGATCTATTATGAAAGGAAATGTTGCTTAATATGAGTATTGAGATGAAGTTTTTTGATTTTCCTGTAGTTTTCTAAAGAATTGCGGAAAACTGGAAAAAACGTATAAATCATATGTAAATATCACAAAACTATATAACGACCATATCTTCAGATATAAATGATTTCTACAAGTATATAAGTGATGGTTGTTTTTCTTTGTCCCTCATAAACTAAAAACTAGGCACTAGAACAATTTACTTATAAATTTTGGAAAATGTGTCTGGAAAAGGTTTAAAGATATTGAAATCCTCGATCTTACAAGTAGTAATAATTTACAGGTATTTTTAATTTTATAGCAATATAACATAACATATTCAATATTCATGGCAATATTTTTCTGGGAAATAGTTCACGTCCAAAAATCATACATCAGTGTACTGTAATATAGTGTACATTTTACATACTATATAATACCTACTCACATTTTCAGTTATGCCTCCCAAACAATTTAAGTTGATCTACATTTACATCTCAAGTATAAAAGAAAAATACACCAAGTGCTTCAGAAATAGAAGAGCAACACAAGATGCAAAACAGGAAACTGCTTGTGTACGCAATGCTTAATCCAAATGAACAGCTATGAGCTAATACACTTTGATTTAAATAATGGTGCATTCCATTATGATGCTAATTACAAATACGATCATCCAAGTATGGTTATTGGAAAACAGTTTCTTTTTGGTCCAAATATCTTTTTAATATAGGTAATTTAAATAAATACCAAAAATTATATTTATGGAATAATAGTTTTATTATGATAGATAATAATAAGTAAAATAGCATTACAATAGTTATGATTATAATAATATTAATAAATGTAATTAATACAGTAATAATTATATCAAGCCGAATAGTATTATAATAAAAGAAAAAAATGTAGGTACTTATATGTACCTATACTACTAAATATTTCTATGAATGTTCTTAAATGTATGGTTAATAGTAATAAATATTAGATATTAAATAAGATACCAAAGAAATATTTTTTTTTTAATATTTTTACTTCTAAAATAATAATTTATGCACCTAATTTTTGGTTATTATTCTTAATCAATAAAAATCTATTTTTTTAATTATAATATAATATTATTAAATGATTATATTTAATACAATATAAGTATAATTATTTTAATATGTATATCTAAAAGAAAAAATTGAATTAATTAGAATAATAATAAGAATTTGAGTAATAAAAACTAGAGAACGGATGTCTATTAGTTATAATAATAATTAATATTATGCTGCTATAATTTATATTAATTTTTTTTTCTTTAATCCTTTTCAATTTTAAAATTGTTCAAATGATTCTGTTTTTTTTCTTCTTGATATTAAACTTTTAATTTGTTTTTAATATTATTTTTGTCTAAAGATTTTTTTGAGAAAACTTGAATTGTCAAAATTTCTGTTATTATTTTTGTAAGTTCTGTGTCTATTAAAATTAAAATCCGCTCCCTAATATTAATAATAATAATATTAATACTATACTAAATCACACTTAATTTATGTTATAAAATTGATTTATTATAATAGGTAATGATAATATGTTAAAATTTTTTTCTACTATTTAATGTTTTATAAATTTAAAATTGATAATATTTTGTATAAATATCTATGTTTTTAATTAAAAAGCATATACTTGGCACTATAATAATTTATGGTTTATTCTAAAATACTTAAATTTTAAAAATTTAATAAAATGTATGATTATAATAATTAAGAGTATAATTTAGGTTTTGATAAAATATTTTAATGTTGAGAATTTTACATAAAAAAATGTACGTGAATAAAAGGTATTAATAATGGGGTAAGTTATTTCAAATTAAATAATTGATAAAAAAAAACTTGAGCAATATTAAGTTAGGAAAAAAAAAAAATGTTTTATACTGTGTTCTATATGGTATGGAAAAATAAATTAATATTTTGAAATTATTTGAATGTAGTATTTTTGTTTGTTTTTTGTACGTTTAAAATTATATTTTAATTACTCACTCAATGGTTACAAATGCTAAATAGGTACTAAATTATTTTTGAAATCAGTGTAGATAATATTATGATCAACTACTAAATATATATACTATTTAATGAATAAGTTATTTAATGTAAACATAAATCTTAAAATATAAAATAATGACACAAAGCTGATGTAAAGTTAATAAAAATATCAGGCAACTTAAATTATAATATAGTATAGTATTAATATACTGATAAAGAAAGAAATCTAATGTATGCACCATGAAAATAAAATGTTAACAAAAATGTAAAAATAACTAATGCTTGTACGTTAACTAAAATAATAGTTTCTCAATAATTAAATTCCTATATATGAATTGGATTGAAAAATATTAATAATATAAATTTTGAAAATCTCATATTTATTGGATAGTTCTGAAATTATAGAAAAGCATGAAATGAAGGTTGCCATTTAATTTCAATAAAAGCAATATATATTTTTTTTGAAAATGCTGAAATAAATTTTATTAACTCATATTTATGAGGAAGATAGACTAAAATTCTTTAAAATGCGTAAAATATTTAAAATTATAAGGAATAATACCTAATATTATATTATTTCATTAAGAAGTAAAAATAACAAATGTAAACTGTATAACACATTTAATACGTAATTGATCATTGCCAGATATTTATCCATATTAGTCTATTAGTAGTTTTTAGTTTGATATCTAATATTTATTTGAAATATCGTGAAAAACGCATCAATACTTTTGTACTCGCATAAAAGGAACTTACAGATATTTAAAAAAAAATTGTATTACTATTTTCTACTTGATAATTTTGTAAATTAATAAAATTTAACTCAACATATCTAATAAATAAGATTAAACTAATATTCACAGATCTATCTTTACATATAGGTAATTAATTTTAAAATAGGACATAATTTTAAATAGCTAAACCACTAGAGCGAAAAAAGACACAACACTCAAGTTTCTTATTATATATAAACACTCATAATTGGGTTATGATTATCTGATTCCTAATATCATTAAATTGTGTGCATAAGTAAATCTGTTAAAAGTGCAAAATAATTAAAAGTGCAATTAAAATATGTTAGGGAGAAGGTTTTGTCTTTTTTGAGATTATTTGAAATATTGATATTTTGGTTGTAGGCTGACTAGAGGTTACACTGCCACAGTATCGTAGGTTGTGAGCCCTCCACTTTGGAGGCGTTGTTGTCCTGCTGCGGCTTCGTTTCTAGAAAAGAAAACCAACAAATTTATTTTATTATTCCTATATAAATTAATTGTATTAGTTAAAAATGAATACCTAGTTTATTTCAAGTCAACAATTATTATTTAAACAACGAGTACAATAAAAGTTAATTTTAATCGCTTTTTAAAATGGTGATATTTCTTAAATATAATACCATATTGTTTTCTTTAAATTTTACAAATATATAAGTACTACATAAAAACCACATCACACAATTCTACATTTACTCGCAAATACAATATGGTGTTATAAATATTTTTATTTTTATTAGAGCTGTTTATTTTTAAGCAGAAAATTAATACTTACGGTTTCCTAAGTTTGACCAATGCATTAAACATACACAAAATTAAATAATAAATTAACATGTAAAAGTTTCATCTAATAAGGTAATCAACTAGTTAACCAATTATAATGTTTAGTATATTTTATTTTATATCAATCTTATATATTTTTAAATTTCACGTTTTATAATTTATGTTTAGTATGATTATATTTATATATAATATATAGGTAATTAGGTTTTATGTTAAGTTATACATTTGCGTAGGCCTATTCCACTAACCTTTCTATGAGTTTTCGAAGTTCTTCTGTGGTCATACCGTCCTTGGTATTTCCCTTCAGATGTGCTGTAAATCAAAATTAATGGGACATATTCATTTATATTTAGATGGAACATTTTAAAATGGTTGTCAAAGCAAAGTGAAATGTGTTGAAGCATCATAAGCTGAATATGCCTTTGCTGTTGAGAACAAGTCTATCTTAAAATTTAATTATTTTGTTATTTGTGTAAACAATATTTACATAAAATGTTATTAGTTCCATTCTAATAAAAGCACATGAAACAAAAACGATGATTAGGTTTTAATGCGTAGAAAAATTAATTTAAAAAGCGTACCTACCTAATATAATAATTTAAAATGAGTTATGTTTAGTCGAGGAATTGTTAGTATTTATATATTGTACATAATATTATTATCTTTTAGTTATAGTTAATACTTAGTAGTGTTTGTATAAAACAAAACCTTACCTTTAAGTATTGCAAGTGTTTGTTAATATGGTGTATTATTAATGGCATGCAAACAAAATCAAAACAATTAGATAAATTTCAATATTTCATGCATATTGCTATTATAGATTCTAATAAAACATTGGTGCCCAACTGCATTGAATATAAGGCAATGGTAATACAATAATTAAATACTGTGTTAAATAAACAAAAACATAAAAATTAATAAGTAAAATTGTATTTTATTTAAAAAAAAAAAAACATTTGTTTTATATATTATATTAAGAAAATATGGTTAAGAATCAGATATATTAGACTATTTTAAACGGATACAGTAAAACTCGCTTAAGACACATTCCTGCATAAGATGCTACCTTCTGCCAGTCCCTAAAAATTGCCTATACTTAAATATAAAAACTAGCTATTAATACACTTGGTTTTCTCTAGCTAATCAGATAAGATGGTCTCTTGTTTAATAGATTACATTAAATTATAGTAATTATATGTAAAAAATAGAAATCTACCCATTTATATGTACTTATTAACAAATTTATACTTTTTCCAAGCACATCAGAAAAGTGACAAAGTTATGTATGTAAGTTTAATTATATTTAATAATACAAATAATAATAACTATTGGAAGAAACTGAATATTTTAATTATGTGTTTTTTTTCAATTTACACATAAGATGTTTACCCGCTTAAGATGATACTCTATTCTATTGATTGGGTTTCTTTAGTGTCTTAAATGATTTTTACTATATTACAATTTATATTAAATAAGGAGATGTCAATACATAATGTATGATATTATATGATTATTAATTTAGATTTTGGAATTTGTAAAGTTAAAAAAAAACAGTTCCACAAAATGTACCATCAATATTAGACAAGATAAATATTGGTTAATTAATCATTAATAAATTATGTAGATACTTGAGTTAAATTGGTTTTAGAATAGTTTAAATGAATCACCATAAGCCTATTGTAATATTGAATATGTTTACCTTTCATACCAAAATACCTCTTGCAGTGGGATGTGGCCGCAACCATTTGCCTAGTTTTAATATAGTGTAAAAATAAAACAAAATGCAATTAAGATAATCAATACCAATGACTAATGCAAATAAGTACAAATATAATATTCATACAATCTAAAACAATATTATAAATGATGTTACAAATAATAGTTTGCATGTTCATCATAATACATTGAGTTTTATAAAGCTATATACGTTTTAAAATTTTTTTTTTTTACAAGTCTGTAAAACTATTAAAATATTGTGGCAATCATTCTAAAAAAGCGTTATAAATAATATAATACCTAAGTGCTTGAGTTAATTTAAATTTTACTTACCACCATAGTTCTGATTAGGCGGTTGTTGATCACATTCTGCTTCAGAAATCTGATTGCTGTCTTTGGAGTCATTAGCTTCATTACTTGTGTTGCTTACATTTGGATCGTGATTACGAGGTGGAGGTGGTGGTGGTTCCGGGCTTCCTAGAATTTAATATTTTAAAATTTAAATATACATAACACTAAGTTAATATATTTTAAAACTTTAGCCATACTTCAGTTTATTATTTTGTCTGAATTTTTATCAAAAAATAATAATAATAGTAGGGTAATTTTGTAATATTGAACTATGAACAAAAATGAAATAAAAATCTAATTTATAAATATGTGTTAATTATAGATTTATAGTTAAAGAAATAATATAATAATAAAGTTGGTGTTTATGAATTTAGTTATCCATCTAAATTTATACCAATACTACGTCCAGCCATTGAAGCACGGCTCTCATAATGTTCATAAGGAGCTCCATATTGACCATACTGACTACCATAATCATCACCCATATTGGCAGGATCATCATATTCGGGGGAAAACATTGAATTTGCTCCAGCACCAACACGAGAATAACGTCCATTACGAGGCTAAAAATAAAATATATAAATTTAATTAAATATTATTATTATACTAACAGGCAACAAATATAATTAGTACATAGAGCCACACATTGGGTAACGTGAAATGGGCCTTATTTTGGAATTTAAAAAGTTATTTTATTTTACCATTGTTTGTGTTCCTGGGCATTGGTGCATGAGACCATTACTAGCTACAGTTCCTCCAGGTCCCATTGTGCCACAATGTCCATTTGGATGGGGGAATGTTTGGAATGGCATTTTTGAAGGATCCATTTCTTCACGAAAACCAAGTAAATGGAATGTAGCATATGGGCATATGTCTTCACCATCGATTCCTGAAATTATTCAATTTTTATAATCGCATCAAAAACTGACATCTCATACCAATATTGGAAAAATAAAAAAATAAAATCAAGCAACCCGCGACAGTGAAAGAAGGCACATAATATGATAATATGTATTTATTTAGTAATAATACATAAAACATAATATGATAATCATTCATTACCCAAATTACCATAATAATAATACAATATCAGATGATGATTTAGCCGTTTATAAAATGTTAGAACCTATTTAAAAATAGTAGGTACCTAACAAATTATTGTTTTTTAATAACTTGTAACTATTTAAAAACAATGTTATATATACATACATAAAATGTTGAAATTATTTTAAAGCTATTAAACCAACCGCAATAGATACCTACTGCTTATAGTGCTTACACCAATAATATTAATAAAATATTAATTATTAACAGCTTCATTTTTTTTACAAAAAAAACTTAGCTCTCAAATATATAATTTTATAGCTCAATAAGCTTTCACACCATTCTAAATTGTTTTGTTAATGAAAATCTCACACTGCTGATGTTAAATAATAAAGCTGCCGTGCAATAGTTGATTGTTCTTTTGTCATCTTTTTTACCTCTACACCTGGTGTACATTGTTTCGTCTGAACCTGGGCATGGGGGTAAATGCCCCCTACACCTGGGATTACTACCATTTAGTTCTTCATACATATGACGGGCTCTAGGGTTCCATGTACCATGACCATTGTAAGGGCCGGGAAAACCTAATTGATAAATGCGACGAGAACAAAAGAAAAATAGTTAAAATGCAAAATAAAAACAAAATCGAGCTAACTCAAATTATACAAAAAAAGCAAAAATAATAATTTAAACAAAACAAACATGGACGATAATATGTTTTGCTAAAATATTTAAAATATTAAATACCTCTTTTGATACGGTCACATGTATTATAATTGGAACCAGGAACAGGGGGAAGCTTGCGATTAGGTGGAGCAATATAACCAAGTTCGTCATTGAAATCTGTGTGTCTCTTATCAAGTGTATTACCGCCCATAATCATTGATTGATTGTAAACTGTCATATCATCTAATAATAAGGAAGTATTAAATTAATTTTTTGCATTCAAAATAGATATGTATAAATTGGAATTATGTACATCTAATATTTTAAGGTTTGTTATAGGAAATTGTATACGTCAACCAAATATGGTATACCATTAAAATGAACTTAATACTGTGTTTTAGTAGTAATTATAGTTACTATAATGTACCTCGCAATCTGGTTTGTCCATTTTCATGGACTCTACGAGACCAAGCAAAACAAACCACGATTATACCAACAATAATAACTACAATTGTTGCAGTAGTCGGCACCACTACATTAAGGTCAATCCACTTTGGTATCCATGGTAAGTAAGTATAAATAGAAGTCACATCTTGTGCAGGGGGAGCAATAGTACCTTAAAAAAAATAAAAAACTAACCTTTGATATCAACTCCTTTCTTTCTCAAGTAACAGAGGAAAATTATAGCCACAATTATAACTAATAAAGCTGATGTAACTGGTATAACAAGATTCAAATTTGCCAATATGATACGGATAGCAGTATCAGTAGCTGAACCAAAACTATTATTGTGAACTTCACGGGCTGGGGCTATAGTACCTGGAACAATGAGTACATTCTTTGTTAATATATAAAAAAAAAAATGTTCCAAGTACTACTAAACCACCGCCCATAAGCAAACAGTTTTGGTAAAAAGATTGAATTTAAAAAAAATTAAAAAATCACCTACCTCCACTTAATGTTAATGATGCAAATTCATATTCAGCCACTGAAAATCCAGCATTATTATGAGCTGTTACTCTTAAATGATACCACGAAGCAGGATCCAAATCAAGGACAACAAAATTTCCACCGGGTCTTACATTATTTGAAACTTGAGTCCATTCTGATTGTGTACTTAAATACAACCCAAGTATACATAGTTATTATTATTTATTTTATACTAAAATAATTATAATCTCAATAAAAATTAAATTAAAAGTAAACAATTTAAAATTATATTTGATAAATTATTACCTTTTTTTATGTTCTACTACAAAGTATAGCATGGGACAACCACCATCCAACCAAGCATTTAAATGTAGAGTTACACTTGTTGCTGATACTTCAATAAATTTACTGGCTTCTGGAATTTTTGGTTTTGAACCAGTAGTTTTTGTATTTAATAAATCTGATTCATCACCCGTACCAATTCTAAAATATATTTAAGTTGTTAAATCTAAAATTTTCACTAAAAATTATTCTTACAAGTTGTAAGCAGTTACTGCTATCTGATAACGCGAACCACACCACAAGTTTTCTAATGTGAATTTTACAGTTTTAGCAGCCACTTGTGCAGTTTGCCAATCACCAAATTCAGGTTTGTATTTAATTGTATATCCGTGAATTGGTTCTCTATCAGCTTCATGAGGTTTTAAAGACAATGTAATTGTATTGGATGTTGTTTCTTCAACAGTAACTTGAGGTTTATGAGGTGGTGCTAAAAAAAAAAAGTGTTTAACGTAAAGGCTATAGAATAAACATTTTTAAAATACACAATTTATAAAGTACCTAAAACAACAATGTGATGCGTGATTTTATCTTTTCCAAATGAATTTCCCACAAAACAAGAATATTCTCCAGCATCAGTTCTAGTCACCGATCTAATTAATAAAGAACCTTCAGGTAACTGACGAATACGATCATTGCTCTCGAGGGGTGCACCTTTAACTTTCCATGAAATCTCTGGAGCTGGTACACCAACAGTTAAACATGGAAGTTTTACATCTTCACGGTATGTTGCAACAAAAGAGTCGTCAAAAGATGCGATCATAGCAGGAACTTAAAATAAATCGGTACAAATATTTATTTTAAGTAATCAAATGTAGCCATTAATAAATAGGTACCTCGAGTACTAGGTGCAATAACAATTGATTTAGTAGGTTGTCCTTCGCCAATATTAGTAGATGCTGTAACCCAAAATTCATAAGGATCTTGTTTAATAAGACCAGATGCTTCATAACTCATTTGACTAGGAGCGACTTTATGTCCCAATGGTTCTTTCTAAAACTCAAAATGAATTTAATACATTTGTGTAAGTTGAATATATACGTTTAATCAAAATTTATGTTACAGCCATTTTATCATGTAAATATTCAAAATAGCAAAATATATATAATACAACATTTTTTTCCATTTAAAAACATCTTAAATAATTTTTACATTTTTGTTTTCATTGTCTCTTTTGAAATTTAAAAGGGAACCTGTATTAAAAACTCAATAATAGATGGAGTGTAAGTTTAAATAAATTTGGTGCTTAAATTTTTGCCACCACACAAGTGCATAGTGTTCCATTACTCTCCCCCTACCTAAACTAAAAAGTGTAATATCTCATCAGAGGATAGACGGATATTGAAAATTTCAACACCAAAATGTATTTAAATTAACACTTCATCTTTTTATGGAATTTTAAATATGCTCATTTGCATTTCAAAAGTTGACCCACAAATCACATGCCAAAGAAAGACAATAAAAAAAAATATATATATATATATATATATATACAAATTATTTTAAATATTTAGAAATTGAAAAACTATTGTATTATAGATTTGTCTCTATTTTGAATATTTACATGATCAAATAGCTTTAACATACATTTTAAATCACCTGTATATAAATATATATATATTTCTTGACATGAACTATTTAAATGTCTTATTGGTAATATAAATAAAATAAAACAGCTATAATAACATTTAACACATAATTTGTAAATAATATACATACATCTTTATTATCACCAGTTGGTTTAATGTAGACCATGTAATGAATGATTTCTCCATTAGGCTCGGCAGGTGGTTTCCAACTAACCAAAACTGATTCAGTAGACATAACCAAAGCTTTAAGTGCTGCTGGTGCTTCTGGCACTAAAGATAATAGATTGATTAAAAATTATTATAAATGCAAAAATGTTTGTATAAATTTATACCATCTTGTTCGGTTTGACAATAAATTCTAGGTGCGCGGACACCATCACCACCTGCAGTAAAAGCCAATACTTCCATACTGTAATTTGTAAATTTCTTGAGACCATGCAAAATAGTTTCGCTCGAAACTGTAATCTTTGTATCTTTTGTACTTTCATCTATAGTTAAAAATAAAATAATTTCTTTACATCCAGTCTATAATATTCAGTGTGTCCAGCCATGTTCTACAGATTTTTCTAGAGCTGTTGATATTAAATATTTTTCAAGTTTTTAATTACTGTTATGATAAGGAATTATCGTGAGGCGATTAGGATTATTATTGAATATTAATTGTTTTCACACTTAATTTCTAGTAATTAAAATTGCTATTACTAAGCTAAAAATGAAACTATTTATTGGATATAAATGTATGATAGAATAATATCTTTTATAAAATGGTTATTTTGAACATTTTGTAAGTTATTTTTTTTGGTATTTAGGTGGTGGAAATAAAAATGTAATATTTTTACAAATTGCTGACCCTCTCTTGAGACAAACTGATTAAAGAAAAATAAAAATTGAAAAATATTTAATATTAACAGCTCTAGAAAAATCTGTCAAAACATGGTGGAACACACTGTATTAAAAAATAAAAATAAAAATGTTACTTACTAAACCAAGAATCGCTAGGACCGTATATTACTTTATAACCTTTTATGACTCCATTGGCAGTATTTAGGGGCGGCGAGACCCAAGAAATTCTAATAGTTTGAGACGTTAAAGTAGTACAAGTTGTGTCATGAGGTGGTTGTTCTGGCACACCTTCAGAAGTGAACTGTTTCATTTCATCTGACATTGGTCCAGCTCCTAATTTGTTGAAGGCCTGTACTACTATTGTGTATTGAGTATATGTTCTAAATAAAACACAATGAAATTATATTACAGTATTTTAAATAATCTTAAAGTAAATAATTTAATGTATTAAACAAATGAAATGTATAAAAAATATATAGTCAAAGAATTTAAGTTGAAATGGATGTTTTGTAGATTAAACTTATTATTATTATTATTATTATTATTTAACAGTGTGTATTAACTTTAAAATATTGTTTTAAATTAAACAAATTAGATGGGTAAAAAATTTTTTTGAAATAACTAGAATAATTTTAAATAAGGTAATAAATTGTGAAGTAACAAAACTTGATTTTTAAAGTCAAATTAATAAAAAAATCAAAAACTTTGAATACAATTTAAAATAAATAGGAATTTTGCATTATTTAGAAACTTAATTTTATGGTTTGATGGGAAAGTTGATGTGTAGATACATTTTCATTCTATTACTATAACTTACTTTAGATTAAATATTTCCAAATAATGTTCTTTTCCTTCTTCTTTGCTGAATTCAACAGTTTCAAAAACAAATTTGTTATCAACTAACGATGATTGTTTGTAACCAACATAATATCCTTGGATTTCACCATTCCAATCACTGCGCTCTGGAGCTTTCCACATGACTTTTAATGTATTTTCATCAACAGGTTCAACATGAATGTTTGTTGGTTTTCCACTTGGTGCTATATACAAATGAATAATTATATTAATTATAATCCCATCAAATTTATAACATTATTAATATTTTACCTTCTTCTGAAGTAATTATGGTAACTGGATCAGAAGGTTTAGAAAGTCCTACTCCATTCTCGGCAACAATTCTAAAATGGTATGTAGTAGCTGGATGAAGATTTACTACACTCATTTCAATTTTATCCCCGGTAATTTCCACTTTTTCAACATCAGTGTCCCATGTGCCTTTGATCGAATAATACAAAAATTATTTAAATTACTGCAATTTTTTTTTTTTTAATTTTACACTTATACCTTTCAATAATTTATATTCAACAATGTAGCGGGTGATTGGTGAATTTCCATCGTACGGAGCTAACCAGGATAATTGTACCGTACGTCCAGATTTATCCAATACTTTTAAACCAAATGGAATCTCAGGAACCTCTGAAATATTTAATTCAACAGAAGTTTATTACAAAAGTTTATGCTTAGTAGATAGGTACCTAGGTACATTAAAGGTATTAAGTAAAAATAATATTTAACACACACCTTGAACAATAAGTTGAATACTTGAATCATCACTTCCAAATGAATTAGTAGCAACACATGTAAATACAGCAGTATCAATTCGTTCAGATCTTTTGATGCTTAGGTCAGATTTAACTCCATCTGTTAATATTTCTTCTCGTATTGTGTATCTAAGTAGAAAAGATTATTAAGTATTAGGTATATACTTTATATATTTCAATGAAAACTTACCTACTATTACTTACTATTATACTATAAATATATTATAATATAGTATGGTAGGTACCTATTTACATAATGTGTGACGTTTCTAATAACCAGTAATTGAGGGTGAAAAGAAACAAACATGTACCTATTTTTCATTGCTATTAAACTCAATTTTAGTGTAAATATGAACAGATTTTAAAATTTCAGTCAATCGAATAATGAGGAACTTTGTACCAAATTTATGAGCATTTATTCTATTTTAAAAATTGTTTATCCATATAAAACCAAAAATATTTCAAATAGGTAGCTTAAAATATAATTGAGGGTTAGATACCCTCGACCAAACGAGTGACCCTGCTAGGTCTCTTGGTACACCAATCATGCTTATAAGTACAAAGAACTTCAAACTTCCATAACTTCTTTAATAATGATTTAATTATAAATTATTATAATTATTATTATATATAATTTAATAATGAAAAGTTCCGAAATCAGCGTCTTAAAACACGTATTTAAAAAAAAATTGCAAAATAAAGGATGTCTGATAAACTAGACAACTAGACAACAAATTTATATTTATTTTAAACTAATAAAAAAAAAAATTTTGCATGTTTTTATACACCAAAAATTCAATAGCACTAACACGAAATATGACAAGAACTGTTTTCGAAAACGAAATAAAATATTAGTGATTACCCAACGTGGATTTGTATATCAAATCGGCTTAATTTTCGATAAATTTCATCGCTCGTTTTGTTTGGAGCTTAAAGTTCCAGACAAAGCACTATTACAATTAAATATAGTATACAGAGTGAGCACGTTTAATGAATCATTCTGTACCTATAGTTTAGTATTCAAATATACATTTAAAATTTATAGAAATTACGCTTTCGGTTCGATATTATTTATTCATATAATTGTCCATATAATGAACAACTGCCCTTTACCCTAAATTCAAAATGTTAAACATTTTATAAATAATAAACGACGAATTAAATATGAATGACTGAATGAAGATAGTTGATAATTTTTCACATTATAATTATTCAGGTATGCGAGTGTGATACTCAGTGATAACATTCCGCAGACAAAAGGCCAAATAAATGTAGTGGTTGCCTATAGTTGGTCCTTACACATTAAATTTTGAATAATAGTGTAAAAGGTTTCTTGGTCGGGTAGGGTGTCGTTGCGCCGATTCGCGGAGAGCATACCTAAAACCGTCAGTCTATATAATTATAGTGGGGGGGAGGGGAATTGATACAAATATTGAGTATTGAGCATCGAATAAAAAAAACAAACATCTGTTAAATAATACAAATTAGCTTAAAAAATAAAAATCTGCTTACCGGGGGGGGGGGGACAAAACAAGTTCCAACAAATAGCTGGGGTGACGTCATCTCAATAAAAAAAGAAATAAAAAAAGAAAGGTAAGATAATTTGGACGGGTGCAGCCACTGGTGTAGGTGGGAGGTTGGGATGGTAGAATATAGACGGTAATTTAATGTATATCTGTAAGCAATCATAAACCATTGCTTACGACAAAACGATTCTGAGCCCAGTTTAGTTGATAGTGATGTTTTTTCAACAATATATATATATATGTAATTTGTTTAATAAAATAATTAAATAGGCTTTATATACTTTCTTTAATACAATTTGTTTAATGTTGTACCAATTTTCCAGTTTTTCTACTGTTTTCCCATGTTGTTTCCCGGTTTTTTACATTTTCTGGGAAAATTCTTGGGAAAATCAAAAAATGACCTCTCTAAAGTACCTCCCTAGTGAAATTTCTCTTTAGAAACATTGCTATCATTAAAAGTTGGAGTAAAATTACTGTTAGAAACGTTGTCCACAGAAAAAAAAATCGTAAGATTATATTTATTACATTTTGTAAATTTTCCCGTTTTTTTCTGGTTTTTCGCATTTTATGAGAAAACTCTTGAAAAAATCGGAAAATGACTTAAGATACCTCACCACGCCGATTTCCAGAAAAGGTGCTACACGTAGAAATCCGAGCAAGTATTCTGATAGAAAAGTTGCGAAAATTGTAGAAAAATGAAAAAAAATATAAACATCTTTGTAAAACTATAAACTTTTTCGCTCCACTCAGAATCTAAAATAAACGTTCTACGTTTATGTAACAATATAAAAAATAATTGTTGTATAATTAAGAATTGATATGATATCGGAGTTACTAAATTTATTTTTGTCTAGTACCTATCTATAATTATAAAATACCGGGCAATAATAGATAACCGCTACCTTATTGTGACACGCACCTTTTCGGCGTGAGTGTCGCGAACTCACATAATCTGTACTATTTGATTGTACCTTATACCCCACCTGTTTTTTACAATCGTAATTTATAATAAGTATATAATTTCTAGTTATTGAACAGATATTTCTAAAAATTGATTCTACTCGCCCATTTTTACGGTAAGCAATAGTACCTATTTATTATTATAGATACATTATAATAATATAGGTATAGGTATTAATGCATAATGCATTTATAAAGGTATTAAATAATACCTTTCTTCTTCTTTGGAATCTAGGCGTTTATTATTCATGTTCCAAACAATTCCAATAGGTTTTTCTCCTTTAGCCATACATTCCAAAACAGAGGGTTGGCCTTTTTCGGAAGTTTGATTTCTTGCTTTAATTTCAAAATGAGGTGGAGCTAAAATTAAATGGACATTTGTAAATAAATATTTACTATTGGTTTTACAGAATAACTATGTAACTCACCTTGCACACTGATGGTGATCACAGCAGACAATCCAGAACCAATTCCATTGACAGCTTCACACAAATAATGACCTTCGTGATTTTTTTGAATATTATGGATAGACAATGTCCCTTCGTCAATCTTAATGTCATCACTGCCCGGTTTCAAATCTTTAATATCCTTGTAATCTCCAGGAGAATTACCTTTAAAATCAAATATATTAAAGAGTGGTTTTCTGGGTTTTATTTTTAAAATATCACTAATTATTTTTTTATGTGTACTTCATTACTAATGATAAAATAATACTAACCAATAGCTTTTTTCCATGTAACTTGAGGTTTAGGGAATCCATCTGCTTTGCATTCAATTTTTGCATCACCTCCTTGTGCGAACGCTTTATCAGTAGGTTCAAGTATCCATCTTGGAGGAACTAATTAAAAAAATATACCTAATGTACTTTGTGAATTTACTCGTTTAAAAAAATGAAGCAGCAAGAGATTCTATTCAGATTTGATCATTATTCGATTCTTATATTATATAAATCTAAAATAATATTATGTTACAATGAACCAATTAATAAGATATTTATAGATGTAAACAAATATTATAAATTAATTTTTGAAATTTGTATTAATGTTAAAATCAGTTTGAAAACTTTAGATCTCTTGCTACTTTACTTAAGATAATATTTAACAAAATTAAGTTTTTCTGGTGATGAAATTAAAGATGCACACATTAAGTATTATACAATATTAATGTATATTTATAAGTATAATTAAATATTAACAATTTTATTTCGTGACGCATTATTAATTTTAATGGGCTTCAAATTCATCACACAGATTAACTTCATTTTTGGTGCGAAAACAAGCGTGTGAAAAAAATAAAAAGCAAAAAAATATGATATTATATACTTTATAAAATGATATTACAAACTGCAGTCTAGGACATTATGGCGTGAAGTCATTACGGTGTGAAGTCCATTTCTGGGTGATATATACTTTTTTAAAATTGTTACTATTTTACTCGTTATTACCATTTACTATTAGTTTAATATAAGTACCTTGTAAAATAATACAAAAAATATCATACGAAAAAGATATAAATGTAGAGAAAGTTACATTATAATAATTTCAAATAATGTAATATAATATAGTATTATCATTTATAAACATTTGAAAATTTGAAAAATATTATTTATAGTGATATAATAATATTATGGCGATTGGGATGAATTAAAATTACATAAAATTAACAAAATCATTTTATTATACTTAAATTATGAGCTCTAAACATCTTTTAAAAAGTTGATAATTTTTCGATTTTCATAGTCACTGACTAGTAGTGCTCGAAAAATAAAATACGGGTATTATGAGACTTAAAAAAATTAACGACTCTTACAACGACTGAACTCAACCTAATCCGTGCAGAGTAATTAGTTGGAGTACGTTAATATTTCTAAAAAAAATTGTTGATCATGTTTATTCATTATTTTAATTACCAATTAATTGTCCTCGTCTTGATCGCAATGCTATGTTCAAGAGTCGTTAATGTTGAATATTTTTAAAATGTTGAAAAATAGATTTATTTTTTGTGTGGTATTGTTTAAGTATATATATATTTATTCGATTGAAGTAAATGGGAATAATGTGTAAAATAGAAAACTTATACAAATTATATTTCACGTCGATATAATTTACCCCGAAACGGCCACGCCAAAATGACCATGCCGAAACGTGCGACTCCGTGCAAACTGAGTATTACAGCAGTAAATAATAATAAAGTGTAGACAAATTTTAAGACAATATTAAAAATGTTCATTTTGCACAATTTTATTTATTTTGTATTTTTATTACAAAACAGGCCACGGCTCAAGTATAGATATAGTACAATTAAAATTAAAATTTGAATACAAAAATAGTTCCTATAATAAAAATTAATAAATGTTTACATTACATGATTTAATTAGATAAATATAACGTAATTTTAATTTAAGGTCTACACATTTATAATTATTTTTAAAAATATCTATAAAAAGTATTAACTTTTGTCAATAAATAATAGCATTTAATAAAATGAAATACATTAATAAGTAAGTAATAACAATACAACTGTACATTTTAAATTAGTTACATGCAATAATATTTAAAGCGGCAAAATAACTAAGCAACAGAAAGGAATATGTATAGGATAGAATAAAAATTGGAATCAGTTTAGGAAAAAAGTAATTTTTTAATTTAAATAATGCTAATTTTAATCCATTTTAGATATTATTTATTTATATTATCATACGTTTTTGATATATCTTCAAGACAAAATGGGCACAGAGAAATATATAATTGAAAATAGGCACATTTTAGTTGGTAGGTACGAAATTCGATTAAGACACCCGGTAAATCAATAACTAATTTAAAAATAAAAATTGACGAAAATTGAAAATTAGCCATTAGGTATTTATTTTTGAAAACTAACAGTTCGATCTAACCAAAAGCCAAAAGAAAATATATAATTTATGAAAATGTCTGGAAATATTTTACCCATGACTTTCAAAAAAGCAGTATGTGAAGCAGAACCAGCTTCATTTTTTGCAATGCAGCTATAGTTTCCAGCATCTTCTAGCGACACCCTAGTCAAGGAAAATATCGAAGTCAGTTCGTCCAATTGTTGTACTTTGAGATTGTTTTTGTTAGCATTCATCAAATGACCATTCTTGGTCCATTCGAAGTGAATCGGCATATCACCCGATGATACGGTACACAAAATTTTCGTCGATCCCCCTTCATTTAATGTATTATCAGTTATTGAAAACGGTTCAACTTCCGGCTTTACTGTAACACAGAAAACCGTTAAAGAATATAAAATGCACATAGGTACTATAGATTTTAAAGACATCCATGAATCAGTAATATACGAATATAATGAAAGTCTATTTAACAGAGAATTACTCAAAACAATTGAGGAATATATTATATCATATGTTATGTGTATTTGTGTTTATATTTGAAAATATATTGCACTATTATTGTATGGAAATAAATAATACAATTTATATATTTCAGAACTGCGGTAAAAATAATATTGAGCAAAATTCTACAATTAACAGGCACATCCTAAATAGGATTTCGTCTTTCAAATCAGTGAGTAGTCATTTTACCGTGAACTTTTAATGTGGCAGTGTAGTTAGCTCGACCAGCTCGATTGGTGGCAATACATGTATAGTTTCCAGCATGATAGGAAGCAGCTGTTTCAATGTAAAGCATGGAAACTTTGCTCCCCATTTTATTAATGTTAATACCACCCCGAAGTAGTAAAGTTTCAGTGTCATGAAATGTCCAAAATACGTTTAATGGCAAATCACCTTCCGAAACAAAACATGTTACTTGTGCTGACTGCCCATCGTATATGGGATCTCCAAAACTGAATGGGTCTATTCGAGGAACGACTGAAACATTATTTTTTTTATCCATTTGAGGAAGATTCTAAATTGTCGGATATTAACCGGATGATAAAGTATAATAGTATAATGGAAGAAAATAATCAGTGGTAATGGTAGGCTTGGGCAAATGCTAAAAATATAGCGTTATATTCAATCAACAAGCGTAATATGTAAGTCAGTTTCTTGAGAATTAAAAATCATTTTACCATGAACATTCAATGCTGATGTGTACTTAGAACTCCCTGCTCTGTTTTCAACGATGCATGCATAATTTCCGGCAAAATAGGCAGATGTGGACTCAATAAATAACATGGATAATTTACTACCCATTTTATTAACTGATATTCCACTAGGTAATGGTATTAATTCAGATTTATCAGATTTGCGAAACCACCAAGTTATATTCAAAGGAGTATCACCCTCGGACACTAAGCATGTGATTTGAGCTGACTGACCGGAATATATTGGCTCTTCAAAGTTGAAAGGGACGATACGAGGAGGTACTAAAAAACACCATATTGTTAAAATAAATAATAAAATGCAAGTATCTATTGATAATTTATCTTGAGGAAATCCAATTTCAAAATATAAAGGAAATAATTGGTATTTTAAAGATTGAAGCATACTTTACAAATATTTGACTGCACCGTACCAAATTTTTGCGTAATGTACATGCTTAAAATTGTGGCTATCAGTGTAACATTAAATTCTATACCGTGTACATTCAAGCTAGCCGTATACGATGCGTTCCCCGCGCGATTCATAACATAACAAGTGTAATTTCCCCGGTGAACATAATTTGTGTTTTCAATCGATAAAAGACTAGTTTTTGTGCCAATTTTTACCACTGACACGCCTAGCCCAAATACATCTCGAGGCCCATCGAAAGCCCACGACAATTCTAGAGGAGAATCACCTTCCTGAACTGAACAAGTCACTTGCGCTGACTGTCCAGCATATATTGGTGTATCTCCAAATGTAAATGGTTTTATTTTCGGAAAAACTACATGTTGTAAACAAAAAACAGATATCAAATAGGAAATAGAAACTGGATACTAACTTCTAATAAAATGTGTATATTGTAAGTGTATCGGTGAAATATAAATTATTATATAGGTAATCATATCAGACATTGAAACCAAATAAATAGGCACTAAGAATTGTCTATAGTTATTAATTTCAGCATGCTAAGATTACCCTACCCGGATTTCTAGGTAGTTACCATTTACATACAATGAGGCAGTGTGTACTGATTCACCAGCCTTATTTCTGGCAAGACAAGAATAATTGCCGACATTTTTCTCTGTTAACGATTCGACAGTTAATGCGCTAACTCGTCGTCCATTTTTTGATACAAAAACGTTTGCTAAGTCACTTGTTGATTTACCGTTGAAAGTCCACGCAAACTCAACAGGAATATCTCCAGAAGATATAGTGCACTGTATAGAGATCGTTTCACCGGCTTCGGGGATGTCGTCACCAAATGTAAAAGGTGTCATCTTAGGTGGGACTTTAAATTTGAAATTAAACGTATTGGTAAATTATAAAATATTCAAGTAGTATGTGGATTTTTCAAATTTAATACTAATATAATTTAAATGGAATACGTAATACAATTAGTTTAACCATTTTTTTTAAATAAAAAAATTGTTATGTATCGAATACACATTTGAATAAATTTTTTTTTTATCGAAATACCTATCTGCAGTAACACTCTTGAATAGTAAAATGTATAAACACATATTATGGTAGGTGCTCGTATGTTGATTAAATAGGTGGAATGGTAATATCATTTAAGGAATCGTTAAAGTTACATTGTTATAAACATAACTAAATAATACTAGCCTAATCTAAGTTAATGAACAATTTTAAAAGACATTATTTATTAAGGTTAAAATAACAACACTAAATCACAAGCAAATCAAAACTTTAAAACAAAAATATACCATCGACGTTTATGTACGTTGAATAATTATAAGACCCGATTCGATTAGACGCGATACAAGTATATTTTCCTGTATGTGCTGCGGATAGAGTTCCAATAGTAAGTACACTAGAACTTGAACCAAGTTTAGTTGTGCTCACACTCAATTCGGAAGAAAGTTCATCATCATTGAATAACCAATCAAGTTCTAGAGGTTTATCCCCCTTTGAAACGTGACAACTTAACTGTATGCTATCGCCAGATCTCACTTTCTCCTCAACAGAAAACGGAACAATATGCGGTAAGACTATAACCAACAAATAATATGAATGTTAAATATCAATATTGAAAACTCAAAATAACCAACTGAATAATGTATTACACATTAATAAACTATGATAAACAAGTCTTAAATAATTAAAAAATTTAATTTTCCTCGGTTATAAAATAAATAATATCAATGAAAAAAAAAAAATAATAGGTTACCATTGGAATATAAATATAAGCTTTGTAATATATATATATATATACATATATATATATATATAACTAATTTGTATGGTATTAAGGAATATAATTTTTAAATTGGATCAAGTATAGAACATATTTAATATAACCTAACATAATATATATGCTAAGAATAATTCAAAAGTCATGCTAGAAAAAAATACTTCGCTATACCATTAACCATTAGTTGAGACGTTAACGAGTCAGATCCAGCTGAATTTTTAGCAATACAAGTATAGTTTCCTCGATTTGAGGGACTGACTGAAGGAATTGATAAAAAGTTGGTCGTGTCCCCAAACATTTGCGTAGTAACGCCCATATGAGAAGACAATTCTTCACCATAAAAATTCCAAGTTATGGACATAGGTTTGTCACCTTTAGCCACCGAACAAGATAGTTGAACAGATTCACCGGCATTAACTGGACCGTCTCCGAAGGAAAATGGTAATATTTTAGGCAAAACTAAACATTTTGAACAATATCTAATATTTATTTGTGTAAATGACGAAGAAAGCAATTTTATATAAAATATTTTACAATTCGTTTACTTATTCTACTCAACCTTTTTATATTTTGAATGGTTTAAACGGATTGAAAAGTTAATTGCTTTTAAGGAATATTAAGCTGTGCTATTTTGTTAGTTTCTTTGTGATAAACTAGACTTTTTTTAACGTTTTTTGACCATGCTTTACGTTACACGATCAATTTTGTATACCGTAAACCACAAGTTGTGAAGTATATGTGTCCGATCCAGCACTGTTTTTTGCAATGCATGTATAATTTCCTTGATTTGAAGGGCCAGTCGAAGGAATAGATAAAAAGTTAGTCGTATCTCCCAACATTTGTGTAGTTACACCCATATCAGATGATAATGCTTCACCATAAAAACTCCAACTTATTGTTAACGGACGATCACCCTTTGAAACCGAACATACGACTTGAATCGATTCACCAGAATTAACTGGTCCATCTCCAAATGAAAAAGGTACGATTTTTGGTAAAACTGAAATAGTTCTTGATAATAAATTTAAATGCTTATAAAATAGTTATACCACCGGCTACCCGAAATAACTATGTATACTTAAACGTTAAGTTGTTTATTCATTACATATTTAATTAGGAAAAAACGGAAAACATGTAGAAAAAAGATAATATACATTGAACTTTAATAACCAAAGGTGCTTTAAAAATGTATGCATATAGTATTATCTACACGTAATAGTTACTCTAAATTTGAGTAATATTACTACCATTTACTATTAGCTGAGCGGTATACGAATCATTTCCAGCTGAATTTTTTGCTAAACAAGTATAATTTCCGCGGTTAGAAGGAACCACTGATGGTATAATTAAAACATTCATTGAATCTCCAACGGTCATAGTACTAACACCCATGTTCGATGATAAATTTTCGCCATAAAAATTCCAACTAATACGTAAAGGTTTATCACCCTCCAGAACAGTGCATCCCACTTGCACAGGATTTCCAGCGTTGCTAGGTTCACCACCAAAAGAAAATGGTAATATTTTCGGACGTACTGTAAGAATGAATAGGTACAACATTGCCACAAAATTGTTGTTAATAATTACATTTTTATATAATAATATAATTTTTTAAATAAAAAATTATTTCTAATAAATATATGCATTATTCATTGTTTAGGTACTTATATACATTTATATACATAGGTATAAATTATACGCTAACTATGAAGGTACTTATAAAATAATAATATTTTTTGACGGAAGCAAATGCTTAAAATTATTTTATGAATTTTTATATTGGTACGATTTATAATATTATTAGGATAAGTGTAGGATATGGGTTGTTGCACTATACCAACAAAATGATTAGTTTATAGTTTAGTGGTAATATTAAATACCATTAACTAAGAGTTGAGCAGTAAATGAATCAATGCCAGCAAAATTGTTTGCAACACAAGTATAGTTTCCTCGGTTTGAAGGAGTAACAGATGATATAAATAAAACATTCATTGAATCTCCAACGGGCATAGTACTAACGCCCATGTCCGATGAAAGTTCTTCACCATAGAAATTCCAATTAATACGTAAAGGTTTATCACCTTCTGTGACAGTACATGCGACTTGTACAGTATTTCCAGCATTACTTGGTGTATCACCGAAAGAAAATGGTAATATTTTTGGACGTACTATAGGAAGTAAAATATTTATTGATAGATTGTTATTGTAGTTAGGTAAATTTATTAAAATACCAAGACAAGTTATACAATAATATAATTTTTTTTGGATTTCGTTTTTCGGACATATTATTTATAGGTACTTGGTTATTAAATGGGTTACTAAGGTGTGGAGGTTTTAAATTATACATGGATAAGATTGGATTAATGATTGTTGCATTTTACTGAGTACATAGAAGAATAGCAGTTGAGTAAATACTCAATATTAGGTATAATGAATACCGTTGACCAAGAGTTGAGCTGTATATGAATCATGGCCAGCTGGATTTTTTGCAACGCAAGTATAATTTCCTCTATTTGAAGGAGCAACAGATGGAATAAACAAAACATTCATTGAATCACCAACAGCCATGGTGCTAACACCCATGTTAGATGATAATTCTTCACTATAAAAATTCCAACTTATGCGTAAAGGTTGGTCACCTTTCGCAACAGTGCAACCAACTTGGACTTTATCGCCAGCATTATTTGGATTATCCCCAAATGAAAATGGCAAAATTTGTGGCCGAACTGTAAACGCGTATAACTTTACTTATTATGTTTTTTTAATAAAGATTTATGAAAATTAATGTTTTTTTTTTTTCTATTGGTAACATAACTTAAAATTAATAAACTATATGTTATTAATAACTTGATGAGGGTATCTATTACTTATATGTAAATAATGAATATCAAAGAATATACAAATTACCTATAAATAAAACTATTTAACTATAGTTAACCCCGGGATAAATACCGGAAGGAGTGTTGCATCTACAAGCACACTAAATTTATAATTTTAATGACTACCATTAACCAACAGCTGAGCTGTATATGAATCATATCCAGCTGAATTTTTAGCTAAACAAGTATAGTTTCCTCGATTTGTTGTCTCAACAGAAGGTATAGACAAAACGTTCATTGAATCACCAACCGGCATTGTGGTAACACCCATATTAGATGATAGTTCTTCCCCATAAAAATTCCAACTAATACGTAAAGGTTTATCGCCTTTAACAACGGTGCATCCCACTTGCACAGTGTCACCAGCATTGCTAGGCATTTCACCAAATGAAAATGGCAATATTTTCGGGCGTACTGTAAAGTCATTTATTTTTTTAAAAAATTGTTAGAAACTTATAACCCAAAACTAATTTTAATGATGTTGTAATATTATTGATTCTTATGCATTATACCTATACCAACATAATATATTATTTGTTCCATCGTCATGATTAATAATTATTTTTTTTTTCAACTTCACTATTAACTATATAGATTATAGATATATTAATATTCTCTAATTAACTGATATTTTATTTCTAGTTTACAATAATTTAAATTCTTATAAAAATTTAATAAGACATCAATTTAATGAGTAATTATTTTTTTATTTTTAATGAACACCATAAAAGGGTGTTTAAATTAAAATTAAGTTATAAAGGATAATAAGGATATAAATGGATATTTGTATTGAAAAACAAACTACTGAAATTAATAAACACTGTTATTAAGATAGATATACGTTAAACTGTAGTATAGGTAAGCCTATAATAAATTGTACCATTAACTTCCAGGTATGCAGAATAATAATCCATTCCTACAGCGTTTTGTGCTACACATGTATAATTTCCACCGTTAGAAAGACCAGCAAAAGGAATGGATAAAATATTTGACCTGTCACCCATAGAACTAGTAAAGACTCCAGTCTCAGATGAATTAAGTTCTGTGCTATGAAAATACCATGATATCCTTAAAGGCTTATCGCCTTTAGTCACAAGACATGTTATTTGTACTGGCTCGCCAGCATAGACTGCTGACTCGAATTCAAATGGTCTGATTCGAGGTGGCACTGGAAACCATGAAAATTATCTTTGGCTTGGATAAATACGTTATCTGTATTTATTTTGTTACAAAGCTATTATATATGATTATTTATAACAATGCATCTTATTTAATGTATAAAAAATGTGTATTACTGATTAAGTGATTATTATCTAGGAGTACAAGGAATATGTCAGAGCAGAAAACTATAGGGAAATAAAGAATAAATGACGAAAACTGCTTTGGTCTATATCTGTATAATATGATACCACATTAAACAACATTCAAAGCAAGTTAATTATTAAATGCCTGTAGAAATAAAAATAATATTTCATAATATTCAATTCTATACCATTCACTTCTAAATATGCAGAATAAGAGTCCATCCCGACAGCGTTTTGAGCTACACAAGTGTAATTTCCACGATTCGAAATACCAGCCGAAGATATCGACAAACTATTGGCTCGATCGCCCAGATTGCTTGTAATTATACCAGTCTGCGGTACCGTTAATTCTTTGCTTTGCAAATACCATGATATTCTTAAGGGTTTATCACCTTTGGTTACTAAACAAGTCAATTGTACAGGCTCCCCAGCATAAACTGCCGATTCAAACTCAAATGGTCTGATACGTGGCGGTACTGGAATTTTGTGTATCATTTAATTATTTAAGATTTAAGTATTTCTTTACTAGTTTCATTTTAAACTTTAAATTTTTATATCACTAATTTATTATGATTAATTATAAACGTTTCAAAATTAATATGATAATCTTGTGCATAACCATAAACTCATTAAAAAATGTATCAATAGTATTTTATAAAAACGATAGGATTAAAGGAATATGTTATTTATTCATAACACTAACTACAAAAACATCAATTTCCAAATAAGTACCAAATTTCTCACGCCGAATTTTTATCATAGTTTACAGATAACAAACAATTATTAAGCAATCAATTATTAATATGTTTATTTTACAAATAACTCGAAAAATACTGTGATCATGTCCGACTTTATACCATTTACTTCCAAATACGCGGAATGATAATCCATTCCGGCTGCATTTTGAGCAACACAAGTATAATTTCCAGCATTGGAAAGACCCGTAGAAACAATAGATAAACTATTTGTTCGATCTCCTATTGTACTTGTCGCTATGCCAGTTTGAGATGTTAACTCTTTGCTTTGTAAATACCACGATATTCTTAATGGTTTATCTCCAGTGACAAAACATGTTAATTGCACAGGTTCGCCAGCAAATACTACTGATTCAAACTCAAATGGTCTGATACGTGGTGGTACTGTAAATATTTCATAGTATAGAAAATTCACAATATTAACCAACCACATTCAGGATACATTTTTTAATATTCAAAATAGTTATGTGGAATAAATTAATTTTGTTATATACAATTTTAAGTTGTAAAATTAATAAATAAATTAAAAGCTGGAGTGATTAAAAAAATTGTGTAAAAATGAAACATTTTTAGAACGCCATAACAAATGTAATTGTATTTTATAAGATTATAGGTAGGTATGTTAAATATTTAACACCTACCTATAGGATAAATAAATGAAATACCTAGATCAACTATACTCTTAGAAAATGTAGTGTACCTAAGGATTTATTGAAGAAATACATTATTGTTCAAATTTTTTATTTTACATATAAATATAATATTTATTAAATATACTAAAACAGTTTGGTATAAAATATAATTTCTTAACAAAATTTATGAACAAATATAGCTTTACTTAGGAATGCAATAAACAACTATACTGGAAGGATATGTAAAATGGAATAAACTCTGTTTCCTAACGAGGCATCAAAAGTCTGGACATGCATAAATGCTGGAATAAGCTTAACAAATATTGTGCGAATCTAAACAGATAATTTTATACCGTTGACCATTAATTTTACTGTGTGTTCAAAAACACCAGCTCGATTTGTTGCTATGCATGTATAAGATCCTCTATGATATTCAGTCACAGATGGTATTTCTAACATAACAATTTTTTTTCCTATACGATTAAGCAATATAGGCTCAGGTAATGGTCCTAATGATCCACCTTCAGCAGCTCGAAAAATCCAAGATATATTAATTGGCATATCTCCTCGTGCTACATGACATGTTAATTGAGCATTATCACCGACACTTAATTCTCCATCAACCGAAAAAGGCATTATTGAGGGGGGTACTAAAATGTTAAGAAAATAATATATTATGAACAAATTGCAAATATTAAATGGTGATGAATTATAATGGAGTTAAATATGCATGGGAACCATAAAGAAAAGCATAATGTGCTAGTGCTGATGTTGCATGTTAACAAATTATATTTTTTAAATATACGCCTTTGTATACCATTAACCATCAAAATTGCAGTTTGATTGACTATCCCTGCTCTGTTTTTTGCAATACAAGAGTAACTTCCTCGATGGTATTCTGTTACTGTAGGTATCTCTAACATTGTTATTTTTTTGCCAATTTTATTTTCTATTATTGGCTGTGGCATAGGTTGTAGACGACCATCTGGGCCTTGAAACACCCAAATTATTTCTAACGGAGTGTCGCCTTTTATTACATGGCAAGTAAGTTGAGCAGTGTCGCCAACGTTTGAATCACCCTCAAACGAAAATGGTTTCATTGATGGTGGTACTAATAACAAGTTCATTGTCTTTAATATCTTAGGAAAGTTACATTTAGAGGAATTATCGATTAGTAGAATTACTAGAATTTATAAGACAACTTTTAGCGACAAAATTTCCAGCATAATTATACAACAGTCATGCTATAAAATTCTTTTTTATTAGACCTCTTTAATTTTTTACCATTTACAGATAAAACAGCAGATTGTGATACTCGATCTGCACGATTATTTGCAGTACAGACATAAGTACCACGATGAAATTGTGTAACCACGGGTATTTCAAGTACAGCTATTTTCTTTCCTATTCTATTAACAGTAGTAAGTTCTGGAAGTGGTACTGAACGATTGTTGGCATCCAAAAAATTCCAAAATAATTCAAGAGGCATATCACCTTTACTCACATGACAAGTTAACTGGGCATTATCGCCAGCATTGGTTTCTCCATCAAATGCAAATGGTAATATTACAGGTGGAACTAAAAATTATACTGTAGGTAGGTATAATAGTGTTATACAATATAATTTTTAAAAACCTATTCGTAGGTATCTATACTATTAAATTAAACTTCATAAACAATACACTTAAAGTGCACTTACCTGTGGATGATATAAACTACACTTAATTAAAACTTAAATCGAAAGTGTTAAGACTTAAACTAATAAAGTATTAATTAATATTTTTTAAACCTACATTTATTATATTTATAAATAATAATTTTAAATAATTTTAAGATCTTTAAAATAAAAAATATTTAGATTAAGTATTAGTTGATATTATTTTGTAAAGAGTTACTATTGCAAGAGAATCTTAAATAAAACTTATATTATACAACTATATTATATATATTAACTATGTTGTTCCACGTGCTATTAATTATAATTATGAATAGATCTTATAACCCTTTTAATAAAATCAAAAATTCTAACTTTCTTATATTCTGACATTTCACTTATACTCTAAATTTTCTTTTATGGGTTTCAAATAATAGTAATAATTGGCTGAAATAATATTATAGATATAATCTGTTCTTCATTTTTAAATCTTCATGAATTATGTTTAGTTGTTGTAAGTTGTATAATATTTTAATTATTAATATTTAATTATAAAAGCAATAATTTTTAGATAATGTTAGACATGTATTCTATTTCTGCTTATCAAACAGACAATATTAGATCTACTCATAAATAAATTTAAAGACTATAACATTTTTTAGGGTAATACCTATGTAGATACTTAGATTATTTTATAAAATATCATTCAACAAACTAATAATTAGATATAATTAGATATAAGTAGATAGATTTAAGATTAAATTTTTAAAACGCTATGATTTGTTTGTAACATAATATTCATTAGAAAGTTTTTACATCTATAAGTAAGATAATATTTTATTTACAATTTTAACTACCTAAATTGTAAAATGTACTTATTAAGTAAAATGTATTAATATTTTTGTATTCTAAATTAAATTAAATACACTTTTCATAAGTTCTTGGAAATCAGAGTTATATGTGATAATATTAAAAATTTAAAAATAAGAAATATAATAATTGGGTCCAAAACATTATTGATCAAATATATTAAATATTAATAAAAAAAATATTAAAAATTAATAAATCTTTGTTATTAAAAAGTATAAATAACTCATAAGTAGACCTAAAAATATAAAATATATATGAAGAACAGATGGACCATTTATAAATATTATAAATTATAAGAAACATTTACATACCCATTACTTGAACTTCTAAATTTCCTTTAGCAGTATGTCCCTGAGCATTTCGAGCAACACATGTGTAAGTAGCTTGATCAGAAGATCTTTCAACATTTTCAATAATCAACGTACCATTAGGAAATACTTTTTGTTTTCGGTTAATAGGTAGCTGTCGATTATCTAATAATTAAATTGTATCAATCAAAAACAGTAGTGGTTAATCTAATTTATAAATGTATACCTCTTTCCCATGTAATTGATTCTAATGGGTATCCTGCAACTGGACAAGTAACGAAGAGATTTTCTCCAGACACTATATTTTTCTTATCCATTGGTCTAATAAAAGGAAGACCGTAAACATTTAGATGTGCCGTATGTTCAGCTGTACCGACTTTAGATACAGCTACACATTTGTAGTGACCTCCATCATTAGTGTGAACTGATGATATATTCAGATAGGAAACTACTTCGCCTGCCATTGTAATATGTTGTCCAATACGAAGTCTAAACAAATATAAATTAATAAATTATATTATACAATTAATAATAATTTTTATTTTACAAAACCTTTCAGTGCTGCTAAGGCGTTTGGAATCTAATTCCCAATTGATTTCAGGGGTTGGGTTTCCAGAAGCAATACATTTTAAGTGCAGTGAAACTCCTGGCTGCATTGTATTATCGTTAAAGTATTCTTTTATTTGAGGTGGCTCAACTATTAATATTAAAATTAAAATTTGAAATTAATAAAATTGAAAAACTATTACAAGTAGGAATACAGAATACAAACATCGTCCTCCTAATTTGAGTTCAGCACTTCCTTGAGCACTCTCCTGTTCGTTCCTTACAAAGCATTGATACATTCCTTTGTCTTCCTTACGCACAGAATCAATTCGTAATACTCTGCCATCGTGTGAATTTAATCGTTTACCATCTTTTAACCAAGAAATAGTTTTTACTGGATTTCCTTCATAGTTGCAAGTCAAAGTGGCAGGTCTTCCAAAATCCACAGTTTGAATAGTCGGTTCAACAATAGCATTTAGTGGAGCTACAATATTAAATCAAATTATAATATAATTACACTAAAAATTAAAAAACATAAATATAATTACAATAACTTACCCGTAACTGTCAACACAGTTTCTACACTTTCACCACCAACAGAATTATTGACAACACATAAATATTTACCAGAATCTTCTACTTTAGCATCACGTATTATCAATGTTCCAGAAACTTGTTTAATTCTATCATCTAACGTCACTGCTTGTTTCTTATTGGAACCTTCTAGAAACTTGTACCACCTAAACAAAGTGTCTCTCATTATCGTAAAATTTTGTTTGTTATCATTGTATATTTTAGAAGTGTGACTCTTTGTTATTAAAATAATAGAATTCATAATATATCATTTGAATTAACTATAATTATTTCTTATTATAATTTTGTAAATAAGGATTAGGTATAATTTATAATTTCTTATGGTATTAAAATTTTAATAATAAATTATATATTATTATAGAGTCACGCTTCTTTAAAAATTATATCAAAAATAAATGTAGGTATAACCTACAAAATAATAGTTTGGTGTGGTGTTTTTAAAACAGTAAATGGGGCTCATTATTCTACATAATCACTGAATTTGAAAATTTATGAAAGAATACCTATTAAACATATTAATACCTATAGGCTATAATACGATTATCGATATAAGAGCCAAATATGAAATAACACAAAAAATATAAATTTTAATAGTATTGAATAAGAGTTAATAAATAAATGGAAAATATAGATAGGCTTTAGATAGGATTAATATTTCAATTAAATTAACAATGATACAAATATTATAACAAATTTTGTCGAAGTCCAAATATTTGAGGATATTATCTAACATAGTACCAAAAAAAAAAAAAACACCCACACCTCTAAAAACAATAAAACCATAATATAAAACTTATTTTCACTGAACAATTATTGCTATTGAAGAATGTATTATTTTCTTAGAGTATATTTAAAATATTTATGTATTCTAAAGTGAATTTATTTAAGTACATTATAGTTAGTAGTTTTTTCTTATGTTACAATTTTAAATTGTGTTAATTGAACATTTGTGTAGTATTAAATCATTTTTAGTAATATATTAGTCATAATATAGTATGTTTACTGAATAAGTAATCCGGTAATGGGTATGCATACAATAACAGATGAAAAAAAAATGAAATATAAAAGAATTTTATAAATGTTTTGATAAATATACAATATAATTTAGAAATAAAATATTATAAATCAATTGTCTTACAAGAAAAAATGGCTTATTCAATCACACTACCTGGATTTAGGAATTGGATATCCTTGGGTGGGACAAAGGACTGCAGTATCGGATCCAATACTAATTTCTTTAATTTCGATTACTTTACTAAGGATTTTCGTACGTATAGCTCCAGTAGGTTCTAAAATAATAAATATCTGAATCAAATTAAAAAATTGAAATACTGGAAATATCTTAAAACTTATAGCTTTTAAAATGGAACCTTATTTGATATAGACTCTGTGGAGTATATTTTAACATAGGTAACTTACTCATATTTAGGAATAGGGAAACCTTGACCAGGGCACAAGAGTACAGCTGGCTCATTAACAACAAAATTGTTACCTTCAAAACGTTCTTTAGAAACTTTACCAGCAATATTTGAATGTGGTTCTGCAATTTTGTAATCCATATATTTATTTATTTAATTGAATTATTAGAAGTTTACGGTTTGAGATAAGAATAGGGAACCCCAAATCAATAATTATGAACACATTAAAACATAGACTTTTGATAAACTTCCTTGAATTTTATTTTGTTCTCAACAGTTATAGGAAACTATCACGAATTCTGTTTAAAATAAGTAACTGTATATTACATACCGATATACGGGAATGGGAAACCCAATCACATTGCAAACAATATGCATGGTTTGTCCATTAGCCAAGGTTATTAGTTTTCCACCCTCATATTTTTCACCGGGAGCTTTTGGTGATATATTCCCAGTTGGTTCTGTAAATATATTTTTTAAAATTTGATCGTATTCAAGTCAGCCAGAGATTATTAAAAATGAAAAAAAAAAAAATAAAAAACCCAAAATGTTGGAAGGTAGATACAATGGAAAAAAATAAAAATCTGATTTTATTATAGGCACCTACCTAAAATTTCTTAAGAATTCAAAATTTAGATTAATATTTATTATTATTATTATGTACCTATCTATATGAATATGCATACTTATTCATAATATTTCAATTTTAGTATTTTTCTTTATTTAAAATAATTTTCTCGAAGACAAAGCAATTTAAATGCATGTGTACCCTAGATTATCGTTTACTTCATAAATATTTGATTTCAGTTATACAAATAGGTTTAACGCAATTTACATACCGAAAATAAGGAACAGGGTATCCCTGAGCGGAACAAACCATTGATATATGAGTTTCAAACATAAATGGTTTTCCAATTAAAATGGCAAGCTCTTCTTTTTTTATTTTCGGCGAAATACTTGTTTGGGGATCTAGCAACATGGATAACAATTAAGAAACGATCTAACGGAACAACAGTTGTAATTTATTCCTATCCTAATGAAGCCCGAAATATTCAATTAACATATTATTGATTTTTTTTTTTTTTTATAAGTCATGTTAATTTAATGAATAGGTAGTTAGTTAATGATACATCTTAGTGTTATAAATCTACCTGAAAACAGGTACTGGATAACCTTGAGTTTCACATAGTAACTCAATATTTTGACCAAAAACCCCGTCAACATGGTCAAACTTTGATTTCGTTGGTACTTTAGGAATCACTGTTCCTATTGGATCTGTTCAAAAATACCATTTAATTGGTTTATGTTTTCAAAAAAAAAAAATCTTACATAAGTACCTACTTAATATGCATTAAAGATTAATATAATGCATTAAAAATAAAAAGATGCGTTTTTAAAAATGTGCTAACCATAAAGTAAATTAATATTGAAAACAAATTTTAAAAGGTAACATTACTACCTACCTAGTTTACTTAATCATCATATGATTTTTAAATCCAAAGAATGCATCCCTAAATAAATTCTACATTTAGTATTATTATTCAATAGAATTTAAAAAAATTCATAGATGGGTAATATACCTGTTACTGTCTTTGATGATAATTAAATGTAAATCATAATCAATAATAACTATTAATTTAGACTTGGCTAATTTGTTTAGGAAAAATATGTAGGTATATGGCATGAGTCTAATACTCTACTACAGGAAAATCAATCTCAAATTTCCAATTTGGTAAAAAATCATAAATAAAGTTTACGAGCTACATGAAAAAAAAAAAAAAAATTATAATCGTCTACTATAGGTGTAGCACGTAATAATAGGAAAAAATAACAATTTTTTTTACAAGTACAACACGTCAGCACCTATTGTTATGTATAGAAATAATAAAACAAGACATTTTATTGAATCATTCAATGTGACTCGGACCACGAAAATATGAGGTATGATAATTTGGCATTCATGTTAGAGATAATATCTCTAGAAATATTTTCCAGTTTTTTATTGGTAAATTAGAAATTAAAAAAGATGGACATACTTCGCACAATGGGTGGGTCACAATTGTAGGTGAGAAGTTGGGAAGGTAGGATATATAGGGTAATTAAATTTTTTTTTTTTATGCAACGATTAAAAATTGCTAATAAAAAACGATTCTGAATGGAGTTCGGTTATACATGTTTTAAAAGATAGTAATATTTACGATATTCGTCAAAATTTGATATTAAAATTCTTATAAAAAAAATACTATATTAAACTCAACTTTTTTTTATTAACCACTTAGAACAACTTAGGACTGTTAAATTTTTAAGCGTTTTTCATTTCTATTTAGTCTAACAATTTTATCCACAGAGTATCTACCAAATAAATATTATGTAAAAAAAATCACAAAATTAAAATGTCGATAAATAGTACAAAAATAGCTCAAATGTTTTGAAAATTTGACCACGTTTATAAAAGTTAAATATATGGTTTCTGTCCGAGATCTCTAAGAACATTTGGAGCTAAAATACAACAAAAATAAAAAATTGAAAATAATAAAAGCAATAATTTCATAAATTTTCCCGTTTTCCCATTTATAATGAAAATCTGAAAACAAAAAGATGATCACCCTAAAGTAATGGTACTTTAGTGGAGCTCAAGAGTATTTCCTTCGAGAAAAGGTGCAACACTTGAAAATCGGAGCAAGATTTCTGGTAGAATTTTTTTATACAGCATAAAAAAAAAAATAAGATAACATCATTGTAAAAACAATATACTGAAAATATTACTAAAAATTAGATGATCGGATGGGGAATCGAACCCGAGTTTTTCACTTGCCCGGCGATTACTCTATTCCTGAGCTATTCAACTATCAGGTATCTGACTTCTCGCTGAACTTAAACGGTCTAATGTCCTGGATTTGAATGTTTGGTGGAGTGACCAATGGTTACTGATCATGTGTACGGTTGAGGTGCCGATGCGGCGAGTGGGGACTGTGTCACACACATCAAATTAATTTATACAAATTATATAATATATACATAATGTATAATGTATAATAATTCAGTGCTTTACTTGGGGGACGCAGGGAAACTGAGTACCCCAACAAAATGTTCAGATATTTTAGAGTATTTTTTTTTTCAAATTAGGACGCAAAGGACGGTACCTTTTTTAAATTTGCTTTCAAAATTAGTTAGATAATATTATTTTTATAAAACAAAAACTGCTGAAAGTAGGATATTGAGGGAAATTTAATGTATATCTGTACCTAAACAAATGTAAGCATTGTCAATAAAAACGATTCTGAGCGGAGCTCGGTTAAGAGTATTGTTTAGGAGCGTCTTCGGGTCAATTCCGTGGGAGGGGGGGAACAATTTTTACTTTTAAATACTGCTGCTTTGGTCAACAAAAACTTAAAACTTTTATGTCTGATGTTATTTCAACTTATATTAACTTAGAAAACTGCAGATAAATTGTAGAAATGCAGCAAACAGTACAATTTAAAAATTAAATTTATTTTTTTCACATTAAATAAATAATAGTTAAAATAATGATAATACGAATAACAAAAATAATAAGAATAATAATTAATAAATGTTAGATGACCAAGTACAAAATATTTTTATTTTAAGCAGCGTTTTGCAGGCGGTTTGATCAAAAATATTTTCTATACTTATTAATTTATTAATTTTTCATTTCGATGAATACCTATTTAAAAGTGAAAAGTTTCTGCTCAAAAATTTTTTTTTTTACTACATAGTACGACTTTTAATGAACCTCATGTTAAATTCTCAAGCATTTCTATTTGTTCTATCAATTTTGTCTACATACCGAATAAAAATTACGTGTAAAAACTCGCAAAATTAAAATGTCTCTAAATTGCTCAAAAATTTTACCAGTCAAGAAAAGTCAAATATAAGTTTTCTATCTAAATTTCAAGACTCTACGAATATTTTTAACTGAATTACAACAAAAAATTATTATTTTCATAAATTTTCTCGTTTTTCTTATGTTTTATCTTGGGTTTTACTGATTTTATGAAAACTAATCGGAAAATCAAAAAATGACCTTTCTAAAGTACTATCTAGTCAATATGACAATATTTTCTTTCAAAAAAGGTGCTAAACTTATATATTGAAGCAAAATTTCTGGTAGAAAATTTTGTCACAGTAAAAAAAAAAAAAAAACATTGTAATCCAATAGGTACATTCTTCGCCACATTTATAAATGAGAAATATTTTATCTTGTTCAATCAAAGTATTTCCAAGATCTGGAATTATATTTATGGCATTTAGAACCAGTTGCATTTATACTTAAAAATTATGGATAATTTGTATAATAAAAAAGAACATCACATGGCTTACGGGGGGGGGGGGGGGATGATCGCCCCCTTAGCTCCCCTAGGGACGCGCCTAACACAATCTCGTATATTTATAATGTGCTGGTGTACGTAGGTATAACTGTATAAAGCATCTGTGAGGTACCTTCTTATACTGATTATTAGAAGTTGAACGAATATTTTCTTATAACTGCTATACCAAGAAAAATAATAGAAAGGATTTGAATAATATTTACCGAAAACTAGGAACTGGGAAACCTTGAGCTTGACATTGTAGTCCAATATTAGTATTTTGAAAACGAATGTAAGCTGAAATCTTTGTATCAGTTGAAAAACTAGGAGATTTCATTCCAATTGGTTCTGAATTAGGTTTGAAACAAATACAAAAATAAAAATTGTTATTATTTTAAAATTCCAATGCAATTTATTTTAGATAAATTACTTGATAATAATTCTGATAGTAAAAATGTTATAAATGTTTTTATTTATGTTTAAACAAATTGTTACATTTAGAATATACTATATATTCGTAAGTAATTTTATAAATTATTGTAATAAATTATTAATATTTACTTATATAATATTTTATACTTTCATATAAACTGGATTCTACAAAATAAACTATCATGAATTCAAATATTTTTTTTATTAATTTGAAAGAATTTATCATACCATATAGCTGCAATTGGGTATGCTTGAACTTCGCATAAAAGAGCTATTTCAGAAAATTGAACTCGTTCAAAAGAATGAATTTTATCATCATTTGCGAACGTAGGTTTTTTAACACCAATGGGTTCTGTGGATATTCGGACATTTTTAATGAAACTTTTAACCTAAACTAAACGAACCTGTATGCAGGTATAGGGTACGCTTGTAGTTGACACCACAACGACACATCTTCATTGACATATCGAAATGCAAAACGGGTTTTTTCATCCAAAGCTAATGCCGGAGACTTGGTACCCAAAGGTTCTGGAGTGTATACAGTATAAAAATCCATTATTTTAAATTTATTAAAAATTAATTTGTTTTGTTATATTACCCATACAATTAATATTGTTTGCTTAAACTCATATATCAATATGTTTTCTTATAATTATTTGTAAGAAATCATTTATAATACTATAGGCTAAGTTTTTTCTCCATTTTTTTATATTTATTTTATCGTTAGGAATTTTTTATTTTTATATTACCAACCTGTAGGAGGGTATTGGGAAAGCCTGAGTTTGACAAAAAAGCGTTATGTATTGTCCAGAATTTCTTATAATTGTTCTGCTTTTATCATCAGGTGCAGTGGGGGCTTTGGCACCTACATTATCTAAATAGGAAATATTCACCAAATTTATTCAATCAAAACGAATTATATACCTATCTGTTTTAATTTTATTTATTCCACAATGTTTACATTTTTTTTAAAATTAATAGTAAATGTGTAAAATGTAAATGTACAGTAATGTAATACACCTTCATTTTTTTTTAAAAAAAATCTATACTATTTCAATATTTTGGCTTACCGCGATAAAGGGACAGGGGACCCTTGTGCTAGACACAATAGACCAATCCCTTTTTTAATTTGTCTTTCTATCCAACTACGTTTTATATCAGATGAAAGTGAGGGTGCTTTAACACCAACTGGATCTATAAGAAATTATATACCAGTTTTAGAGGAAATGACTGTTAAGATTAATATATTTCGAACCTGAATGCTGGAATAGGATAACCTTGTGCATCACATAGCAAATTTAAATCAACCAATGACTTCATTTTAAATTTATATGTTTCTGATTTAGCAGAAAATGTGGGAGATTTTAAACCCACCGGTTCTAAAAGATAGTATACAAAATTAGTTTAAAAAATGAACACATAAATGTCTCACCTGAATTCCGGAACAGGATATCCCTGAGATTGACACAGTAAAACAATAGCATTCTTAGAACTTTTTCGTAAACGAGTACCTTCAAAATCTGAAGATAATGTAGGCGATTTAAGTCCTACGGGATCTAAATGAATATTAACAAATTGAAGGAATTTTTTTTTTTTTTTTTTTATAAAATAAATTTAAAATCTGAATGTTGAAGATAGGACAAGTTGAAATGTATTCAATTAAACCAATACATACTAGTATAGATACTGATATTGAAAATTTTAGTTAAAACTTTGGAATAACAATATCTTATAGAATATACCCAATAGTTTTAGATTTATTAAATTATTTTCAAAATAAAAATATTATGAAGAAATATTATCTATTTATAATCACCCAAATTCAGGTATAGGATATCCTTGAGATTGACATAACATAACAATTGGACTCTTAATTCGTTTTTTTAAACCCGTTGATGAGAAATCTGATGATAAAGTTGGTCCTTTATAACCGACAGGTTCTGAAAATTTACTAAAAGTTAATTTTGTTTCTTGAAGAAATTGTGTTTTTTTTTTATAAACCCAAATGTTAGAGAATGATTTACCCTTGCGACTAGCGATGCAGTTGATTTGAAATTTTTCTTTATATTTTATATAGAATTTTTATAATTTGTGTCTATTTTCTCACCTATGGTCAGGAACCGGATGTCCTTGTGATTGACACAATAAAACAATATCGGATTTAGCTCGACGATTAAATATAGTTCCCTTTAAGTCAGATGCAAATGTAGGTGATTTTATACCAACAGGTTCTAGAAAAATAAATGAATTGGAAAAATAATAAGTTGAAAATAAGTATAAAAATGATTTACTAATGCCAAAATGTTAGAATAAGGAAAACCCATAGCATTTTAAAATAAACTTTATTTATAATAATTGTCTACTGAAGATTAATTTGCCGAAAATGTATGAGATTTATGAATAAATAGACAGGTAGGTATTTATTTTACATTCTGATATAATTATTGTTACACAAGTTGAACCAAATAAAATATATAAACATTGTGGAATAACCTCACCTGAAATTTGGAGCTGGGTACCCTTGTGCGGAACATAAAATAGATAAATCATTTCTAGATCGTTTCCTAAACCTTGCAATTTCTGAGTCAGATTGAAAAACTGGTGATTTATAGCCAACTGGTTCTACAAATTATATCAAATATTTTTTTATTAAAAATTCCTAAATATACCTGAATGAAGGAATGGGATATCCTTGAGCTTCACAAAGTAAGCTAATACTATATGAACTTTTTTTCTTGAATCTGGATGTCTCATCCTCGGATGGAAATGTAGGCGCTTTAAGACTAAAAGGATCTGGAAGTGGAAAATACCATCCCTAGATTCTCTAATATTTTTATTTATTTAATAATAATTTTTATTTTATAATTGCTCATATTCATTTGAAATTTCATTATGTAAATTCAATACTTTCTGACTTTAATTACCTGTATTCTGGGATTGGGTACCCTTGTGCAGAGCAAAGTAAAGAAAGATGGTCTGATAACTTTTTAACAAACCAACTGGACTTCGAAGAAGACGGAAATGTGGGAGACTTGAATCCTACAGGTTCTATTTCCCCCCACCCAAAATATAAAGAATAAGTTGAAATCACATTTTACCTGAATGTTGGTACATCGTATCCCTGGGCTAAACACAATAAACTAATACTTTGGTCCATTTTTTTCACGTAAGAAACTGATTTAGCTTCAGATGGAAAACTTGGAGCTTTTAAGCCAATAGGTTCTATATTTGAAACCAAGAAATTTAGTTATAATTTAAAAGTTTTAGAAGTGAAATGCTGATATTTGATAAAAAAGTTTCTGCTAATTTTATTAACATTCAAGAGTAATGAACTTATTAATTAGGTATTTCAATATTTCATTTTTCAAAAGCAATACCTATGTGTGGGAACTGGATACCCCTGTGCTGGACATAATAAGTCAATATTTTGTAATAATCTTGATTTGAAAGCCGCTGACATCATTGGAAATTTAGGCGCTGTCGAACTTACTGGTTCTAATATATATATATATTTTTAAAGGAATATTTTATTTCTTTTAATAGCCTACCTACCTGGAAATTGGTACAGGGTACCCTTGTGCAGGACAAAGCATATCAAACGATTTATAAAGTTGAGTTTTAAATCCTTGAATGTTTGTTGTTGACGAGAATTTTGGAGCTATACTATTAATGGGATCTAAAATCAAATACAATTTAAGATTGTTTCATACGAATAAAACAGAATAATAAGTATGTATAATATGTATTATATAAACAATATAATATGCATATTTTTACTTTTAAATCAAGTTTGAAATTATGTTTAAATTAACTTTACTCCTAATTTCATCAATATGTTTTATACTACCTAACTTATTCTTTTCAAATAATGCTAGTTCTTACCTGTGTGTTGGTACTGGATGACTCTGAGCAGAACAAGTTAACACAAGACTTTGCCCTGATCTGAACTGATAACTTTTACCAGTTTCCAGAGAAGCAAATTTTGGAGATGAACTACCCACGGGGTCTAAGAAGTGATAAAGTATTTTCTATTGTCAAGATAATAACAGAAAAAAATGAAAACCTAAATAGCTTAATTTTTTAATAATTATACTTATTTATTTTAATATTTTGCACAACTGATTTGTGCTTTAATGTGTCGCAGGGGTACCCTATCCCAACATTCAGGCTTCATTTAAGAACACACATTTTTCACACAAGATTTTTGAAAACTTTCTTAAAAAAAAAAATACATTTGATAAAACAAATGACCATATTATATTAATTATAAAATTATTTTTTCTAAAATCTAAAAAATATTATTATATTTGTATTAAAATAACAGTAAAATTCACAAATAAAAAAAAATTAAAACCTGAAAAATGTGTGTTCAAGTAAATTAATAATTAATAAATATAAAATAAAATGTGTGCATTTATATTACATCATTGTTGCATTTAAAATTGAAGATTAAAAAATTATAATTTAAATACAAATTTGAGGTAGATATAAGAAGATAATAGATTAATATTATTGTAATATAAAAATGTAAATAAATAAATGCAACATTGAGTATATTTTAAATAGACAATCTACTATACCGAATAGCAAAATTAAAATTTGTAATAAAAAACATAAACATAAATTATAATGTATTGAATTGATGAATTAAAACAATACAACTAGAGAGACATTTTTTTTTTATTATTTAACATAGTTTTTATTAGCTATAATTCTTAAATTAAGAACAAATAATAATTTAGCTATTGGCAGTTAAACTAAATAAAATATATTGGTAAACTTTAAAATATAGATTAACAACTTTTAGAAGATGTACACAAAATAGTTATGAACAATTTTTTTTAGCTCGAAAAAGAACACACAATTTTCAAATATTTGTTGTACTTTTTGAAATGTGTTTATTATGAAAGAAATGCTATAGTATTCAACACATAATTAAAAACAATAGATTTCTTAATTTTAAGATTTAATTTTTAAATTGATTTAACTATATCTAAGGTTACCAATATATTTTTAAATTAATAGACTACTTTTTACTAACCTGTAATGACTAATCTTCCTTTAGTAGCGCTAAGTCTTGTTTCTCCAGTTAATCTATGTTTAGTACGACATTGGTAAGACTTGGTTCCGTCCTCAGGTGTTACGTCACGAATATGTAATTCTCCAGAAGGTAATACCAAGTATTTACCATCTTTAAAAATTTTAAATAAAATATACATAAGTATTTGTTCAAGATGATTTATTTTGCGAAAGCATTGAAAAAAACATTAGAGATTTCAAATAATATTTAAAAAATAAAATTATATTGTGCGTTTGTCAAGAGGACGTAACATCTCCATTTATTGTATCTGTTGTATAAACGCGAGGTATAACAAATTTGAGTTTAGTAGGACTAATTTTGTACTTTTAATTTTAATATTAAAACAAATCGACTAATTACCAAACTTAAAAGGTAAGAAGATTAGATGGGTCCTAGTTTTGATGTGGATATTTCATTTTTTAAGCAAGATAAAATCATTTTTAAATTGTGATACTTCACATACTAATATCTTGCTTAAAAATAAAAATATCAAAAAAACATCAATGCTAGGGCACATATAATCTGATTAATTTTAATTTTGATTATTAGTCAATTTGCTTTACAATTAAAATTAACAGCCCAAAATGAGTTCTACTGAAGATAAATTTGCTATACCTCGCATTTATACGACGAATACAGTAGATCACAGTGTGGTGTCCTCTTAAGGTGAAATAAAATTGATTCTCTAAAACTATAATTATTTAGTTTTCATCTTCATTTAACTAATTTAAACTGATAATTATTATTGAAATCTCCCAAAATCGATGACAAATTAAAAAGAAGATAAATATTAATAAATCTAAAATTATATATATTAATAATTATTTAAATGTTTAAAATTATTTGGCATCGATTTGTATTATTTTAAAGCAAAAGCATTGGACAACTGAACAATAATTGAACCGTTATAGTACAATATTACATTTTTTGACTAGATATATTTAATACATTATATTACGCTATTAAGTAATTTCAAAATGGTAAAACTCACTCAAAATGTATTATTAGCTAGTTAAAGTTTTTTAAATATAATGTATCAAATTGTTCAGTGTCCATTAAAAATATAAAACATTCATTCATCGCATTCATACAGGATTCAGAGGAATATATAGGTAAGTAATAAATATATTTGGAATAAAAAGGAAAACCGCAACGTACCCTTGCCTTCTTTATCTTTGGATAAACTAACCGAATTTAAAAAATATCTATATATATATATATATATATTAAAAACCTAATAAAATTGTAGAATATTTTATTTTCTAATACCGTAGGCTGGATATGCATTAATTGAATAGTCATCACCACCATTTGAAGTCCAACCAGATACAAATACATAATCGGCAACAAAACTAGGGATATGACATTTCAATATAGCAGTGTTTCCACGAAGAACAGATTCATCCATTACGTTAACAGTGTAAAGTTGATTGACCACTAAAAAGAGACAACAATTCAAAATGAACAGTCACAAATATGTTGCACAAAATTAGTCAACTATATTTGACTGTAATGACGTGTGACATTTGAAAAATATATATATTATATACATAATATCTATGCATATATATATATCGATAATTGAAGTCAACTATGTTTATAATACACGAATAAAGGATGGAAAAAGGAAAATACTGTTCTGAAAAATGTTCGACCATACTATGTAGACTAAACTAATAGATATTAATACCAAAATGTTCATTTGGTGATGTAGAATATTTGTTTCCAACAGTATCTTCCCAAGAAATAACAGAAACATAATCGGCTATAAATGACGGAACAATACATTTAAAAATCGCAGTATTTCCTTTGATGACAAACATATCATGTAAAATAGCTTCATAGTATTGGTTTACGGCTGAAATCAATTAGGTACCTAATTAAGATAGAAAATGTCGAAAATTTATTAACTTAGCTAATTCAAATATGGTATACACTACACAAAAATGTAAGTACATATATATACAAATAGAACTGTATAACAGTCCTAAAGTTCTATGAAACACGAGTTTATGAAATTGTGGTTTTTAAAATATATTTTTTTAAGTTTAAAAGATAAGTAAATGTGTTTCAAAAACAAAGTATACAGTACAAATGATAAATTAAAATAAAAAATATTGTTATTATTGTCGCGATGATTTAAATAGGAAATATTCAATCATTAAAAAAAGAAAGACATTTGTATGAAATCAACACAATACAATATCGAAAATCACTACCGAAATCTGAAATTGTTGGTGTAAAATATTTGTCACCGTTTGTAGCTTCCCATGATTCAACATAAACATAGTCGGACACAAATGAAGGAACTGAACATTTAAAAATAGCTGTATTTCCTCTTATTACAAACATATCATAAACTTGAGCTTCATAATATTGACTCACCGCTGAAAATTATGTATACATAAAGAAACTTTTTTTTATTTAAGACACTTAATAGTGTTTATATCTACGCATTTTACCGATAAGTGATCAATTATTATAAGTAGGAATTCATTTTTATTTTCAAAATCGAACACAGAATAAATGTTGGCAAATACCCAACACTGAACAAATATTTATAAAAACAAAGTTTGTCAAAATTATGTACTGGGAGAAATATTTCGGAAACATACCACATAGGTACTCTTTAAATGCTTATTAGCCAATATTAAATATTTATTTGAGTACATAGATAAATATCCTGATTTTGGTTTTGAAATATGAAAGGAGCTGGTTCACCAATTTAAAATCGAGTTAATTTAGTTTTAAAATATAGATCAGAAACAAACATTTTAAGTATTTTTATAAAAACATGATCTATCACAATTTTTTAAAAATCCAAATAAAATATTCCAAAATATTGAATAACATATTATTACCTAAATTTAAAATATCAAACAATACACAGTAGCATAGTAAAAAATTTAAACCCATTTGTTTCTTAAGGATTGGAAACAGAAAATAAATTATTTTTCAAATCATTCTCATACATTCCAAAATTTAACTATAACACAAACCCTTGTGGAATTGATTAATACTGAAAGATTCTCCAGACTCTGACACCCATTCAATAATTTCGAGAAAGTCTCCCATGAAACTGGGTACTAAGCATTTTAATACGGCTGCATTGCCTTTTAACACAAACTCATCATTTACACGAAGCTGATAGGATTGTTCCACAGCTAAATATATTAAAATATTTTTGAAATTATAAACATAGTGGAATTATCAGATATATAGTATTATAATATATATTGGATAGGACTTAGATTTTTTAACATTCGTATGTACATTCACATAGTGCTAATGCATTTCCAATTTAAAATATGTACCCTGTTTATCAACAGTAGATCCAATGTTATTTCCACTATCATCCACCCATCCTAAAACTTCAACAAAATCCGCCACAAAACTTGGTACGAGGCATTTCAAAACTATAGAATTTCCTAGTAGCACGTATTCGTCAATAACTCTAGTTTGATAAAATTGACTAACCACTGCGTAAAATAAAATAATCATTATAATGGATTTTAGGTAGGTATATATTATACACGAATAAAAAGGTACAAGAACCTACTTATTTAATGGGTTTATGATATTCGTATATAGATTAAGTAGTTTCTCATCACAAAATAGATTCGGTTTAAAAAAAGTAAGACCTTTAGCTAACTACAAGCAAAATTAAAGAAACACAATATAGGATACAAAGAATTATATACAATAGACGTAAAATGTAAAAATATGTGTTACATTTAAATGTTCATATATATATAATCTGTACCATAATCATTATCAGGGTAATATGATTTTCCCGACGAATCCACCCAATGAGCAACCGAAACGAAGTCAGCGACGAAACTTGGAATTTCACATTTCATAATAGCACTATTACCTCTAATAACATATTCATTATCAGCCTCGGCTTCGTAAGGTTGATGAACGACTGACAAAAATAGATTTGTAATTAATACATGGTGTATATTGTCATCGAATTAAAATTTTATGAATTTGAATTTTGTTTTAATGAGAAAAAAAAACGGCAACAATATTAATTATGCTTCTGACATGATTTTCAGTGAGTAGTTTGGATAAAATATGTCACGACAGACGAACGTTCAAAGTAACTTAAAAGTAATTGAATCCTTACAATTGGTATTTGTATTAAATAATGTATAAGTGGTGTCATTGTCATCTATCCAAGCATCCACTGAAACAAAATCAGACACAAAACTTGGTATTTTGCACTTAATTATGGCCGTGTTACCGCGTATTACGTACTCATTTTCAGCTTCAGTGATATAGGTTTGCATTACAACTGTAAAATTTAAACTTTCGAAATATTACACCAATATGAAATAGGTCGTAATTACATTAAAAGTATTACAACAGTGATGAAAATAAATTTTATTTTGGATTATAAGGAATATCGCATGTATTCAAAAAATGTATATTATATCTCTTTGTATATACTTCTTGATGTAATAATGTATTTACTTCCAATTGAATCTCTAGTATATGTTTGACCCTCGCTTGTCACCCAAGCTTCGACTGTGATAAAATCCGCCACAAAAGATGGCACGCTACACTTAAGTATAGCCGAGTTTCCTCGTATTACGTATTCCGTAGGCATTAATTCGGATTCATATTTTTGATTCACAACTATTTCAACAAATTATAAATCACCAAGAAAAAAAAACAAATAACAAATTACCAACAAACAAAAATGTATAGAACGTGGATAGATTTCAAGATTTAAAGGAGTGTCATGAAATAACAATTTGAATACGCAAAACATTCTCAACTGGAAATAATATTATTATTATCCTACCATATCCGTCACTACTTGAATGACGATATTCTTGACCGTCAGAAGCTAACCAAGATTCTACAGAAACGTAATCAGCCACAAAACTAGGTACTTTACATTTAATAACTGCAGTGTTACCAAGTATTACATATTCGTCTTCAGCTCCAGTTGCATAGTTTTGTAATACAACTGTAAAATGAATTCTAATCCTAATAATTCTGGTTTTAATCATTATTTATAAATATTATTTTTTAAAAATATATTATACTTAAGTGTATAATTTTATATCATACAATATGAACAAAAATCTCGCTGTTATAAAAAAAAAAAAAAAAAAGAGATGGAAATAGAGGTTTCATTGTTTTATATATGGATCAAAAAAATAATAGGTAATTGTGAAAAATATAACCTATGTACTACTATATATTATTATATACAATGTATTATACATACTATTGTGTTTTAAAAGGAATTGAATTAACCCATATTAAAAAACATATTAATTGATTAATACTCTATAATATATAATTATAACATCTGAGGAATAATTACACTTTAAATTTTATACGGGATTTAAAAATAATCTGTTAATACCTACATATCGTATAAATAAATATTAATAACGTGTCACGCAATAACCTAAGCTGATATGGTAAATAAATAAAAGTTTATAAAAGATAAAAGATTTTGTTGTTTTGATTTATATTACCATTAACCTCTCTTTATATAGTTTATTTCATCTTGAAACTTCGTAGAACTTATTCTATACATTTTTAATAGGACATTAAAAAAGTATAATCTAGAAAATTAACATTTTGAACTAAATAACATATTTTTACACATTTATTTTACCCCTAGACAATAAAAAAATGAACATCAATTTTTGAAAAAGACTCGTAAAAGACCCTTGAATCATAAACGTGTAAGAAAAATATATGTTATTAAGTCTGAATTATTATACATTTTGTTTTGTTCCCATTTAAATAACTTTTTTTCTATTATAACTTTCCAACTTTTCTAAATTAAGGGAAATTCTACACAATTTGATAGAGAATATACAGTAGAAAGTATACAGAGTTTCTTAAATAATAAATTAAGGATTTGAACTAAAGAGTGATAGTCATTAATTTGACTAATGGGCTTTTTATTATTGTTTGAAAAATTATTTTTGTAGCAGTTATTTTAGAAGTCTCGTCTAAAAAATGTATAATGGTCATAGGTGATAGTTTAAAGAAAATCTTTTTCTGATTTCTTTTCCTTTAACATTTTTCTTGTAAATTGCAAAAAACGAAACAAAAAGTTACAATAAGAATGTTTTTATTTGTGTAAATTTATTTTATTTATAGATGTCAGAAATAAATAATATTATAAGAAATTTGATTTAGCACTACTCTCCAGTTTTTTAAACTTTAAAGTTTACAACTTAATCGTTGAATTAATATTTCACACAACCGTAGATTAGGTTAGTTACCTGGTACATATATAAAATAATAACAATTAAGAAAAAATAGTAAAATAATTAGACAGCGCGGTTTAAATTTTAGATTTATGGGATTAATGGAATAAATCAATAAATGTGTACAACTGGTTAGTATTCTTGGTTGGCAATCACTAATTACGACATACCGTAACCATTATTTAAATGACGGTACTCTTGGCCATTAGAAGCTATCCAAGAATATACAACGACAAAATCTGCGACAAACGATGGGATAGTACACTTCAATATAGCTGTATTACCACGTATCACGTACTCGGTTATCACTTCAGAAGCATAATCCTGGTTAACAACTTGAGAGAAAACAAATTTCAAAATGTAAATTTATGATGATTGAATAAATATTAATACATAGTAAAAAAATAAAAATTTACATTTTTGTTGTATTAGATTAACAAAAACGTACTTGTACAAAAATGCATAGAAAACATAAACGTATTAATAATACCTATATGAAATGGTAAAAAAAAACATTAATATATCCTGTATTGATAATTAAAAATGCAATCTAACTTTTAAGCCTATACATACAAGATGTTTTTTTTATTGAGTGTCACAAAAATTTAATACCTTCGTGTCGAGTCATTAAACTGAAAAATATTTACAGAATATAAACCCACAATAACAAATTAATTCATAGAACTATTTTAAATTGTTTTTTTTTTTCAGAATAACAATTTATTTAAGTGCTATAATTAAGAAATGGTGTATAAATATTTTCCGTGAATATAATAAACAATTAATTTTGTTGCATGCCTATTTCAAAGGTACGTTATGGGATTTGGTTATTAACAATTATTCACAAGATCTATCTGAATTTCCATAGTAAAAAAAAAAAATACCTTGCGTGTAATCATGATGTATTATATACTCCGAGTCTGTATTATCGTTCCACGATAAAACTGACACAAAATCGGCTACGAACGATGGTATACTACATTTTATAATGGCTGAGTTACCCCTGATCACGTGTTCATTATTTACTTCTATTAAGTAATTTTGCGTGACCACTGGTCGTGAAAAAAAAAAAATAATAATAATGATACCCATATAATATACATATACATATTTTACGTCAAACTACTTTATATATTTACCTAAATGGTAAAATTAGTAAATTAAAAAACTACGTGAAACGATAGTTTTTTTTATTGTAATAAGAAGTTTTTAATAGGCACGTCATATTGTTTAAAAACAACGAAAACGGCGAACTGGAATATTTTAGGGAGTGGAAGATGACTTTGTTATAATACAATGACTTAAATTGAATGACACATATATTCACTATTATACATATATACAATATACAGTATACACGTATGATCTAATTTGCAAATACCATGAGTAGATTCGGTCGACATAGAGGGGAAAATACTTCCTGTGTCGTCTTGCCACGATACAACTGATACAAAATCGGCAATGAAAGGTGGTATATCACATTTTAACACAACAGAATTGCCTCTAATGACATATGCTAGGCCAACGTCACTTCTGTACGGTTCCTGTATCACTAAAGTAAACTATTGTTTTTTTTTATAGAAAAAATAAATATTACCTACCTAGTTAATATTTTTAGTTATACCTATTCAATATATAATTAGTTAACGTATTAATAACGATGGTTAATACTTAAATTAGGTATTTTGTTTTAAAATTTAATCACGTTAAAGGATTTCGATAGAGGATTACAAATTTTGACGTAAACAACACGTGTATACCTAGGTATATATAATATTTTTAAACCATAATAATTGTGTATACCATATTTGGTAACTCCGTTTTCATTGAGGTTATAGTTATTACTACCAGCGTCATCAATCCAAGAAACAACACTAACAAAGTCTGCTACAAATGGCGGTATACTGCATTTAAATAGTACCGAGTTTCCTTTGATAGCGTATTCTGGACTAACATCGCTTCTATACGGTTCGCTGATGACTAAACTCATTTATTAATATTCATAAAAAAAAAAAAAACCTAGCCATTAATCCACGGATATAAAAAGAATTTTGTCACACGTAAAATAAAGGATGTGTACATAATTGTCTCATTCGTTCATACCAAAATGTAAAAATCAATATGTTTAAAATACCACGAGGGTTCACAGTTTTCCCATCAATTAAAGATGATTGATATATATTTCCAATATTATCTTGCCAAGACACCACAGTCACAAAGTCAGCGATAAACGGTGGAATGCTACATTTTAATACAACTGCGTTTCCCCGTATAACATATTCGTTATTTACTTCACTTCTGTACGGTTCTAGGATGACTATACATTTATAGAAAATTAAAAATTAATTTTGAAATCAGAAACGATTTGATTAGGAAAATTAAGATTTATACAAAATGCATAAGGACATGTTCTATATCACACATAATAGGTAAATGGTCAAAAGGCGTAACTATTAAATACCATAATCTATTCCGGGATAAAAGTTTTCACCCTTATCAGTACTCCAAGATAATACAGTAACAAAATCAGCAACGAATGACGGGATACCACATTTCATTACGACTGAATTACCTTTTATTACGGGTTCTTTGTTTACGTCAACTTCATAATATTGACTTACAGCTGGAGCGGATTAAAGACAAAAATATAACTTAAAAACAAGTACAATGACAAGCTTATAAGTTAGAGTAGAATTAATAGTTAAAAAAAATGGGTATTATTAGACACGAAAGGCTAGATAGGAAATATTACACCACATTCAATTAAAATACTATTGTAATAATAATGTTTTAAAGTTTAAATTCACTAAATTGGCATCATAAAATTTAATACCATGGCTATCACCCGGATAATATACATCTCCATTATCAGTATGCCATGATATAACTGTTAAAAAATCTGCTATATATGACGGAGTCTCGCATTTCATTATAATCGAGTTTCCGCGAATCGCGTACACTTTATTGACATCTGTGTCATAGAACTGTGTGACAACTAAAATAAACAGGATAGATATCAAATTTTATGTCGATTTTTTGATATGACGGGAAACTATACTATATAGGCACGTGCTTGCAAGATAAACCTGCAGGAGATTTGAAAGTGGCTGTTCATGTTTTATTAATGTGGATACTTGACACATATGTGGAGTACTATTATCATTGTGTCGCAAATAATCATTTTATAATCTAGGGCAGCTCACAAAAAAATATTTTTGACCGTTAATATAAACCGGCTACACTTTACAAAAAGTTGGACAAGAATCATCTAGGAATAATAATATAAATGACATTCGAACTTCAAATTATAAATACGCTAATCGTCCTATACCATAAACAGATCCTAAAAGGTATTCAGAATCTTCAGTAATCCATGATATAACGTGTACAAAATCAGATACATACGAAGGTACTTGACATTTCATTATCGCTGAATTGCCTCTAATAGCGAATTCTTTAATTACGTCGATTTCGTAACTTTGTGCAACAACTAAGAATAATATATCAGACGTTATAATATGTGTATAATATACACATTTTTATTTTTTTGAAATAGTATTTATTCAAAGAATATATAAAATTAACAAAATCAGCTGTAATAAAAAATACATATTAGTAATATAGGATAATTACAGGGTTTTAGTATAATTTTAAGTTAATGTTGAAATTTATAATTTAAGTATTGTAACGTTTAATAGAACATTTTCTGTTTTTACAAACACGACAAATACTGTTAAATATTACTCTACACAACAATATAATATATGCAACATAAATATCATTAATTATAATTTTTAAGAACTGGCACTAAATTTGTATTTGTAAAATATAAATAATTGATTAAACTTTATATAACAATGCTTATTATTTGTTGTATCTATAATTTCTGATTAGGTATACATACAACGATCATAAACATTATGGATTTTAAAATATATTTTATAAAATATGAGTTTTAAAAATAATAAATCCCCTTTTAATAAAAGCAAGTATTTATATAGGTTTTATACAAAATATTTAATGTATATATAATATTTATTATAATATAAAAATTGCATATTGTATATAGTTATTACCTATATCTGTTTTCATATAATATTTGATATGTTTACTTTATAAGAACATTGAACGTGAGTCGAAAATAATTTAGTGAATAAGTTTGGGAATGTTCCCAATTCCAGAAAACAAAAAAATAATTAATAATTAATTTTAATAAAATATATTATTATACTAGTATTTATTTACTGGCCTAACACACTTAATTCACCTTTAAAAATACTGAAATAAATATTTATGACTTTTAATACCAGTTCTTATTAAAACAATATAAACTTGAGAATTTTAAATGCAAATGCAATTAAGTTAAAATTATTTTTTTTGAAGAAAATTACATTGAATTAATATTCTTATTAGTTATTTCGTATACATTTAATTAAAGTACCTATATGAAAAATGTTTAAATTATATAATTATTTGTATTATATATATATATATATATATATGTATAAAGTACATAGATTATGATTTTCAGTCATAATTATCAAGAATTAATATTATTCACTTTTGTTCAGATATTAAAAATTAATTTTATATCAAATAAAAACGTTTAAAAACAAAACAAGTTTCGTATAATGACAAAAAATAATTATAAATGTTACCAAAATAAATCAGTATAACATAACACCTCCGAAATAGGTACGTAAAACAGTAGGATATCAACCACAGCCTATGTTTTTTGGTGTGAAGGGTCGAAAGCCAAAATATCAAATAAATTAATAAAAAATTACCTAAAAAAAAATTAACAATAGAACTCTTGTGTAATATGTCTTGTAAACCCTATGTGTATTGTATACTTACATGACATTACTTTTTTTATATTTTATATATTTTTTTAAGAGATTTATACATAGGTATGTAGGTAGTTATTACAAATTAAAATAATTTTTTATTTTACCTAATATAATAATTTAAACAGTTTAGAATATAATTAATTTTAATTTAAATGATCCTCAGCAAATTTAATATTTGTTCACTTTATCTTATCAATTTAATATTCAACATTAATAATGTAATATACAAAGTCAGATACTGTAGACTAGCGAGGTTGGCATTCATATCCTGCGTACCACGTGTTAGTTTTAACAAAATAATGAATATTCCACAAAGATATTCTATATGGACCGCGGAAATATTTATACGTTTAAAACAAATATATACGAATTCTATTGCTACGCTTAATAGGATTTTCTAATATTAATTTAAAAAGCAGAATTGTAATCATTGGTAAATTAACTAAAAGCGACTTTTGTATTTTCGAATGAAACGTTTTCCTTACAAATGTATTGTATACAAACAAATTACAAATTAAAATAATAACTAACCACATTTGTAGGACTGTTGACAAAGAATAAGTCATATTATAATAATTTTAGGAATACTTAAATTCAAAATATATTTTAAAATTAAAATTGGCTTCCTGAATGTATAAATTTGAAGTAGAAAATGAGGGAATAATATAATATTATCTCGAGTAATTTACATAATTACGCTGTTACCCAAACTCTTATAGTCTAGGTGAGAAATCCTAAGACTGGCCGTTATTATATTATGTAGGTCTACATACTATTTATATATAAATTTACCTATACCTACCCTTTTAACTGAAAATCAATCTAACCGGTCTAAATTATATATATATATATATATATATATAATACAAATATTTTATCATTTAGTAATTGAATAGAATTCAGTTAAACATACCAGCTCGAACGTTTACATCCCTAGAATGTATTACACCAACACGATTTTTTGCCATACAGATATAAACTTGAGCATGAACTTCTTGTCTATAATCTTCTGCTCGAAAAGGTGGGAAAACTAAATTTCCATCTCCTTTAACCTATAAAAACCATAGATTAGCATAATGATGACAATAATAATTAAAATAACAATCATTTTTTATAAATAATAATAAATTGTAAAATATATTTACAAAAAATAAATAATTAAGGTCAAAATTATGATAAAATTAGTTCAAACACGAATAATTATTTCAGTAATTTATTCTGTAGTTACGAATTAATACAAATTTAAATTTAAATTTATTAAAAAGAGTTCAACCAAATTCCCCTCAGAATCGTTTTTCGTTTGGACCTATTTATGTAAAGTAAATTATCTTATAGTTAACTGATATATGTATTTAATGACTGATATGCATTTTTGTAAATGTCTCAACATTAACACAAATGTATAGAAAAAAAAAAAAATTACTGGAATGCAAATTTACCACCCTTTTACAAATATAGCGGTATAAGCAAGTAATCAAGTACTTATTTTGTAAATTGGAAAATACACCACCGACTACGTAGGAATGGATCATAAGCGCTGAATGTGCACATCCCTTCACCAAATATTTTTTTTTGGAATTTAATTTTGGTGAAACTAAATAAAATTGTAAATTAATATATTTTTATTGTAGTGTGTTTTTCAAAATACACAAGTATAATTTAAAAAGAGCTGATACTACTGATAGGCGTATCATTGTTGTAGGTGAGAAGTTAGGTAGGTAGGATGTATTAAATTATTTAATTTAAATTTTTACGCAACGAAACATTATTGCTGGCGAAACTGAATTTTAACTCCCGAGTCAAGTTCAGTTTGAGCCAAGCACAACTCTTTCCATCAAATATAATGTATTATGAAGTTCGTCTTAAATTTTCAATCATTTCTAATAGGCCAACACAAATTTATCCACATAAAACCAAATAAAAATAGTATATAATAATTGTACATCCACTGTAAGTATTAAAATATTCAAATGTTAGTAAAGCATCTTGTAAATCTTTTGATTTTAATTTATTATTATTTTCTTTAATGGGTTTATATTAAAAATCATATACTTGTCGTAATCCAGGTACATCACCAACAGCACTGCCGTCAGCTCGTATCCAAATTATTTCAGGTCTGGGACTTCCTCTCGCAGTACATTCAACAATCGCTCCAGTAGTATTTGAAAAATCCACTCGGTTTTCCGGCTCTTTAATGAACATCGGGCCCATGGTCGTATCATCTTCACAGAATACTATAATAACATATGAAATATGAAAATACATATTAGAAATTATTTTGTTTATTAATTAACTTATTTGTTCATATATCTAAATTATAATGACGTATTGCAAAAATTATTCTATAAACTAATAAATGAGGGAACAATACGTAAGAGTTTTCTATCTTTAAATTTTATATTTTCTATATTATACAACTTACATAAATATTATGACCTAATCTTAATATTTTGTATTAACTGACCGAAAAAATTTAAAACTTAACACATTTGGTTTAAAATTTAATTTAAATTAAATACGATACCTATAACTACAATTTTAATAAAAATATATCAATAGTTTTACATAAATAAAATTTAAAAACCTATTTTCTCTTTTTTTCCAATTATAATTAAATCACCGAAAAATCGAATTGTCTGCAGACTTATACCTAGTAAAATAAATAAACAAATTACAAATTATTTTATATAACTTCACGTTACTGTAATATTTGAGGGAAATAAAGCAAAAATGTATTTTCGGAATTCCAACGGTCTAGCTTCAAAAACTTAAAAAATAAAAAAAAAAAATTTTCACTAAATTAAAAACGACAACATTTACTATGTTTTCACATAGCGGGGGATTTTTTAATTATATTTTAATTTTTATATTAAGAATAAAAAAATGTATTTATTGTTTTTTAAATTTTCAATTACGAATAGCAGACATCACAGACATTGTCGTTGAATAGGTATGTTAAGTGGGGTAAAATACCCCAGAACTTTTAGGTGGGTGGGTTAATGAGTCGTGTCCCGTTGGTGACTGTTTTTATTTTATAATATAGTGTTAGCACTGAATAGTATACAGCCAACAAGACTCAGTATTTCTGGGCCGGGAGATTTCTCAATGTAGTATGCCAGTTCGCACTATGGTATGCATTAGACTAACTTCTAATATGCACTACCTATGTATCCTTACCACAGCTATAGATATAAATGATTCCACGTCAGCCTATGTTAGAGGGCTCAATATGTATCCACACGAAACATAGCAGATAAGCGAATTCATGTGTAAGTTCCGACACGAAAAAAAATATACCAGTACAAAAATTCCTACACGAACAAAAATAATAATTATTAAACAGATAAAACAGAAAATAATAATATAAATGAACTTTGTGTTTATTTAGTGACTAAATACAAAAAGGACAATAGTACGTTATAAAATCAAAAAACGACTTTCTCCGTAAGCAACTAAATCCAAAATGCAACAAAAAAGGTCTTTCGTCATTTTTTTAATAATGCAAATTTCTAGTAGAGATCATAAATTATAAAAAAATAAAATCGTAGCATTTTTACGCCGTAAATATATGTCCGTTTTTCCCAATTATTGAGGAAACTACTAATAGAATCAAAAACGATCTCCCTAAAGTATCATCCCAAAATAATTTAATTTCAGAAAAGGGTCTAAAATACCTACATCATATACTACATCGGAGTATGTTTTTCCAAAAAAGTGTTCGCATAAAAAAAAATAGTAATATTTTAATAATATAAATCGTAAATTTTCCCGTTTTTTCGGTTTTTCATGTTTAATGAGAAAACTCCTAAGAAAATCGAAAAATGACTTCCTTAAACTACCTTTTCGGCTAGATTTCCTTTAGAAAAAGTTCTATCATTGTAAATTCAAGCAAAATTGCTTATAAAAAAGTTGTTCACAGGAAAAAAGGGCCAAAATGTTTTTCAACTAATACATATATATTTCGTATACTTTACCTCTTGAATCCGGGTAGGTGAGTAGGTGTTATTCTCAAACAGGATTTACCCTAGTGGTTTAAAAAAGGTTCGGTGACACTAAATTTACACAAATTAAAATTGGATATTGTAAAATACCCCTATGAAAGCATAATAAATGTATTGTCATCTTTAAATTGGTGATATAATTTTTTTTATAAGTCTATTAAACATTTATTACCAGAGTATCTACCATTGAACTCCGAAAACGCATTTTCGTTATATCGCTAGTTAAACGGCAAATGCTACTGTGACTGTCGTTTTAACAATACATTTTGTTATTCGAGTTTATTACTTTTATTTTTTTTTCGAGTGTTATATTATGATGTGTTATTAAATATTAAGTTACAAATGTCTGACAAGAAATAACAACAAACATTTAATAGTCAGTACAATAGAATCTTTTTATATCATTTATACATTGCGTATTTTATTTTATTGTGAAGTTATTAAGATGAATTCATAAAGAGGAAGTCAAAATTTAAACCGTTATCAATTTTAAAATAATTTAATCAAGGTATAACACAAAAATATTTCTTATTTCAAATAAATTTTATTCAATCTTGAAATTATGATTATTCGTATAAAGAACTTAGTTACTTACAGTAACTATTATAAAATCATAATTATGTATTACACGTACACCTAAAATCAATTCAAATAATTAAAAATGAGTCCCGTTACATAGTTCAAATATACACTAAGTAGGTAGCTAACCTAACCGATTGTTGCATATATTGTAATTATTATTAGATGTCAACATGCAAACAAAACATAACTTGAGTGTTTGTTGATAAAAGTTTACAAAATTTTAAATACAAATTAATATATTTAATTTGCTAATTAAATTCTAACTTAACTGAAGTGACATTTAATAAATACAGTGGCGACTCGTGAATCTTATTGTAATATCTGGTGAAATGAATATTTTGAAAATTACAAGGGGAGATGTTAATATAATTTTTTTTTTTTTTATGGCTTATTGTTTTGGTAAAATAACTAAAAACCGATAAGTTATAACTAATATTGTTAAATATTTACCAAAATATATTTTTTAAATATTGTTAAGTTTATACAACATACCCCTGCGTATATACTTACTTATATGTATGGTACCTATATGCCCTAATATGAAATATTTACAAAATGTAAGTCATGTTGCAAAAGATGACAAAATATTGAAGCTGAACACATTCAGATACCCAACTAAAAAAAGACATCCTAGGATAATAAGTACGGGCGCAGTCACTGTTATAGGTAATTTAATGTATACCTATAAACAACGATAAACAATTACTTATTAAAAACGATTCTGAGCGGAGTTTAGGTGATAATGATGCTTTGTCAAAATATATATGACATATTATAGTAAAATGATTAAATAGGCTTTATATGTTTTCTTTAATAATATTTGTTTAATGTTGTACCAATTTTCCCGATTTTCCCATGTTTTTTTCCGGTTTTTCACATTTGCTGGGAAAACTGAGAAAATCGAAAAATTAAATTTCTAAAGTACCTCCCCAGTCAAATTTCCTTTTAGAAAAGGTACTACACGTAAAAATCAAAGCAAGTCCTCTGGTAGAAATGTTGTCTACAGGAAAAAAACAATAAACATTACAAACATCTTTGTAAAACCATAATCTTTTTCACTCTATTTAGAATTTAAAACAGAAATAGGCAAAATAAAAATACGATGCTGAAGACAACGTCTACAAATTATTCAACTTTATTACGAAAATCAGCATTCTACGAGAACTGTTTTTCGTAAGCTTAGAGAAACTTATGGTCCGCATGATCGGCCTACCGAACATACAATTCGCTATACAATTGTACAATTTCAAAACCAATTTTCATTATTAGATAACACATGACCAAATAGGCCGCATCCAATACGTAGTGAAGAAAATATAGCGGCGGTAGCTGGTACGCGAAGTGTACGCGATGACCGTGATGAATCGATTCGGCGCCGTTCTTAACAGCTTGGCTTGTGGTATGCAACAACTTAGCGTATTTTACCTTGGTTTAAAAGACCTTACCATACCTTTGTTTAAATACAAAATTCAACTCGTCAAAGAATTAAAGCCGGCCGACCTTCCGAATCGTCACCGTTTTAGTGAATGGGTTCTTGAAAAGATTGAGGAAAATTCACTGTTTTCGACCAACATTTTTTCAGCGATGAGGCTCATTTTTGGCTTAATGGTTACGTCAATAAGCAAAATTACCGTACTTGGGCTGAGGAGCAACCCGAAGAGGTTCAAGAGCTACCATTACATCTAAACAAAACAACCGTTTGGTGTGGTTTATGGGCTGGTGGAATCATCGGTCCATATTTCTTTAAAAATGAGGCCGAGCAGAACGTAACTGTGAATGGCGCTCACTATCGCGATATGATAACAGACTATTTGTTGCCTGAAATTGAAGCCCGTGATCACTGTCCGCCGTGCATATTTTATTATCATCTAAAATACTATAAACTATCTACCATATTGTTACTATTTCAAATAGTACAAACATTCCGCGCTTTTTAATTTTTCTATGTGACCGTGCAAAGTGTCCTATAACCTTCAATTATTAGTAGATACTTAATTTTTATAGATAATTATATTTAAAAAACTTAAAAATATTCAGTAGGTATACGAGTATACGTATTTGTCTGAAAACACGATCAATCAAATATTTCAAACGATGTTCGTTTTAAGATTTTAGAAGTAGAGAAAATTGTATCTAGATGAATCTTCGCCTCACTCTCGGCTCATCTGGCGAACCGCCATTGGTAAAAAATTAAAATATAGAACTACAGAGTATACTCGCCGAATATTTTTGTTCAATAAAAATAATATTAATAGCAAGAAATCTTAACGTAAAAAAAAAAAATCAAAAAATAAAAAAAAAATTTATAACCGTTATACACACATACAATAAAGTACATAATACTGAGTTAAATTATTATTTCAAACACACACATGTTCTCAGTATGAGACATAAGGACTGATGAAAATAGCACGTGGTTTAAATACAAATGAACCATGCGTCTACACGGTAAAAAAAAAAAATGATATAATATTTAATCGAGTAACAATACATATATTAGTATTATCTATACCTACGCATTATCTAATATACGTATCTATGCGTATTTTTTAAATCGACCAAACTTTCTCTGTCAAAGAGTACTCTCACCAAATCCACACTGCAGTAACTAAAAGCATCTATACAAAATTCACGTTTTGGGCATCTCTGGGACATAATAATACAACTTCACCGAGATTCAGATAAACAGGTTAATAAATCATGTTAAATAAATTCTGTTAAACGTGATCCGCACACACTTTCAACCCTCTATCACAAGTCACTGCTTGACATAGAGGAACAACAAACGAAGCAACGCAAACAAAAATAATCTAAATACGAGTAAGCATCTAATACTGTAATGGACAAATGAAAAAGGAATTTTCTATAAATAAACTATAGTAGTAGGTAGATGATGGTATTATACAAATTCCGGGATAAGATGTCTGTTAAAAATAAAAATGAGTTGCATTACAATTAAAAGCAATTTAACATTTAAGATTTTAACCCCTCCCCCTCTATTATGTCATACATTTGAATAGCTTGTATTCTAATAAATAATAAGAGGTAATATTGTATTTAACTTTGGTTTAGTATAATCGATACATAATATTTAATTGATCAATTTTAATAATTTTACTAACTGTTTTCATTTTCACCATAATTTGTATTAATACAAATTAATTGTGTACATTATACACAATAAATTATTACATTAAAGTATACCTATTATGAAAAAATGTTACACTAATAGTTGTTTCATCATAACGAATTTATTAAACTACTTAAGTACCTAATTATATTATTCCGATTTCCAGTACGAGTACCACGTACTAAGAACAAGATATAAAAAAAATATATCAGCAATTAATTATTAATAAGTGAATTAATATAAACAAACCATTTAAAACAAAATAGCATCAATAGTAACGAAATTTATGAGATATAATTATTCTTAAGCTATTAAATTATGCTTAGGAAATAAAATATTTAAAGTTTTATATTTTGTTAAACAACTTGTAATAATTTTACATTCGAATTCTGAATAAATAATAGTTTTTTTGGTTGCGTTTTATGTAGGTAAACATAGTTTTAATAAAATCAAAATATTATATGTAGCACTATAAAATTATATAAGTAACCTGTAGAACCCTAAATAATACATATTTGTGTATTTATAAAAATTGTTGTACATAATGTTTACTCGAAAACCAATGATTATATAATTATATATATTACTATTTATAGGCACGAAAAATTTAAGGAAAAGGACTATATAATGTATACTATATCATTTGTTACAAATTAATATTGAAACGAATTTTTGTTAATTAAAATCATCGTTAAAATCGTAAATGTGTAAGTTACACATTTACGTATACTCCACGCATATGATGCAAGATTAAAAATTAAATTAAATATATCATTTAATTAATCTGTAAGATATATTTTAATGTTATGTGGGCATTTCAGTACCTAGTTATTTTCAAGGTTACAAATATAAAACGTGACTAATAGAAAGGCAAGTGAACGTAAAGCAATTTTTTTTTTTTATGAATGAACATCTTTAATACAATAATATTAGGTATAAACGCGTATAAGTTTGTTAAGATATGTAATCGTTATTAAAATTATTACTGGACACAACGAAAATTGTTTTAAAATATTACTACAAAATCAATATTATAAAGGTATAATATTGATTAAAATTATTAATATATTTAAACTGCAATTAAAATTGATTTCAGTTATACCAACACCTCTTGGGTAGAGTTGCGACTCATATAATACACTTGACAACTATCGTGTGGGTAAACATATCTACCGACTTATTGTATATGCACGACATGCAACACGGTGTAATGGAGGACAGAGTTTTTAAATAGTAGTCAACTAGTAGCTAATATTAATCTGTATTAAGATTGTTCGATAAAATATTTTATTTGAGTATTTTCGCAGTATATTTTGTTATTAATTACGAAATCGTATACTAGTGTTACATAAAAAAAAAAAAAAAATTGGAACATTTTAATAATTTAATAATTTAAATTAATATTTTAACACTAAAAGCAAAATGACATTTGAGTAAAAGGCAATACGTATTAGGTACTTGAAACATTATATTATTACGCTATTGGAACTTAACCTTCATAAAAAATCGTTTAAAAAAATTTAAATTTCCCCACCTACCATGAAAAATTCGTTTACACGCCACTGTTTATTGTTTCTACTACTTTTATATTAATAATATTATACATTTATAGTAATAAGCGTATATAATATCTCGTTAATATTATTAATTTATTCTGATAAGTGCAATTAATTTTAACGATAGTTAATATTAATTAATTTGCAGCAGCACACTATTGTATACTTATCGTGTACCTGTTTACAGTAAATGTGATTTGCTGTGTGTTTGATGTGATATTATCGTTAGCTAAACGAGCTAAATGACGAATTATAAAGCGTAATGAAGAAGAATAAAATTAAAACGACAACGCATTCGGCATTAACCGCAATGTGTCGATGTTCCCACGGTGACAATGTCCACACATGCACTCACACACGTTCGTTTGTACATTGCACACATACATACAAACAAACATTATCACTGCCAAGTCATGTTCGCATACAGCTATACCAGAAATAGGCATATTTAACGCTTTTACTGCAAGTGTTACGTATAGCCCGTATAGGTAATCTTTTAGTATACGTAACAAAGTCGTTGTTTTAACTACAATGTTGATACCTATAGTAAAATTAAATTTACACAACCCTCAAATCTCGACATTCTCTAATGTATCAGTTAAAAAAAAAAAAAAATGTTTAAAACATATCGTATAAAATAAAATAAAGTTGGTATTTGCTCAAATACCCTATACACCTACTCGCATTAGCAAGTTATTTAAATATATTATTATTCGTATCAATATAATAACTGCAAAGTTTGGTATAATATTGCCGGAGATTTTCTTTCCCGTCTTTCGCCTTTGGAAGATTTTTATTCCGGGATTCAGGTATCGTACGTATACTAATCATTTTGATTTACACATGGTCCACAGCCAGATTTTCTAAATAATAAAATATTACTACACTTATCGGCGACGAGCATGTGCCGAAAAAAAAAAACACCTGGTTATACAGACGGCACTCATCGTGCTCGTACACATACTATATAAAGTGTAGTATTATACCCCAGACGAAACGTGTATGTAGGTATACGTGTGGGTCACCATTTGAGTAGAGCGGCAGCTGCAAAGCGCACCACAACATCTGTCACGGAACATAAGCGCCAATGTAAAAGGAAAGAAAACCGTCAGCAAGAATATTATTTCATTCGCAGGCATTGCTGCCACAAAATCAAAACATTATTTCTGCAGATTGAATCGCTCCAAATAAAAAAAAAATTGAAAAACACAAAGGTAAAATACATCGAAGACCGGAAAATATAATATTAATGCATATCAGCATATATAATATGTACTTATGTCGAGATTGTAATATAAGATAATAGTTATGAAACTATAACTACCTACAACAAAATGTGTGTAATAATTATTACGCAGAGTATAGGTAATCTGGTAATATAATAAAATATTACAATATTGTTATATATAATTAACTGGTTATTTTGATATATACAATTTACTTACAACCAGGATCAGTAATATTATTAATTATTTATAATATAGGCAATAAGCATCCATATGGGCAAATTAATGTTTGTTGTAAGTATACCGCGAGTAACATTATTTGTTTGTATTATAATATTTGAGTTATGTTTCTATTTTCTGATTATTTATTAAACAAATTAGGCACCTACTCTACATGCCGAAAAATATTATTACACATAAATAATATGAATAGGAAAACTGTTGAGTGATATATTTATTTAATTTTAAATATTTATTTAGATTCATAACGGAGAAAGTTAGCCATGTGTGAATAGTTTCTTAATTACATCGAAATATCATTATAATAATTGTATGTACTGTAAAGTATTTTTGCATCTATAAATTAATTTCAAGCTTTTATAAATATTCGATAAAAATTAAAATATTCGGGATGACAAATTTGATGTTTTAATGCGAAATTACTGATGTACATTTTTTTTATCTATTTATTTATTTACCATGGACATTTAAAAATGTAAAAATATCTAACACTTTAGGTATAGCAGGGGTGACTCCGGACCTTAGCTATGAGGGGGGAGGGGCGAAATAATTACAAAATAATACACAATATTCAGAGGATTAAACCGTTTGTTTATCTTTTAGAATTTAGAATTGATCTAATCGTTTCGTTAGCAATGATTTAATCGAATCGTTGTTTTTCCATTTATTCTCGTTCATTATTCGTGATTATTATGAACTTTACTCCAACTGGAAACATACCTAATTAGTTGGAAACTAAACTAAACTACCATGAACTATAAAATATTTGAACATACATTTTATTGACTCATTAATCGATGTTGCTGTTACTGATATGGTAGTATTAAAATGTATTATCAAGACTACGGCTAACCAACGTTATCATATCATTCTATATATTATATAGGTACAACTTGAGTACAAACTGATTTATATATGACCGCAAATCACGGTCATGGTCATACCCTGCTTCGTAATAAATTGATATTTGATCAGAATTGTTATTAAAACAATTATTTATTTCTATTTAAAATAATTCATAAAGTGTTGAATGAAGCAACATAAATACGAGGTGTGGCTATTAAATAATGAGACTGGTTACGAAAAGTGTTTTATTATAAAAGTTATTCTACATTCAAATGCTCCCCTTCAATATACTCCCCTCCCCCCTCGCCACACACCGTTTCATTCGTTTCTTCCATTGCTCGAGGCAGTGCTGGAAGTCTGTTTTCGTATGACCATTCAGGAGTTTCGCCGATTTTTGTTTCACCTCTTCCATCGACTCAAACCGGATTCCTTTTAAGGCAGACTTTATCTTCGGAAACAAGTAAAAGTCGCAGGGTGCCAAGTCGGGTGAGTAAGACGCGTGTTCGAGTACTGGAGTGCCTTAAGCGGCCAAATAACACTTCACGCTTTATCCTGATGCAAGATCCACGACTTGTTTTTCCACAATATCGACCGTTTCTTACGAACTCATTCGCGCAATATTGCCAAAACTGTCAAATAGTAATGNCGGTTTTGAATTTGGATTATGACTGAATTGGATTCCGGTGCACTCTCGACCTTCAGAAAATAATTTATGCCACTCAAAAACACGCGCCCGAGATAGGAAATCCTCATTATAGGCCTCTTTTAACAACTTATAGTACTCAGTTGGAGTTTTTTTTAGTTTAACGAGAAAATTTTACGTTTATCCGTTGCTCATGTTTTTCGTCACACACGGTTTTCGGCACGAGAAAAAAACACGTTCGTTTCAAATCACTACTGCACAAATACTATAATAGTGACGAAAACGTGTTTTGGTACGTCCATAGATAAGATATCTAGATACCCAACGCATTACTCGTTTTTTTTACTACCCATCTAGAGCGCCCTCTAGGGGGACAGTCTCGTTATTTAATAGCCGCACCTCGTACATTTCTACATCTTATCATTTCTTTTAATAATATGTTTCATTAATGTGAATTAATATAAAATAGGTATGTACGTAAAAAATGAATACATACGTCTTACATACTATCATTTTTATCAATATAACCTATACATTATTATTGCATTAATTTATATGAATCATTTTTAACATTATTACGATAATTTACAAAAATAATAAAAAAGTTCAAACCTCTGAGTCGAAAACTGCTTTCTTGTACATATAGCACATAGGCAATAGGCATACTATCTTCGACATTTGTATTATTATTGTAATTGTAAATAATATGTTATGCTCGACCGCGCTTCGTGTAATCACTCGGTTTATTGTTCTTAGAACGATTTTACAGACAAAAAATCGTCGTCTCCGTATATTTAAATAATAATAATTACCTACGACAACGTCCGTGTAGCAATTTGACTTTCAAATTTTACTGAGGAACAATGGGCATAGGTATACACTCTGAGGGAGGAGAAATGAGTCTGTGAGTCAACCGTTAGTAATTTCCCGTAGTAGATGTACCTACATAATGTTATTCGTGATATTTATAAACGTGGGGCAATAACACGAAATAAGTATTTACAGAATGTCGAAACGTTATAATTTAGTTGTGTTAAGTATAGGTAGTGACTATATAATATTATAATATATGGTGACTAATTCGAAATCATTAATCATTTAATATTGTACTTTTGTTTTCTTTATTTCGTATTTCTTGTTCTTCGGTATTATAATATAATAATATCAGTATCTGAAATTTATCTTATATAGTATTTGGTTAGGTACTGGTGGATTTAGCCCCACCAAGTTGACCGATCGTCTTCAAATAAATTTGCAAAATATTGACGTTAGTTTGATGTCGATCGGCCAACGTGGTGCAGGTATAACTTCACTAACGTGGTAGGTACCAATCTGTATTTAAAATATTATAATTTATACAAAATAGATAAATATATAGATGCCTGACTGAAACGTAGCCTAAAGCGTTTATTGGTTATAGGTATTTATTATATTTGAAAAAGAAGTATAATCATGTTGTACCCAAAACAGTTTATTATTACCTATTCAACTATATTACCAATACATATATAACATTTAATTATATTTAACTTATTTCATAAAAGATAATTTGTTTGCAATACGAATATAATATTATAATTGTTATACAAATTATTATTATAACAACGCTAAAGGAAAAAAAACCGCACCAAAACGGTTGTATACGCTGCAGCTGAATACGTTTGAACGTGATCGATCTGTTATTTGGGCGGATGCTGTGCACAGCATCCGTGGGCAAAGTTCTTCCAGACGATAAAGTGATGGTTTTTTCTCCCTATATAACAAAATGCGCTTGCGTAAATACACCGCGCGTAGTGCGTATTCGCACGCAATGCTCGGTTAAAAATTAAAATATATTACACAGTTACGGCACGCGGTAAAATTTGCCACTATTTTTATATAGTTTCAAAATACAAATAATCAGTGTTGTGTTTTATATTTAGATAAAATGATAAATAAGTTATCAGAGATAAATATAGATAAATTAATTATCCAGATGAATTTTTTTTTTTTTTTTAAATCAATCGCCATTATTTATTAGAAACAATAAGTAAAAATATTTCATTTATAATAATATGGTTTCATAAATTAATTATCACGTTCCGTCAATCACAAATTTTTTTTTTAAATCTATAAATGTGTGGTACACTTTAACATACTAATACTTTTAGCACTCAATTTTCCAATAGGTATAGAATTATCTGAATTGAACACAATTATCTTTTTGTTTACCTAGATAAAAAGTTGCTGATTATTTATCTTTATCAAGATAATTCAATTGTTATGTATCTTTTATACCTTCATCTAGATTCTAGTAATAGTATCTCTTATTTTTGTCTAGATATTTTAAAATGTATTTTTGTACAAAACACTGCAAACAATATACACCTAATATAAAATATTTGCCAATGCTTATATGTATCGTGTAAAATCAATTTGGTAAATGAATATTGTTTTTCAAATATCCGTGTAACAATATTAATAGTACATAGTGTATTATATTATTATGATGGCCTGTATACCTTAGTTGATATATAATTGAATACTATTATATACCTACACATCACACACGTTCATACGGAGTATTATTTTATAAGAGTAAAAATACATCAATCAATATTAGGGTGTATCCTATATATGCACATATAATAATATATATTATTGTACTGAGGTCGTTTTTATTGAATCTAACGGAAATTGCTATGATATAGTATGTATGGGTTATTATATTAGAGTCGTCGGCTCCTCGGTTGATTTTAGTTCATAAGATACGAACTAAAACTTTTCATATACCTACGCATCGATGATATTATAACACTCACATAGGTTCTAGTAAATTATTATAAAATATGAGATACCACACGTATTCTATTGTACTCTCGTAAATCTATAAGTATAATCAAGATATGCACACACAAAAAAAAAAAAACGTAAATTTAAATCGGAGTATTCATTTCTCAAAACAATAGGTATACTGGTACGCAGTGGTCTGCAGTAACGGATATAAATTTCAGTGACCAGAATATCTAATGAATGGTTTAAATTGTATAAATTATTTTAATTTAATTTAATTAATTCCGTTTGAACTTTGTAAATAAATAAATATAATACTGTAAAAAAGTATATAAAAATCTATATAATATATATTAGATATGAACACTATTGTTTCATTTATTCAGTTCAAAATTAATATTTTTGTATTAAAACTGATATTAACTGACCGATTAACTTTTGTGAATTATAATATAATATTTTCAAGCTACCATTATTAAAATTTTATACGGAAAAAAAACATTTAATCAAATTTTATACTCTGTGCGGGACAAGGAAATCTTGTTCCGATTTTCAAGTATAGCACTTTTTTCTGAAAAGAAATTTTATCTGGATGGTGCAATAAAGAAGTCAGTTTTTCATTTTCTAAGGAGTTTTTATAATAAACGAGAAAAACGGGAAAATGTATGAAATTTATTATTTTTAATTTTGTTTTTTTGTTGTAATTCAGTTTAAAATATTCGTAGAGATTTGAAATTTGGAACACAGAACACTTATATTTACCTTTTCTAGACGTGGACAATTTTTAAAATAGTTTATTCATTTTTGTGCTATTTATAAATATTTTAATTTTGTAAGTTTTTTATGTGATTTGTATTCGATATACTACTTAGGTGGATAAAACTGATTGATCAAACAAAAATGTTTGAAAATTTAACAGGAGATTCATTATATGTTGTACTCTGTGGTCGAAAAAAATTTGAGTGTAATGTAGCATTTCTTTTTATTTGAATTTTAATATCAAATTTTGACGAAAATCGCAAATATTACGGCCTTTCAAAATATGTAAAACCGAACCCCACTCAGAATCGTTTTTTGTAAAAAATGTTCAATCATTACGTACAGATATACAATAAATTCCCTTCTATATCCTACCTTTCAAAATTCTCACCTAAAACAGTGGCCCACCCATCGTGCGAAATATCGTTTTTAATACTAACATTTTTAAACACTTTTTAACTTTACGTTACATAATAAAAAAAAAAAATAAAGAAAACTCAATTATTATCGATCAAACTACCTATGTCTCATAATTTTATTCATAAAATGATAAGTCTTGAATTATAATAATAAAAAAAATACAATTCATTATGAAATCAAAACATTATTATATACATTTAAATTATGCTTATCACATATACTATAATTTTAATTAACGCCATACTGACTGCATACATTTAAATGTATCAATAATATTATTAATCAACCATAAATATATTTAACTATAAGTATGATAGGAGATAAAGGATAATTAATATGAAATGTTTAAAGTATATTCAAAAAAATAATTGTAGTGATTCTAAATGAAATATTTTCAAATATAAGGTATATGAAATATTCTAGAAAATACAGAAACTTAAAAAATCATATACGTAGTTAATATTGGTTATTTTAGCAAGACTGTATGGAAAATTCGATGAGTTTTACAATTTTCATTAAAATTATACAATTCGAATGGCGTGAACGCAGCCTATTTACGAGTCGCCGAGATATTAAGTGAACTTTATATCCCAGATGAATGAAGGTGCAGCAGCGTCTGCTCCGAATATTTTCATTGAGTTTTAATAATAATACTATTACATTAATTTGATACATTACTTATTAGTTACATAATATTACTATAATGATATGATTTTATTGTCCAACAAATCTAATATAGTGTACAAATGTCTTTACAAAAGACAAATTGGTATTTATCTATTTAAGATATAGTGAACAAATATTTTTTAGAAAATTAACGTGCAGACAATACGTAATTACGTAATTATAATTATGTTATGTGAGGTATCAATAAGCACTTGTATTTAGTATTATTTACTATTTATGTATTTAATATTTTTGTTTTTCAAAACAATTTATTTATCTATTATTATAACTACGAATACATTTAAAATGAAAAATAATTTGTTTATTGGGGCACTCGACATATTTTTTAATAATAAAATAGTTATCTAAACACCATCGTTTTTTATTTGTCTGCGACTTACGATAAATGCAAAACTATATTAATTATCAGAATAATACGACGTGATAGATATCCCGAACAAATGTAATTATTGAAATATTTTACGATAATATTGGCAATTATATATTGTATTATAATATAGTTATCCGTTTCCCCGGCTCCGTTACATCGTACAAAAATGACTGTCTAACGTCAAATTTGTATAATTGTATTTACAAATAGGTAGCTTAAAAAAAAAAAAAGATAACTCGATAATGTATAAATTAAAATCGAGTTTTAAGTATTACCGTGAGTAGCACAAGTAGGTAAATTCAGTTATAATAATAACTGTAGAGTGTAGGTCTACATAACATTATAACTATAACACTCAGGTGTGTATGTCTAGGTAAATATTGAAAATTACTTCCCGGAAGTGTGACGGCCAGTATTCGCTATATGCGAGCAAATATACCACCGTTTGTTGTGAATAATAGTACTAGTAGTAGTAGTAGTAGTAATAAAAAAAAAAAACCCGATCCAAAAATTCCTGCGCGGATCGACCGGAAAGTTAAAACCGCGCGATTCACACGATAATAAATAATAATAGCTATTGCAGTACCTATAAAATAATAATATTATTATAGTTTTGCATAATATACGAGTACCTATATACACCCTTATAATACCTACCTATATTGGCAAACAATAATGTTAAACTACGCAACGCATACACGTGCACTGGAATATTGTGTGTATAAATAATTGTCGTCGTGGCGGGCGCTGCTTACACAGCGAGCACCGAGTGTACTCCGGAGTAGTATTGTTTGGACGGCAACAGGATTTCAATGGTTGTCATGGAAACGCACGGGAGGCCCAATGAACCCGCGTGTGCCGGCCAGACAGCTAGGGTCGTAGGAAGAGTGGAAGGTGCAGTCACGTTAAAAGCGTAGATCGATGAGAGGGATACATACGACGTATAATATTGTGTACAGTAAGTATTATAGCTGCAGTAGTTACTTCCTGATATATTTTAATTCTAATTTTATCAATTATTTTGGACATTTTACGGGACTTTTCATTGTTTTCGTTTTGATCGAAAAAAAAATATAACAAAAAAAACACTGTATTTTTATTTCCGGAAAAATCATTAAAAACACAATACTTATATAATATTACTGTAACACAGGGTTCGGTAGACACATAGATACACATATCAAAGATAATATTGTAATTGTATCTTTTTTAGTTTATGTAACGTACCTTGGTACTATCAAGGTACTTTAAATTACGGTACAAAGTATCTTTTAGTGATAAAAGAAACAAGATGCTTACATATTTTTTAGTATAGTCTAAAAAATATATATATTAAAATAATGAAAAACACAAAAAGGTTGTTCGTGTACAAAATATTTGAAACATTAGTTTATTTTTAAAGGGCAAAAATAAAAACTATTTATTTTGTACTTTTAATATAAAAAATAGTAGGTAGATTTTATAACAAAGTATTCACCGAATTGACGATATTGAATTATGAAAATTAAAAATTAGAAAGTATCTTGTATCCTGCAGTTCAAAAATTGAATATAGTTTTCTTTGTATCTCGCCCAACCCTAAAATACATAATACATATTTGGGTACATCGGTGAAACTTTAAAATAATTCGAAAATAAAACAAATGGTTTTTGATATTTCGTATAGGTGTAATCGTGTAACCTATTATCTTTCTTAGGTACAATATGAAATGAAGCAAAATATTGAATGACGTGAGCACTATGGTAAATAGGTAACCTACTCTACCTATAAATTTGGTATTCGCTTTTTTACTTAGTAAATTATTATTATTTTCTAAAATTGCAATAGTTATAACTAGAGTACGAATTTATATGCACTTCAAATCCACAAAAAGTGCCTTAAAAACGTCAAAAGAAGCCTTTTAAAACGTAGTCATTTAAAATTAAAAAAACGAATAATGGTAGAGGTTTGAAATTCCCCTCCTTCCACTAATAGTCCTAACTTAATAAAAATGATTTTCTAACACTATACAAATGATAATCACAAAGAAATTTTCTTCAATTAAAGTTATACGTGTTATAAAAAATATATATTTGTATTAATAATTTGTCAACGTTAAAAAAAAATTATTTAATAAAGGTTAGATGTAGGACTTTAAAACCCCTCTACCACTTTTGCTTTTTAACAATTTTTAAGTGCTTTTTGGTGAATTTTAAGTGCATACAAATTCGTTCCATAGTTATAATTATAGACTGAATTTAAATTCTCTTATAATCCACAAACAGGCGCTTTAAAATGACAAAAGAATCTATGAAAAAAGCACTAACAAAAACATTTAAAAAGCAAAAATGATGAAAGAATTTAAATATCTCCCACTAATGGCTCTATTTAATAAATTAAATTTCCTAGAACTACAAAAACGATTAATATAAATTTTTTTTTTTCAATAAAATCGTACGCATTATAAAAATTAATTACTTTTTATTAATCATTTTTGTTGTGTTAAAAAATTGTATTTATAAGTTAAATCCGTTAGAAGGGAGAATTTTGTAAACTCATCTATTATTTTGGCTTTGTTAAATATTTTTTAAGTGATTTTTTGTGGATTTTAAGAGCATATAAATCTTGTTTCTATAAAATGAAAATATTAATTGGAATTAATATAAAGTTTTTATTAATATCGGTTTTTTTGTTTTAATAATATATAATTATCTAACTAATTAAGGGTTGGCACTATAAACGGTCATCACACATTATTTCTTTTTACACCGAAAAAACTAAAGGACTACAGCAGACGCAACCAAAATTAATTATAGTTTTAGGCGTTTTGATAATAGGGTTTAACATAAATATTCAATGTCATAATAGATATATAGTATTGGTAGTAATTATTACCTTTATGTATATCCCCTATAAATCAATCAAATCTATAGTTTAATAATTAGTAAATGTATATAGATTTGTTCATTTTCTTTGATAATTGACAATTAAAACTAACATTATTTAAATGATATTATTATTAAAAGCGAATTTTGTAAAAGAACTAAAATAAATAAATCGTACCTATATATAATATAATACAATTATAATAAATGATGCATCCGCATTTAAATAATCACATAATAATAATATTATAAAAGATAAATATTAATAAATAGTGCCTATTCGCCCATACGTAAATATTTTTGAACAGTAAACAATTTTTTATCTTTTTAAACATACAAGTACCTAATTATATAATCGGTTTGTTTGAAACTAATACGTAATATATTTAACGCTTTTTAAATTTCTTTAAAAACAATACGACAGATTACGAAAAACCATCCAAGTAAAGGTACACAGAAAACACAAATAGCGTTTTTCTTTGTAATTTTTAAGCTTGTGGCGATTTTATTTCAAATCTGTCTATACGAAACGAAAAATACGAGAAACACGAAAAACGGTTGTTTTTTTTTTTTAAACATATATATATATATATATTTAAATATTTATTATCACGATAAACGGAGGACAACAAATTGTTGCACGGATATATCAGTTATCCTGGTAAAATTGTATGAATTCATGTTTTAATTTATAACTACAGTAAATACATAATATACAAATCGTAATGTTTTATTACGATTACGCAATGTACATAACAAATAGATAACAATAATATAGTTATTATGATTTATTGTAATTATGTTTTTATTGTTATTATTATTTTTTATAATATAATATATTATTATACTGTTATATCCTATACTTACTATTTTATAAAGGTCAAAATTCGTTAACCCGAATATTTAATTGAGATCACAAAACATAATATTTCAAATATAATAAACAAAATTGTAACGACATCATATATATATACAATACAATTAAAAAAATAATACTAATAATCGCTATAGTAAAAATGTTTCGTAAAAATCGTGAACTATCCTAACCTAACCGATGTGACGTGTATTTTAAAATTATCGACAAAATATTATATTGTCCATTGTAAAAAAATATTGAAAATCATGAAAGAAAAACACGAAATTTGCTATTTTACTGTAATTAATTAGGTAGGTACCTAGTCGTTTCTTATCCAGAGAGAGTTATTAGATTTTCGAAAAGGAGATTGGAGGAACACCCCTATTTTTCATACGTTTCGGATCAATAATAAGCGATGAGAAACTACACATAGATACTTACCAATGTCCGATTTTAATTTTAAAGCATAACGTATGAATATGTTGATACATTTTTTTATACCCCAAAATTAGGATACTATTTTTTTTTTGAATTCCGCGGAAATAACATCATAATATTAAATTATTATATATTATTTTAAATACACTAAATTTTAAATCGAAAAATCATCTTTCTAAATAACCCAGACAATTTGGTCAAGAAATCCATTTGATATTACTTTAAAAATTGTATATATAATTTTCCCCCGCTTATTGGTTTAAAACATTCATCCATAAAAAAGAGGCCGCACCCCTTCTCCTTAAACGGATACCAGAGAATATATTAGTGGACAAGTTCTCATTAAGGTAAAAATGATATCAAATTGTACACAATTTAGATAACAGTTTCCAACCTCCTTAAATTAACATACTTAAATACCTAGATAATCATCATTATAACAAAAATATGAATTGTTTGATTATAAATCTGATTGTCTTTCAAAACCTACCTATCAAAAAAAAAAAAAAAACATTGAAATGCACGACTTTTTTCAAGAGGCTTTTTAATTTAGCTAAAAATCAACCTTTATTTTAAATTATACGTTTGATCCGATGATGAGGCTGAAATCGAAACATAGTTATATACTTTTCGAATTATTTTTGCGATAAACCAATAAAAACAAAATTACCCCAGAATTCATTTATAATTCATTAACAAATTTAAAACAAATTGTAAGGGTTTTTCTTGTGATTTTTATTCTTATTCTATAACACTCGAATTTAATCTCAACATATTATTTAGGTACGTCACTGTATTTAAGTAACAATAAATTAATAGGCGCAATAGCCGACCTGCAGAATTTTATAATAAATTCTATTCTATATACAAACTGTTCCTACCAATTTTTCGTAATTAGGTAGGTATTTATACATATTTAATTTTTTTTTTTTTTTATACGAACCTTTTTATATCTATTTAAGTCATAATTTGTGCCATTCGACACAATCGATATTGTTAAATCGTACCTATAATAACATTTAACACGATTATTATTGGACACTAACCATCAAATTAAATCCCGTAGGAAACAAGGTCCGATTGAATCGTTTATTAAAACGGAACTGCTTTTCGTTGGTGTACATCGGTTTATTTTTGGGACACGGTACAACGAAAGGAGACGACTCTTATATTATAGGAATCTACCGACTTCCGCGATGTCTATACAACGACGACTATGTGTGCATCAGAACAGAACGCCCCCATTTGGTCGACAACGACGACGTTCATGACTCATTCGTTCACCCCCGTTCATTACGCGTACACAAAAGGGACTTCCTGCCCGTATAGGTAAGTATATTATGTAATATGAGAGAATAAAAAAAATATTTAATCAAACAGTTTTATTTAACTACTGTCGTTACCGTCACGACGCCGGATAGCATATTATTAAACACGTTTTGTAAATATTACGCGCGCTCGCCGAAGGTACAGCACTACAAAAAATATTGTAAAGCGCCTCCTACCCGACACTATATAGATAGGTACCTACCTAAGTACTCGTTAATAAAATTTCGGATTCAGAATACCGTCTTTATTTACAATAGATACACATTAAATTTGTGTTATTTGCAAAAAAAAAAAAAAAACAACTCACCCTTAGTACCGCCAAACATAAAGATAAGGGCCAGCAGAAGCTTTCCGCAGGACCCCATCTTGAGGTATTTGCGCGACACTCGACTTGGCGAACTTATCACCGGGCGATGTTTCGTTTTATTGTTGTCGAATGCAGGTAAACGCTCTCGGAGATGCCGCAGTATAATTAATATGCGCACAAAAACTAGTGAGAAAAACAACAACAAACACACAAGAGAAGCGCACACGAACGCAAAAGAACGACACGCAACCCCGCGAGTTCCACAACACGGACTGCCGGCTAGAGGCACCGGGCGCGGAGACAGTGAATGTTCCAAGGATCGGTTCGCAGTGTAGCCACCAGTACGATAATTTAATAATAATATTTACATACTCAACTATGCGTGGGTGATTTGTTGTTTATTAATGTAGGTAAACGTTATAACTAGAGGTCGGATTTTTATGATTTTACATAGTTATTTCTAATGTATGCATTTAAATGGAAGTAAGATATCTTTAGGATTCACGAAACATAGAATTCAGAGGAAAACAATTATTTTGCATAAAAAAGCATATTTTATGGTTAGAGAATATTTGTGATTTTATATTTTTATTTTTGATCCTATTATTTTTATGGACGTATATCGGCATTTTGATACGATATTCGTAATATTGATCAACAAATACAATTTATTTTACAAGCCAGTTTTGTTTACATCCTTCTGGGTTTTTAATAAAAATGAATTGCTAGATATTTCTTATCGATGGCGATAACACGTCAGAAATACAAAAATACATATAATAATAAAAAGAATATTAAGAGAAAATATTGTCTATTTTAAACGACATAAAAACATCACATTTTGAGGATTTTAAGAGAATAAATTCGACCTTTAATTATAATCTAATATTATTATAGTGATTTATTGTGTAATTTACCAAAAAAAATAGTAGATAATAAACAGAGTTCGGGGCTTATAGCATTTAAAATCAACATAAAACTCTTGAAAACTTACTCAAAAAACTTTCTCATAAACCCTAAAGTTTATTAAACCAGTTGAGTATTAAAATAAATATAGTTGAAAAATCAAAAATACCTACGAAAATTATTTTTATTATTTCTTTCTAACACCAAATTAAGCAAAAAAATCGCTTTCGAATTTCATATATGGGCTCGTTAGACATGATATTAAATTTCATAACATTTATCTAGATTCAATACCAAAACCAAAAATATAAGCAATAAGGTATTATTAGGTCAAAATTAGTCATTATTTGATGCACATTAAAACTTCAGTTCCTTTTCTTATAATCTATACTATTATTAATATCTATTATTTCTAAATTATTTTTAAAAAAAATTTCTCGAATAGGTATAGAATGCTAAACTAGGTAAATGTAATACTGAATATTTAAGTTATTTATATAATATTGGTAGACAATGTACTTGGTAATTTGTATTGAGCACATTCTTTAAAACATAATAATATTTGATACATATGGAAAGATGACATCTTGAATATAAATTAATTTCTCCTCTTACCTACCAATGGATCATATAATACTAAAATTATAAGTAGGTATATAATACAACCGTCATTGTACCTACTAAAAGTATATTATAATTTACCTACAAGAAAATATATTTTGTTTTCAGAGGCGGATTGGCCCACCGGGAGTTTTCCCGATGGACTGGACTGCTTCGTAGGCAAATAATTTTTAATATTTTTCTAATTATTGTTTAGTTTAATAAACAAATTGTGATTTATGAACATTTTTCAATAAAAAAAAGTAAGAAAATTAACAATAGAGACGGTTATCTAGATTAGTTATCGGAGATTAATTAAAATATTATTATTTCATATAATTTGTGGTAATATTTTGTATAATTATAATCATATATTAGTGTTATATATGTTTTCATATAAATTATTTATGTTTGAATCGTCCATCGAGCACAGCGTTTATAACATCATTCAGACATTGGCAGAAATCGGGGGCTTCACCTCACCAAAAAGTTCTTGCATACTTATACAATTTTCATTTTCATATAATATATTCTTAAAAAAACAAAAAAATATAATATTTTAGATTCTGAGAGGAACAAGGAAAGTATTGGTGTTACAATGTTTATTTTTTTATGTGATCACTTTTTTTTACTAGAAAGAACACTTCGATTATCAAGTATATCACCTATTCTGAAAGGAAATGTTCTCTGGGTGGTACTTTAAAGAGGTAATTTTTCGAAATTCTCTTTAATATTCGAGATAATGAGGAAAACCTCGGTCTTTAAGTTAAAAAAAGATTGAATGATTAAAAACAAGGTTGTCATTGACAACCGTTTTTATTTATTTTTGTTATTAAGTTTTTATTATTTTAATATTTTTTAAACAATCATTGTTGTAATCATTTTACCATAATGTAGAATATACCATACTGTATTGTTAATAAAGCAACACTATCAACTGAATTCCGGTTAGAATCGTTTTTTCGTTAACAATGGTTTATCGTTGCTTACAGATAAACATTAAATTCCCGTCTGCATCCTACATTCCCAACTTCCTACTTACAACAGTGGCTACACCCACGTGCGAAGTATGTCCGTTCTTTTTTATATTATAAATTTTTTTATATTCAAAATATAATATTTTATACAAAAATTAAAATTATAAGTTGGAACACTGTCATAGTAATTTGTTTTATATTGTTAGTGTGTTAGTACTCGATAGCGGATATATAATATGAAATCGCAATAAATGTATAATCAATGTAATACTTAAATACCTACCTATCTATGCGAAACTGGAATCTTTTGTCGGTACCTACCTAGAAGGTAGGTACTTAATTGAATCAATATTAGTCAACACTTAACATTAATAATATTATTGTTGTCTTGTTGATTATTTTATTTTCAATATTAAGTAGGTACATTTCAACGATGAAATTTATAGGTATTCAATAGGTAAATTGTAAAAATAAACCCTATTTGGAAAAATATACATTAATTACTGTTAAAATTTTGTTAAAAACTTACAAAGTTAAACTTAAACATATTAAAAAATAATATTGACAACTAATATAGGTAAACATTTTTACGGTAACAAAAAAATTTAATTTAAAACATTTTAAACAGTTTTCAATTAATGTTCTTTATAAATATTGTATTATACTTTTATATGACTGGTAGTATAATATTACAATCGAGATTACGATATTTAATTAGGTATATTTTCTAGCTTTCGTTGTTAACGCATTGCAGACTTAAAACAGTTTCCGTTCATTATTTGGCCCAAAAAATTATTATGTTCAAATCGAAAAGAGATCGATTTTCGAATATCTAATCATTGGTAGAGAAAGTCAGTTTTTGATATTTATTTTTGTAATTTTCATAACAATAAGATTGAGAAAATCGAAAAAGACGAAAAATACGAATTTTTCAAATTATGGCGTAACGATTTCATTATTTTAATTGTTCAGATTATATTTTTTTACCAGAATTCTTTGTCCAAACTTCCAAAGTACCTAACTTATATGTCGTTTGATTTTCCATACTTAAAGTTTCCCTAATAACTATGGAAAACCGGGAAAAAACGTAGAATACATGCATAGGCGTGCGCAGGAACTTTTCGCGGGGTGTGCAGAATAATTTTAGTAAGGATTCTACTATAATCCAGTAAGATAATTGCCTTTATATTACAATAATTCAAATTTAGTTTATATTTTGTATTTGTATACATTGTTGCATTAATAATAAAAAGAAGAATATTATAAATTTAGTATCATTGTTTAAAACTACAAGCAATACATAAATTGCTTGTATTTGTTTATAACTTTGAAGCAATTATTTATTTACATGTGACTAATTTTACATAGGTGTGATTATTTTACATTAAAAACGTTGGTTTTGAAATAAAATTCCAGTGTACACCAGAACGCAATCACGACGACACGACAGTACGACGCTTTAACACTTTAGTGTACAGACTAATATTTTTAAAACAAACAAAGCTTATGACTGACGGGTTATCAGTTTTTTATATGAACAATATTTTTTTAATTTGTACCTATATTAGATTTATTATACATTTTAACCACAATTAATAACTATAATATTTGCAAATAAATCAAAAATTTAAACGGGACACAATTGTTTTCAGGGTGTATAGCTGCCTATCCTGCACACCCATGTGCACGCCTATAGATATAATATGGTAAAATATAGAGAATTTAGTTTTTTTGTTATTATTTGGTTACAAATTATTGGAGATACCTGTAAGTTTTTACAAAATACCTATATTGGCCTATTGTAGACGTGGTAAAATTATTAAAACATTCTAGCTATTTTTAGATTATTTATAGGTATTTGATATTTTCATGTTTTTATATGTACATATTTTTATTTGATAGATATCTGTTATTAAAATTGTATGACTTGAGAGAAATGTTTGAACATTTAATAAGAGGTACCTACATTATAAGTTGAACTATTGACCAAAAATACAAATTGGAGTTATAATGCAATAATTTTTTTTTTCAAACGCATTTTAAGATCAAATTTTAATGAAGTAGAGTATAGCATCATTTTTGAAAGGTAATTTTGTCTAGTTAGTCTAGTACATTTTGTTTATTTATTTTATATTTTGCAGAAAGTGCTCTATGCTTATGTATGTATGCATGTACAAAGTAAATATTATAATATGCGATTACTTAGCATTTCGATATTGTATTACTTATTCATTATCCTAAGTAATAAAGCAATACCGTATAAATTAGGCTTTTTGAACGAAAAACAGTAGTACAAAAAGGAAGAAAGAACACTTAAGTTATATTTTAATTTTGACATATATATGTACCTATATTATATTTCATAATGTAGGTACATTAAGATATATACATAAATCATAAGGATTAACTTTATAGGTACATCTAATTAAGGATACGGACATCTAATTCTAAGTACACACAGACTAAATTACTACACACAAGTAGACCATGAAAATTAAAAACATACGTTTTTTATAAATTAAATTTGTGGGATAGAAACACCACTCGAATAAAACAATTTTAATTAAGTAATTAATAGTTAATTACTCATAACAGATAATACCTTAATATGAATATTATAAGCATTACCCCACACTATTGAAATATATGTAAAAATTAATTGTACTATAGCTAATTATATTTTTTGTAATGTATTCTTATCTAAAATATGGCGAAGAATTTTAAACTTGTAAGTATATAACTTATAGTTTTCTTATTAAGTTGTTTACAAAAAAAATATGTTCTTTAAATTTAAGTTTATAATCAAAAATAAAACCAATATATTAAATGCTATCCACTTTATTTAAAGGCAGTGTTAAATCCAGACAATTTTCCTGGGGGGTTCATTACACTAAAATTATATGTAGTATTAACCTTTTTTTTTTTTGCTTATCTAGTTTCTTACTATAAGACTAGTCAAATTGGTTCAATTAATTAATAATTTAACAACATTTAACAGGGGGCCAAATAAAATTTAAGGGGAGGGGCTGTTGACATATACCTGGATTCAACAATGTTTAAAGGTATACAATTACATATGTGTGAAATATTAGCAGTTATATGTATGAGCACAAAATATGTCTGAAACAATATGTCTGAACAATTAATTATATTTTTATTGATATTAAATATAATATATTAAGATTTATTTAAATTGAGTTGTAAAACATTATTATCACACCAACATTTAACTTTATCTAAACAATTATTAGCCAAACTAATCAAACCTTCATAACATTTATGTCCTAACAAAATCACCATATCATCTAAATCTAAATTTATATTTAAAAGACCATATTACAAGTAGTATAGGACCAAGAAAACTGAAAAAGTATGTATATATATATAACCATCACTTTATTTATTATTTAGTCTACCTTTCTATGGTATATTAGAAATAAATGATTTTAGTAAAAGTTTACCACAAAAAGATAACTTTTTAAGGAGCACTTCATAATTACCGGAATCAAAAACTTTTTCAAAGTCTAAAAATATGCCTAGAATTTTAAACTTGTCAAAATTATTATGTACAAAATGAAATGATTTTACCAACGGATAAATAGTTAACATATTTGTATGAAAACTAAATTGATTATTATTGACAATTTTTATTGCAATTTAGTTATTGAAAAATTTATTTAAAAATTGCATTTATCATATTTTTGTACATTTTTCAAATAATTTTTGATAAAGTGAATGTATGAGAAATTGGTCTAAAATTACTGTGAACTTTTTTATCCTCGGATTTATAAAGTGGTTCAATAATAGTTTCTCTGAAAGAAAAAGGATAGGTGCCAGTTGTAAGAGATATGGTATTAACAGTATTTTTAGAATTAGATTTGTTATACTATGTTTGTTAAATGAAGAACCATATGTTCCTAAATTAAAGAATTACATTGCTCATTATGATTCTTTATCACATAACATGTTAATTTATTAAATATTAATTATTTTCATGCCTTATTTCTAGAAATTAAAACAGCTATAATTAAGAAATTATTCATCAGATATGATTGTGTGATAAATAAACATTTTTTACAAAATGATTATTTTGGTAATTTTTTTTAAAGTGAATAAATAAAAATTTACTTTTTTTTGTGTTTAGGGGATGAAAGTAAAAATTTAATTTTTCTCTAAATTGATTTTAAAATGAATTATTCAAAATATGTAATACAGCAGTAGAGAGTTCAATAAATTTATTTATTTTATTACTAAAAATATTTAATAAGTTATCTACATTTAGATCAAATAGTAATTCATGCTAATAATATGATTTTAATAATTGAGATGTTTATAGTTAGTGTAAGTTTGATATTTGCTTAGATTTTTACTTAAATTATTATTCAGTTAGACAAGTAAGATTATTTGAATCATGAAAACAGCTTATTTAACTATAGTCATTTATAAGGTTAGTTTTAACAATATAAGATGATATATGATTTAAGTTAGATATATTATACACATTTATGATCAATACATGATTTAGTATTTTCACTCACTCTAGTGTAAGCAATTATACAGAACATACAATTATTAGCTACAAATATATTTAAATATTTTGATAATTTTGCATTATCATTTAATATGTTGATATTTATACAAATACATTTATTTAAATAATACTTGTATTTATCTTTTGGTAAAACATATTGTGTATTTGAGTAATGAGTTGTAGACATTTTTTTTTTTATTATTGTTTATTGAGTGTCACATTGAAAAGTTCGCCTCTCGGGCCTCCAAATATCTTATTTTGATTTTTTGTAGGTTGGTATAGCTGTTGAAGATGTTTGTTGACTCTTATCCACCATGATCTTGAGTTTACGTCTATCACTTGACTGAAATTTTCAAATTTATTATTTGATTAATTGAGTATTATATTATTTAGCCTGCTTAATAAAGAAAAAAAAATACTATATTTACTGAAGCCTTTGGTATTTTCATAATATTACTGATGGATGTTTGTTGACTTTTATCCACCATGATCTTTCTTTTTTTTAAATCACGTCCGTTATTCGACTGAAATTTTTTAGTGTTTGTTCAGTTAAATTTGATTGAATAATAATATAAAAGTCTATTGTACTATTAGGCCCTAGGTATCTAAAAAAAAGGTAACCTTTACTATAGCCGTTGGTTTTTTGACTGTGTCCTGGAAAATTTGTCCATTTGAATCATTGGTTTTCGACTGTACCTAATAAAATTTAGAACAGATTTGGTATTACATATTTGCTACCTATACGTATTAATAAAGATACCTAAATGCTTACACTACCTATATATTTGTATGCTTACTCAGGACTTAATATTACCTATAATAGCTATACGCCCATAGAAACCCAAATAGAACCCACAAAACTTAAATTGTACAACACAGATAATCAAAGTTTTGACTTATTATTTTATTATTTTTTTATTTAAATCAATGAACTTAAAGGAAACCAATGTAGACATAATATGTATAGATGACTGCCTTTAAACCATGTATAGAACAATCATAAACTTTAAGTTATTGAAATTTTGATTTGGATTGGCCACTTTGTATTTAAGAAATTTTCAAATAAATGATAACTGGTTTAAATTAGGTTATCTCACTAAACATTTTTTATTCTCTAATAATAATGTTTATAATATAATGTAACAATATAAAAATATTATTTTTCTTTTTAACAAAAAATATGTTATTAAAAGTACAACTACAACATACAGATTTATATTTTCAATTTAATAGATATTGCTTGATAGATTTATTATGTTTAATTATAAATAAATAACACATAAAAAATAATCAGCGTTTTATTTAAGTTGAAATAAAAATAAATATCAAATTCAAAAGTACAACATTTAACATAATATTATTAATTTGTTACTCACTGAGAATTTAATAAAATATTAATCGCCAAACATAATAATAACTACTGTATCGTAATACACTCTTAATATTAAATAAAACACCTACCTGTGGTTGAGACATTCTCGCTTCTATATTAATAATAATTATAAATAAAATGTAAATGACAAAACGAAGTAATACCCGATTGTTAAAAAATTGATAAGGTAATAATTGTAGCTACAGCGGCTTGCAGTAATACCAATACCGAAAATATCAAAATATAGTTTTACCAACAATATGGAAAAAAAATTATTTGAAATTATTTGAAATATGTAAGTATTCGTGACATACCTTAGAATAATAGACTCTATGTGATATACAGGGGGCTAATTCTTGAAATCATTCGACATATTTATCAAAAGTAATAAAATGATTAAGTGCGAATTTTATCATTTATCAAATGCGATAAAATGTTTCGCATGAACCATTGTGATAACAGTATTGAATACATTATAAAACAGTATTGCACCTCAAAATGTACAAATTATTGCTGATAAACAATAATTTGGGGTAATGATAAAATATAAATTGATAATAATTGTTTTCACATATTTAAATTCTGTAATTTAGTTATTTAGTTATGAACTTGTTGCAAAAAAATGTAGTGCTATTAAGACCTATGAAACGTAGATTATCATTAAATGTTAAATTAACTACCTATTTTACTGAATTTAAATATTTATTAAGTAGTTAGGTAGTATCTAATTAAAAATATTACCTTTACTTCTAGACTAATTGATAATGAAGGTAGATGAATTTCTATTTGAGGTGCTAATATATCAATTAATAAGCGAGTTAAGTACATGTTTTGTCAATCTAAAATTTTTCTAAATAGAGAATCTGAAATAGAAAATGCATCCATAATATTTTCTCTTTTTGTTTGAAGCCTATTGTTCATATTGTTGTTCTCGTGTTGTAGAACAAATAATGCCGAATAATTAATAACAATATATATATATTCATTTTTCATATACTTTAATAATGTCCATATCGATGGATTTGTATGCCCAACCAAATGACTGTACCTATTATTCCATCCCTCACACACGTTATTGGTTTTACTACTACCCAATAATGTACTTTAACGCACATTCCACGTTGGAGGAGAGAATTAAGGAGGAAGTCGACGGAACCGAATACTTAAATTTTCATCAGTTCCTATTCTACACAAAGGACTACGTACATAAACTGAATCAAAATAATCGACTAAGTCATCCGCGTCTAAAGAAACAATAGTTTTAAGATAATCCATTCCTTCGTTGATGTTGCTTAATGGAAGAAAAGCTAAGCTATCTAACATAGTACAAAAATGGCTGAAATCCTCATCTGTTCGATATTTAGTTTCTAGTCCTAACTTTTGTATACGCTTATGAGTACTTTGGCATAAATGATAAAAACAATCCATTATTTTTATGTAACTACCAATAATATTGTTAAGAGATTAACATTAATCACAGATATTTCGAAATCCAAATGTACTTTAACTGGGTCAAGGTAATAGTTACGTTTATTAATTTCGTCCGAAATTAAAGGTTATAGATATAGGTAATATAAGTTCAAATACAATTTTAGTGAATTGACTGATTTTGACGGACTTCGGGTTTTAACAGTAACATATTATATAAGTACATTTTTGCAATGAGAACCTTTTTTCTGGAAAAATTTTTACTGGGGGATTTTTTTCCGTTTACCATTTTTAAGTACATACTTATCCGCGATGATGAAAAAAGTAGTAATACCAAATACTATAATACTATATTATACACTAGAAAACACCAATAACCTAGTAAAATTTCAATAATAACATTGATCTCATCATAAATTATGTAGCTAGTGATCGATATAATTTTATTGCTGATTTTTAATTTTTTATACAGTAGACAAATAATTAAACGATAGTCAACTAATACAATTTTATCCTTTTTCAAGAATACAAAAATGTTGTATCCTATAACTAATTTGTTTATCACATTCGATAAAATTTCATTACGTTTTAAGAATTGGCCCCCTAGGTCCCAATTTTTGAAATGAGTTATATATTATGTGACATAATTTATATCACTAACCACAGTGGTTCATATGATAAATTCAAAATTCATACTGGATGTTTGGATGAGTGAATACATAAAATCACGGTCATCTCCTGCCTATAGACTGACGACCGCTTACTGAGTTAGATATAGTTCACAATTTGCTCACGAGCGCTGTCAGTTATACTTATTGAGGTTATGTAATTATGTTATGGTATAAAATATATTATATCTATAGATATTAATCATATGGATGTGTCCATGATTATATCACAGTATTTATTTCACCGAATTTATTGCACTTATTTTTAGATTTTGAAAACATAACACTGGAGAATATATATAATTAAAAATATTTTTATTTATTAAATTAGACATATTGTACACAATTTCTATACATTTGTTTTTTTATTTTGTTACCTACCCGACGTCGTAGCTTTGCACATCAAATCCAGACATCCAGTAAATGAAAAATTATTCAGAGTATATAATTTTGTTTAAAATTAGTTCTCTGTATAAGATACCTAGGTACACCTACTTATTAGGTATATATTGAAAAAACTAAAAACCGACAAATTAATGTTTCTCTGGTGTCATGGACCTAATCTAATTATCTTAACATAGGAAATCAGTATCATATTTACGATTCTCACAATAATTCTCGCTTTTTGGTAAATCTAACTAAAGAGTAAAAGAAAATTATTTTCTTTAAACAATTAAATCTCTAAATCTAAAAGTTGTATTTTCTTGGTAATATATCTATTTGATCGAGTACAATTTAGTCTTCAAAAAAATGTTTTATTGAAATTATTCATTCGTTCACCATTTAGAAGTGAGGTTTTAAAATATTATTATACTATATTATGCATTTTTATAACTAAAATAAATAATTACGTATTTAAAAAACACTTTTGGTTAGATTCAATAAATCTAATTGTCTTATTCTGTGATCCAATGTTCAAGATGTGTGAAAGAGATATTTCTTTAATTAATTATAACACCATTTCAAAAAAAATTGGTCCATAACTTATACTGTAATTAGACTATGACCAAAATATGATTTTAAAATTGTTGAATATCTTGTTCGCAACCAACCCCCTTAATGCATAACCTAGCTAACTCTTGTTTCATATACTATAATAAATCTATTTTACATTACTAAAAAGACTACACTGCAAAAATTCGTCACTTTATGCATCAACAAAAACTCGGCCCCTCTATCTTACTCTATAGTTCATGTATAACATAGATTTACATAACTATGATGCATAATGATTATGATTTTATAGATACATATTGTAGTAGAGGTAATCAATGTACAAATATTTCAGTAACTATGGATTAAGCACCAGCTAACCATATTATCTATATCTTTTTGTAGTAAATATGCATCATTAATGGATTTTGTAAAATCAATTAATTTGTAATTATCAGCAAACAAAAATAATGTAGCAAAACGTAGACAAAAATTTAAATCATTTATGAATATATTAAAAATAAGTGCTGAAAGATGTGATTCTTGTGAAACACCAGATGTTATATTTATAGGAGAATAAATGATATTTTTGTATTTTACTATTTAAATTCTATTAGAGACAAATGATCTAAATCATGATAATAATGGATTATTTATACTAATAGAATTAATTTACTGTGATAGAATAAAGTAGTTAACCTTATCAAACGCTTTTGCGAAATCAGTATAAATTACATCTGTCTTATAACTCTCACTGACGCAGTTTAGAATTATATGATAAAAAGTGATTACATTTATATTAGTGGAGTGATTTTTTATAATAGAAGAATTAACTTGTAATTAGTCGTTTTAACGGTATATTGAATTTTTAGAAGGGTTATTTGTTTTCGGATATCTAATCTAACCTAATCTGGGTACTTCTAGGGTATATAAGAGCTAGCTTGTATAATAGGTTAACTCTTCTAGGCTCAAACAGAATTAGAATCATATCAATATACGAAATTCTAGTTTCCAAAATACTCGAGTATTCCATCGGGAATACTTAAATTTGGTCCTTGGATATTTTGTTTCTTAAATTCTTTATATACTAATAAGTTTCTTAAACACATCGCAGTAATATTTTACCAATACATTAATTCGTGTATTTATGTGAATTTTACGAAAACAAATTAATAATAGTAATATATTGTATAAGAGTAAAGTAACAAGAAATAGAATTGTTTGATTTGGGGACATTTTTAGCCAATCTTCACGTGGTATCTTCTGAATGAATCTAATAGTCTGGATCAGTGTTATCCAACTGGTGTTCTATAGAACCCAAGGGTGCCGTGAGGAATTTGGAAAAAAATAAATTAGTATACAACATTTTTGATTTGATTATTTTTTATAAATAAAATTTAGGAGTTCTAGAATGTCATGGAAATTGATTACAAACATTTTGTTGAAAGTTACGGACTGCCCACTCATTATTTGAGTATCCAAAAATATGTCTACGTTATGTGGTTATGAAAAAAAAAAAGGTGGTTAGCCATATATTGAAATTCCTGAAAATGTTCTGTAAGTAAAATAAGTTGGGAAACACTAGTTTGGACAAATGTTTCCAAAATATAAATAAAATAAAAAAATATAATAAATAAACCGGGACACAACTCAGGGTTATCCTGTTCCTCTCAACCGAAATTTAACTTATCCCTCATTAAAATCATTAAAAATATTGGACTTTATATTTTCATAAAAAATCGTATCCTATAGTATTTTAAACACGCGCGTCATTACTCCGCTATCCACAAAAGCCAAAGTTAAGGAGACACAGACAGCATTCTGAAACTCTATTAAGCTTTGACTGCAATATCATTAGCAAACCGTAAATTTGATTTTCTACCTTTTTTCGTACGACGCATATTCTAGTTTTTTGATCTACGTTATCCCACAATTCATCGTTCTTTAATAAGCGACACGGAGGACGGCGTGTATTGAATTTGTGTAGCGCGCTTTCACTGGTGATACTCAATGTTGAATATTCGGAATCTCTTAGTTGTAGGTCACTCGGACCACTTCTCCAAAAATTTCCCATTGTAACATTTTTAACCTTTGATTGTAATATTGTTTGAACGAAAATAAATATACTTAGGTATAAATATAAAGAGTGAATTTGTCAAACGTTACAAGTGCTGAAAAATATTTATTTATATTTTTGGAATGCGCGTATGTAAGTACATTGTACCATAACACATGAAACAGGCGCTATTTATGAACTAACTTCTACACAATAAATTGATTTCGGCTTTTAGAACTGGATTGTTATCTCGGGCACTTTGAAATAAATTAATTGAGATAAATCACGAATAAAAATTCGGAAATATTTTTTGCCATTTAGAACATTTCACAAATTCACTCTTTATAATATATATATTTTATATACCTTCATAATATTAAAAAAATATTATGTCTACTAGACCGGTTGGAATAATTCGCATTTTAAAAATATATTAAACAATAAACAAAAAACTAGGTAACGAAGTTACGTTTTCCTAGCAACGGATATTCATCATGATGCAAATCCACCCCAAAACAGTGAATCAATGATTCGTGAAAAGGGGGAAATTTAAATCTTTAAAACGGTTTCTATCGTAGAAAGAAAAATCAACATCATCCAAGAACGGTGAGAACTTTTGAAGACAATTTTGTTACTAAAAATTCGAATTGGAGAATTATTTTAACAATTCGTGCGTTGTTACAATTTAGTGCGGCCCCACTGTGATTTTTGTGTAAGAATTTCGGTGATCTATACCAGCGATTTCAATGGGGACATCTGACTGTTTTTATTTTAATTTGCTCATTCGATCGTCGACCTGCAAGACGACATCAATTAGGTATCCGTATTTCGTTTGTGTTTGTTTATTATTAAATTGTTTTTATTATTTGTTTTTCTACTTCATTATTGAATGTAAATTAAAATGTATACATTTTAGTTTTTGCTATTTTTCTTGTTTTAATGACATATTATAATTATTTTTGGTGATATGATAGACCTTCGATATAATCTCCCTGCTTGTCTATACACGATTGCCATCGTTTCGGGAGCGCTTGAATGCCGCATAGGATGCCATCTTTGTTGAGTTCACGGATCCTTCGGCTCACTTCTTCATTTAGTATATCTAAGTTGGGAAAACGGATCTCTCTAAGTGGTTCCTTCAGTTTTGGAAATAAATCAAAGTCCGGAGGACTTAAATCCGGCGAATACGGTGGGTGTTTGAGGTGTTCCCATCCATATTTCTCCAAAAGAGCGACGACTGGTGCTCCGATATGCGGCCGCGCATTATCGTGCAATATGGACACACCATTTTGTAACATTCCTGGTCGCTTTTTACGGATTTCCGGTCGCAATTTTTTGGCAAGGAATGTTTTGTAGTAATCCCCGATTACACTACTGCCAATTGGAACTCGATCAGTGACAATTTTCCCAAGTTTATCGTAAGCAAAAATCATCATTTTTTTTCACCTTTGTTTGCTGGCGACGAACTTTTTTTGCTCTTGGTGATGTTATTCCCTTCCAAATATTGCTTTGAGATTTTAATTCCGGCTCAAAATCACGGATCCAAGTCTCATCTATTGCAATTATACGATCNGAAAATGAGGCATCCAACGTGCTGTAATCTTTCGTTTCTGTAGAATTTCCGTTAAAATGCGGCGAACACTTGATTTTGAAATACCTGTTTCATTCTCTATCTCTCTCACCGTTATTCGTCGGTCTTCATCGAGTAGAGTTGCGAGAATAGCCGCGTTAGTGTTGTCTTGAGTAACCGTAGAGGGTCGGCCAGAGCGAGGGTTGTTATCAATACTTATACGACCATCACGGAATCGCTGATGCCATCTTTGCACCGTACTACGATCCACAGTATCCGTTCCACACAATTCATTTAACGCGGCATGAATTTCAGGCACTGTTTTACCACGAATCGTTTCGATTTTAATGTATGCGCGTTGCTCAAAAACAGAAATGTGAGCCGACGAATTGTTCTCACTTTCGTTATCGCTCTCACACATCATCATACTTTACTAAAACAACTAAAACTGAAAACGCACGTGTTCGTTAGACTTCAAGCTACAAACTGATACTAAAATCAGCTGATAATATCACATTGCAAGACAGCTAGAGCGCGCTGTGCATTACTTTTGCGACAACCCTCGTATTATTAGTCTAATATTATAAATAAGATGTCAATACAATTGTCAATTTCTATATTTATGAATGAATATTTGTTTTTCTTGATTATATTTCTTGAAATAGCAGGCTATATACCTTATTATTACCACTGAAGCACTGATTATACTAATATTTAAAATCAATGTTATTAGATTATTGCAAATATTAAAACATATTATTTACTAGGTATAACTTAATTATCTAATAATTATAAATAAATAACATTAATTGATTAGATAACCATTAATATTTAAATCTTTTTTGATAATGGACTAACATCTTTAGATGTTGGATCTTTGTACTGTTTTTATGGTTCGGGCGTCTAGGGTTCCAAATAGGTTCTTATACGAATACAGCGGCTGCAAGATAACTCTCAAAACTATTTTGTTCTTTTATTGATTTTCGCACGTGCAGTTTGAAAGTTGAAACGTAAAACGTAACACGCGTAGTAGGACACATATGAATTACACACATATTCTGTTGTTAAAATCGCAAAATCGCATAATACTATCCCTACTCACGAGTTGTGGACTGCGATCGCGGAGTTCCAATGTCTTTATCAAATGCAGCCAAAACATCCATAGTAAACGCCACAAAAAATGGCCTAATGATATTTTAGATTAAAAGTATAATGACGAATATATTGGTTTTACAAAGATGTTTATTTTTATTATTTTTTTTTTTATGTGAATACTTTCTACTAGAAAGCTTACTCCAATGTATACCATGTAGACCCTTTTCTGAAAGAAAACCTGCTTGGGAAGATACTTTAGGAAGGTAATTTTCAATTTTCCCTATAGTTTTCTCAACAAACGTGAAAAACCTGGAAAAACATGGGAAAACCGGGAAAATCGGTACAATACTAAAAATCAAACAAATATTATTAAAGAAAATATATAATGCCTGTATTTAATTATTTTACCATTATATGACATTATATATTGTTGACAAAGAATTACTATCTTCTGAACTCAGCTCAGAATCGTTTTTAGTAAGTAATGGTTTATCGTTGCTATCAGATAAAAATTAATTTCAATGTATAACCTTCTCAACTTCTCATTAACAACAGTCACTGCACCTATTGTGCGAAATATGCCCGTCTTTAAATTATTCATATTTTACTATACAACTACCACACTTCAGCTATCATGCCATAACTATCGTATTAGTATGATTTTAGATTCCGAGCGTAGCGAGGTACTATTGGTTTTACTAAGATGTTTATTATATTTTTCTTTCTTTTTTTGCCTAGTCTGTGGACACGTTTTTTCCTAGTAAGTTTACTATGATAGTAGACAAGTTTCTTCCGATTTTTACGTGTAATAGCTTTTCTAAAAACTTAAGTTGTCTAGATGGTACTCTAAAGAGGTCATTTTTTGATTTTTGATGCCTTTTTTTAAATAAAAGCACTTAAATAATGACATACTAAAATAATATTTAAATTTCCCGTGATAAATTCATTAAATTTCATTGGTTCCATCTTATTGCGGCCATTTTATTTCTAAACTTGTTAGCAATCGATTTTTGATGCCGAAGTTGTTCCTCCATGACGTATTGTAACTACCTTGCTTACAATAAACAACAATAAACAAGTCGAGAAATAAAATAATATTGCCTCGTGTAGAATACAGTTTTCAGAAAAAATGATAAGAAATAAACCATTCGGGCTGCATAAATACCAAAGAAGAAGAAGTCAAGAAAAAAAGTTGAATTAAAAAATATGTAGTTACACCAACACAGAAATAAATATTGTGTTAAATTATGTATTCATGACAACCGGTCTTGTGCAAAACCACGTAGTGTAAGTAACAGATAAAATTAAAAAAGCATTATAGGTGGAACTAAAAACCCAAGATCAAAAATAACCTTCGATTTGTTGTACAAAACCACATCGGGTAGGTAACAAGAAAATGTGAAGAACATTATAGGTGAAAGAACCTTTAATTGTTATAACACTATAACTCAGGGGTACCCAATAATTTGTAAAGACTAGGCCACATCATGTAAGTAGAAGTTGTTGTGGGCTTCATACATTTTAGTAATAATACATTTTATTTATAAATTTACCATAGCGAATAATGAGTAGAAATTTTTTGACGAGCTATTATAATATATTTATAAAAGAAAAAAACAATTTTAAAATAATTTATTGTTCTTTTATTTACATTAATTTCTCTATCATTATCAGATCCTGATAAAAATTAAACTTCTATTTAATAGTATTCACTATTAAGTACATAATATTTAAACTTTTTTTAACTTTTAATATTTTCTAGTTTTATGTTTATAAAATAAATTTTTTCTCATATTTTTATATATCATTAATTGATGATTTGAAATCAAAGTGAGGGGAATATTAAAATCTACCGTGGGCCGCATACAGCTCGCGGACTGCAGGTTGGG